GGACGAGTCGACATGACTCTAGATGACACGTGATGGAGTCATAAGATGTGTATCACGACATCCATCTGGCAGATGATAAGATCATCATTTGATCAACACTCCCCCACGCTGAAAACCACAGGATAGTGTTTGAAAGCGAAATCTTCATCGGCCATTCCTTCAGGACGAGTTGAACTCAAGTCCTAGTTGGGACCTGAACTTCTCGAACTTGACACGTCCTAGGTTCTTGGTGAACATATCTGCAGGATTCTCACTGCCCGGAATAAAGAACAGTTCAACCTCTTCTTCCTCGACTCGCTCACGAATGTAGTGATAGCGGATGTCTATGTGTTTCATCCTGCGGTCTTGGTAGGCATTGCTGCCACTGAAGAGTGCACCCTGATTGTCACCGCAAATGGGTACTGGGATGGTGAGTTTGAACTGGAGTTCCAAAAGGACGCTCTTCAGCCACATCACCTGGCGACTACAATCTGAAATCGCCATGTACTCTGCTTCGGTAGAAGACTGCGCGACTGTGTGCTGAAGTCTAGACTGCCAGCAAATAATCCCATCTGCCAATTTCGTGAAGAAACCAGTGGTAGACCTCCTCTTGATCGGATCAGCAGCCCAGTCTGAATCGCTAAATGCAATGAGCCCTCTATCCGTCGCACCATTGAAAATGAGCGAATAATTCCTAGTACCAGCCAAATAGCGGCAGATATACAGCGCTTTATGGAGGTGGTCTTGGGACGGATTGGCAGCAAATTGTGACAATTTGGTCACAGCAAATGCAATGTCAGGACGTGTGCCTAGCATGATGAAGAGAAGAGATCCAATGACTGATTGGAATTTCTTCCTGAGCTCTGGATCGACTTCATCCTCATTTGGCATTGGAACATATCCAGCCGGTAGAGGGGTCGCTGCGAACTTGGCGTTCTGCATCCCAAAGCGCTCTAGCACCTTGTCGAGATAAGGAATCTGATCAATCTTGATCGAAGATCCTACTCTACTGAGGCGCACGCGCAAGAACTCTGGAGTATCTTCAGAATTGCGGCATTCCCATCGCTTGTTGAACTCAGCCTTGAGAAAGGCGAGGAGCTTCTTGTTCTTGGAGAAGAACAGTGCATCATCCACATAGACTATTATGACGGCTATGCTGCCATCAGAGTCCTTGTAGAAGAACACGCCGGCATCCGATGTCAGTCGGATCCAGCCCATGGCTTTTGTGGACTTGGTTAGCGCTTTCCACCATGCTAAAGCAGCTTGTTTGAGTCCATAGATTGCCTTGTGCAAGCGCATGACTTTGCGCTCTTGGCCTCTCGCCACAAAGCCTTCGGGTTGTTCCATGTAGACCTCTTCGTCAAGCTCTCCGTAGAGAAAAGCCTTACTGACATCGAGTCCAGACCAATGCCAATCATTGAGCGCTGCAAGCGCCATGACCAACCGGAACGTCTCATACCTGACAACAGGAGAGAATATCTCGTCATAGTCAACACCTTCGACTTGACTGAAACCCTTGGCAACTAGGCGGGCACGTTTTTGGCCATCAGATTTTTGGTCAAAGACCCAGCGACATCTGATAACCTTCCGTCCTTTCGGGCGGTCCACAAGGGAATAGACCTTGCGCTGACGAAGTGCCTCTAACTTGTCGCGACAAGCATCAATCCAACCTTTCTGTTGTTCAGAAGGCAACCGCTTGATATCGCGGAACGTCCAATCGCGAATTTTGGACGTATCAGGTAGGTTCTCATTTGGAACCGCTTTTGACAGCAGTGCCGTGATGAGCTCTACTCCCCCTTCCCGGCATAGCTTCTCCATGCGTGCATCCTCGTCTAGATCATCAGAAGCACCCGCGTTTGAGGAATCTGGTTGCGAGCTAGGGCCGGGAACCCCTGCATCAGCACCGGTTGATGGTTGAGATTGGGAGCTACCCTTATCTTCACCAACATACCGCTTCCATCCTCTGCTGTTCTGAATGTCACGGACTATATCCGTAGGGGTACGCTTTTCCCCATAGACGTTTCCTGGACGTGTAGACACATTCCGCTGGCGTGAAGACCTTCGAGGCTCAGGAGCTGGTGAAGCTTCCCGACTTGGTCGTGGAATTCTACTTCTACGAGTCCTCTGAGGTTCATCCCGACGCTCTGGCGGTGGGTCCCGACGATTATGACCGTCGTCACTATCATCATTTCCCTGTACGGGAGGTGGTGGAGCCGGATCAGATGGCATGGGAAATGGAAAAGGATTATCTCCATATAGCCAATCTTCTCCGTCTACCTGTGGTGGATCTTGTGGATTCACTGGGTCATCACGTTCTGAAAATTCCTCTCCAACAGGAACGTGGGGTGGTCGATTGCTGTCAGGACAGCGGGGGAACAACTCCTCGTCGAACAATGCCTTGGTGGCAACGAACGTGGAATTGTTTGTGCGCATGAACAAAAATCCTTTCACACCATCAGGAATGCCCAAGTAGGTCATCAGCTCCGATTTGGGCGATAACTTGTTGGCGCGCTTCTCATCAGGGATAAAGACATATGCAGCGCAACCAAAGACTCGGAGTTCGGAAACATCCGGTTTTTCCTTGTGAAGAGCTTCAAATGGAGTTTTCCATTTTAGACGCCTGATAGGTGTCAAATTGTAGATCCGTGTCGCATGTTTGATAGCGAATTCCCAATATGAATTAGGAAGACAGGCAGTGAAGCGCATGGCTTCTGCCTTATCCATGATCGTACGATTGAAGCGCTCGGCATGCCCATTCTGCTGGTGAGCATATGGAGCACCCTTCTCCACTAGAATTCCTTGTTCCGCGAGAAATTCTTCCATTCCCATCCCCATGAATTCTCCCCCATTGTCAATATGCCACTTTTTGATGGTGACATTGAACTGGTTCTTGACCATCGCAATGAAATTGCGCATAGCCTGCTTGGCATCGGATTTCTGCGCAAGGCATACTGTCCAGCCATAGGAGAGTGCTTCGTCGAAGAAGCTCATGAAGTAGCGGTACTTGTGATAAGACACCGTGGGAAATTGTTTGAGATCCGAGTGGATCAAATCAAACGGATTCTCCGCTCGTTTTTTGGAAGGCGGGAAGGCACGTTGGTGCATTTTCCCTTGCGCGCATCCTTTACACGGTCGGGTTTCCTCGGGAAATACTAGGTCTTCTGGAAAGCCCTTGGTATTCTTCTTTGCCTGACGTAAAACGTCTTTCGACGGATGTGCAAATCGCCGGTGCATGATCTCATAATCCACCTTGTAAACAGTGGACATGGATTGCACTGTCTCAGCCGTGCTAGGCTTTGACATCAGGAAGTACAAGGCAATGTCCTTCCCTAGAGTTCTAAACTCCATGATCGAGAGTGGGGACTTCCCTCGATGTAAGCTGATCCGCGATTCGTCTCCACGAACGCGAGATCCTCCTTTGAGTAAGGAGCCCAAAGACATGAGACGACCATGTAATCCTGGCATTAGTACACTGGATATATCTGAGAAGTCACCATTGTCTTTTCTCCATGCCTTGTGACGTAATGATCGATGAAGGCTGTTCCTCGACCAATAAGGGCAACACGTGTGTTCTTATCAGCGGTCTGAGCAACAATAGGATCTGAGAGCTTCTCATATCCGACCAGATCACTAATCTCCGATGTCACATGGAGAGATGCACCTGAATCAAGAAGCCATAGAGGCCCTAATTCATGATGATGATGTTTCCCCTTACACTTAGAGCAGGCAGCAAAATCGGAGTGCACACAGAATAGATTGGTACAAAAATCATGTGATCGAATCATCAACGAATTAAGTACAGAACCCGGGGCGGCGGTGATTACGCGCTCTGGCTGTGAGCAACAATCAGAATTGTGCATATGCCCAAGAAGGCAGGGTACTTGCCTTTCGGCGGAAGGAGCGTCCATCTCCTCCAGAAGGGTGTTGAAGTCGACGACTTCATCCCAATTGACCGGTTCAGCCTGGGCGAACTCGCTATCTCCAAACAGAAGATCAAGATCGTTCTGTTGGCCGGTGGCCATCTCGACGTCGGGGATCTCCTCGATACGACTGCGTTTGGCAGGAGGACCATCATCCAGCGTGTGATTCGAGCCGGAAGCAACCGGAGATGGAGAACGCATGATTGCGTCCTCGCGGAGCATTCCTTTCTCATTGACAATCTTGTCGAGAGTCCGGAAGCGTTCTGCGGTCACCGTCACATCCATCTTTTTGGCCAGCTCGAAGACCTTACGAGTAGGCTTCTGAAACTCGGTGTCAATAATCCCATTGTTGTTAACGGGAGACTTCTCTTGAACCGCGCGGATTTTGGGTCCATCGCGAGAGATGTGCGTGACATGCGAGATCGTCGGCACAGGGATAGACGGAGTGAGCGAGGCGATCGAACCAATAGTGAGGGAGCCAGTGATCTCGGAGACTCCATGGACATGACTGTGATCAGCCTTGCCCTTGCCCTTGTTGTCCTTGTTCTTCCCACTGCGCTTGCCTCGACGGTTCTTCTTCTTTCCATCAGCCTTATCACCCTTATCGGGTGCAGAGCCAGAGCCCTGTTGCTGATTGGTGAACGAAGGATCATCGCGCTTGCGCTTGGTATTGAACTTGGCCACATGATTCTGGCTTTGAGACTGCTTCTGAGCGAAATGCGTCAAGAGAGCGTCACGAACCGCCGAGACTTTGATCTCGTCCTTTTCATAGGTCTGGAGAACAGTCTCTGTGACGGAGGGAATCCGGGCTATGTTGAGAATGATCATCGCTCTGAGGAACTCAGGGATGCTCAAAGACTCATTCTCCAGGCGAGCGAACGCCGTAGTGATCACCAGCAGCTGTGGATCCGGGTGCAACCCCACGTTGTACTTGGCGTTCAACGCGGTTTGGAAGTACGCATATAGGTCGGCGCACTGAGCACCACCGTATTGGGTCTTCAGATGCGCCCAGATCTTGGCAGCTGACACTATATCCGCAGGAGGAATGTTAGCAATGACTCCCTCAGTCAGGCGCAACTTAATGCTGCCTTTGGCTCTGAGATCATCATGCTTCCATTGTTTGATCTCCGATGCGTTGGTCACAGAGCCATCGGTAGCTTTGACTTCGGTTGGCGCCGTTTCGGTCAGCACATATGAGATCCCCTGATGTTCCAGGTAGGACTCCATAGTTCCGGACCATACGAGCCAGTGCTTTCCATCAAAGATGGAGACAGCATTGAAGATGTTGTTGGAGTTGGACGACATATTGATCTGTGTGAGTTAATCAGCATCAATCTAATCTGATAGATAAAATCAAAGATCAAGATGATCAGATTCTCATAGATCATAATCTCCTTGAGAGATCGATGCATCTGGATCAAGCGATGTAATCGCGATCCGGCATGGTTTCACCAGCGCTGTGCAGCAGCTGAAGTGAATACAGATAGGCTAAAGACGCTGCTCATCGTTGCAGCCAGTGATGGCGCATACAATGAATGTCGCGGCTATTGAGGCGCAGACATAGCTCTCGGGGCCCATAACCTGTTGAGCACTGGGGAGAGCGTCTAGCAACCCACCTGTGTGAGTTGAGAGCTTAGTGTGGGCACTATGCGGGAGTAGTCAAGAGACTTATTATTAAAGGGTAATAGAGCCCTCCTTATATACAATACAGGGGGCTATTTGTGTCTATTTAGGACGAGTCGACATGACTCTAGATGACACGTGATGGAGTCATAAGATGTGTATCACGACATCCATCTGGCAGATGATAAGATCATCATTTGATCAACATAAATCATATACATAGAGATTCTTCAACTCTGGCCAGATCAAGAGGTCTGGCATTGTAGCACGCTCTGTGTCTGCATATTGTATGTAAGTTTCGTGGACGATTCCATCAATCGAGCAGACATATATAAGGCTTATGAATTTTCTGGGCCCTCTGCACGCCAAAAAAAGCCTTCAAAGAGGCACTTCAAGGAAACTAAGCTTCAGTGAATGATCCTATTCGATATAAACATGTAAATTTTGGATATGAATTCCGGATTTCTACAGAACATGTGTAAAATTACTCAGAATCCATTCAAATCGAAATGTGGTTGGTGCCACACCACCACTTATCCATATCCGGCGGCTGATCGTGTGCCTTCGGACTTTGCCGGTGCACTTCCCACAGTTCAAATACCTGACTTTGCGCTGTGAAATGTCTATGAATGACACTTGGTGCTTTCATACCTGGCTCAAAATTGAAGAATCGTAGAGATCTTATTGTGATGAGCAGAAAAACGATGCTCTATTCGTTGTCAATTGTGGAAACAGCATAGCGCAACAAGGTAGATGTTGTGCATTGAACTAAATCTATCAATTCGATCGATCATCAACATTGAAACATTGCACAAAGGCTAGTACCTCCGGTTTCACTCCGACATATTGCTGGTCAGAGTATGTATGTTTGTCCGAATGACGATGCAAAAGTCTACAAATCATAAGCTTTCCGACGAGACATCCTCCATTGCTGTAGCTGTGTGAGCCATAATAAAGAGGAGTTTACAGAGGGTATGTGGAATTCAAACAGGGTCTGGATGGCTGACGGAACGAGAGCCGCGTAATTGACCGGCGCCCGTAGCAGCAGAAGAGATACTGATCAGCCTCATTTTTTGCTCGGAAAGAGTCCGAGACTTCCATACCATCTTGAATATCATAGAATGCCGGAGGACGGACATCGTAATCTAGTGGGCATGAGCGACTTTACAATTGAGGTCATGCATTTCAATTTTGCCCTGGCCAACGCTCATCTGCTTTCGGACATAATCGGCCTCGGACCATCACTGCTCAACCGCTTACGTCATAGTTTTTCATCCTTATCTCCATGAACCACCCGTCCGTCATTTCAGACACGACACCACGGGCGAAAGCAACTCAGGAGTCAGCGGATTGTCAGCCTCAGGTCCATGAGCTGTCAGCTTCAGCGCCCAGCAACAAGCTCCCCGCCTCGGCGAAACCCAGGGGTGCTTTCGGTATCTTTCCCCAGTGGCGATACCGAGAAAGAAGATTCAAGCCAGTGTTGATTAGATGAAGATCTTCGAAGTGGGGCGGAGTTCTTTATTCCACAGATTGCGCATGAGCAAGACATCTCACCATGTTTTGCCCTCGTTGCTCTGGTCCCACCCGCTCGTCCTCGTCCTGGTCCTCAGCCTCGAACTGACACTAAGCTCGCCCCCTGTCGTGATGCGGGGTCTATTGCCAATTTTCTTATCTCTCACCACCATGCGTCAGTGGACGCGGCTTCGAAGTCCCGGGAGTTTGAATTTCCTCGGGGTGGTCAAGGGCTGACAGAGGATTTCGATTTTTGATACGCGCGAGATGCGCCTCGATATCCGTTATCAGCAAGCCGCCCCATCGCATCTGCATAAAAAACGCGCGCGGGATCGATGAGGGGTTGTCGCTGAGAGTCCGTATTTCCCCAACAATGCGCGGCGTAGTCCAGCTTCTGTCCCTCGCGTCTCTCGCGCCCCTTGGGGCCTTAGCCGGCCCCCACGCTCGTCTGCGACACCCGACAGTCGCCTACACGTCTCGCAAGAGCGGGCACGGGCCCTTGTTTGAAGTCCTGGCTGCTCAGCCCGTGGAATCCGAGCCCGGATTCAGCCCAACGGCAGCCGCGCCCAAGGCAAACCCGTTCCTCTCCCTCACGAACGACGAAGCCGCGAGTATCGTCGCTTTCTTGCACAACCAGACGGCACTGAACTTGACCGCGGCCACGGATGCCGGTCCTTGGGACAACGCGATCGAGGTGCTGGATTTGGTTGCACCGAATAAAACAGGTGCGTGATAGTGGTTTCTCGATGTTTGTGGCTGACGATCGTTGCAGATGCACTCGACTATCTCGACCACTCCGGACCGCTGCCTGCTAGGTATGCGGTTGCCAAAATCATGTTTGGGGCCACGGAAGAGGTGTGTATCTTGTTGCTGGTACGAGATGGGGTCTGACGTTCGGGCAGCCATATCTGCAAGACTTCATTGTCGGACCTCTTCCGATCTCCAATACCTCCACCTACGAGAGTCTGGACTGGAGCACGACCAAGGGGACGTCCAAGATCCGGAACTACGATGCTGGTGCGTTTGCATACACGGCTCGTATGGCTTTGCATGTTGAGCCCCTGTAGACTCGAGCCTGAAATCCGAGTGGCTCTACAACGTCTCGACCCCTCTTGCTGACATTCTCCTCGACCTGTTCAACGCTACACTCGACGAGCTCGACATTTGGGGAATTGACCCACTCTGGAAGGAGAAGCTGCCTATCACATATACCGACAAGCACGGCAAGGAGAAGGTCAAGAACGAGGAGCGGATTGTGGCCTGGAATACCTTCTGGCGCTACCCCACGGGCGAAAACGCGGTATTTGACGGCGAGACGCTGTTGCCTCAAGGCCTGTTCTTCAAGGCAGATGTCACAGGCCGTGACCCCAGCCAGTGGAGGGTGCTGGGATGGCTGTATGGAGAGTGCGTAGTAACGGAATGTGGATGCACATATTGGCGCTGACTCCCCAACCACAGCATTTTCTACTCGACAACAGCTGAATTCCGCTCCGCCTGGGAGAAGCCTGACTTTGTCAAGTACGAGATCAACCAGAGCGGAGACTGGGTTGGGTCCGATCGAGTAAGATTGGCTTTCACGGGTGTCTGCATCGAGTCTTCATGACCTATTTCAGGTGGGAACACCCTTCCCAGGGGACACTCTCCCTGCACCGATTCTCGTTCAGCCGAGTGGTGAGTCCTCTCGTCGTTCATTATGTTCATGGATGCTGAGGATACTCGCCAGCTCAACGGTTCTCCGTTGACGAATCTCAGCGCTACGTCGAGTGGATGGACTTCTCCTTCTATTTGACGTTTACGAGAGACACCGGACTCCGGCTGTACGATATCCGTTACAAGGGAGAGCGGATCATCTACGAACTTGGCTTGGAGGAAGCTATTGCTCACTAGTGCGTCGCTCTCTTTGCCGCTCTACTTTGACTCTGAATGTGCGCGTGTTAGTGCTGGCAATGACCCCGTGCAGTCCGGTACCGCTTACTTGGACACGTTCTACGGATTTGGAACGTTCGCATTCGAGCTTGTGCCTGGGTTCGATTGTCCGTCGTATGCACATTTCTTGAACGGGACTTTCCACGCTGGAGAGGTCTCCACCACCCACCGAAACAACATCTGTCTGTTCGAGAGCGACCCGGGCTACCTCATGCAGAGGCACTCGTCGATGAACTACCTCTCGCTCACCAAGAACATTGCGTTCACTGTCCGCTCCGTGTCGACTGTGGGCAGTGAGTGGTTATTCTCTTCCATGCCGTGGAAGTGGACGCTGACCGGCGGCTTCCAGACTACGACTACAATTTCGACTACATCTTCACCCTTGACGGTGCGGTCGAGACTGTTGTGCGCGCCTCCGGATACATCCAGTCGGCATACTACGCACACAACTCCGAGTACGGGTACCGCGTCCACGACAGCCTGAGCGGATCGATGCACGATCATTCGCTGAACTGGAAGGTTGACATGGACGTCCTGGGCACGGCGAACACGTTTGTCAAGCACAAGATCGCGCCTGCGGAGGTCAAGTACAGCTGGAGCAACGAGACACGCAAGACGATGAAGCTCGAGAAGGTCAAGGTCAAGAACGAGGATCAGGCCAAGTTGGTGTGTGCTTTCGCTCGCTCGGGTTCTGGACTCGTCACTCATATGTCACTTCCAAGTACTGGCCCCGGAACGGAGCCGACATGTTCATCGTCGAGAACCTCGACCCCTCCAAGGCTAACAAGTACGGCGAGGCCCGCGGCTACAAGATCTCTCCGTCCCGCGGTGGATCGGGGATGCACCTGACCATCCAGGACTCGCCGAACCTGCTCAAGTCGCAGAGCTTTGCGACCCACGCATTGTATGTGACCAAGCAGAAGGACACGGAGCCGCGGTCGGCGCACGCCCATAATGACTACGACCCGGGTCACCCCATCATCGACTTTTCTGAGTTCTTGGACGGCGACAATCTCGAACAGGAGGATATCGTCGTTTGGCTGAATGTCAGTTCTTTCCCCGAATCGCAGTACTTCGCTACGGTGCTTATACACTCCTGCAGCTTGGAATGCACCACGTGCCGCACACTGGCGACATGCCGAACACGGTATTCACGACCGCGCAGTCGGCGTTCATCATCTCGCCGCACAACTATCTCCTCAACGACGCGTCCCGAACGACGCGCCAGATGGTCCGCATCGATTACAACGCCTCGGGCGTGCAGCTCGTCAAGCAGTTCGGCGCTAATCTCCCGAGTGGCATGCTCAACCTGACGAGCACGAACTGGGACTTCACCTCGTATGAGGGCGACATCAACACGAGAAAGTTCCCGTACGACCGTGAGTGTTTTTCCAGAGTTCTCTAAAGCGTGAAGCTGATAACGAGTCTTTTGTAGCCCTGCATCCGTACAACGACACGCAAAGCATTGTTTAAAGTAGAGTATCGAATGAATCACAGAAGTTATGTAACTTCAATGCAGTGTGAACATTACCGGTGATGATGCTTCATATTCAAATCACAGTGGCTTCTCCAGCGCTCTAGCCATCGTACTGGGCATTCATGTGACCTAATTCGCGTCGAGCTGTGTATGCTGTCCCCCTTCGTGGATTGGCCGCGGTAGCTCGGCGGGTCAGAATCCCGCCCTTCGTTCGCAACCATTCCGTCGACAGAGGCGTCTCCTGGAAGTGACAACGGGCACTGTAACATGTCTGAAGCGCTCTTCTCTTTGGAGTGTACACCGGGAGTGTATCTGCTGCTCGGAGCCAAAGGGATGACCTGGGAACATTGGGCCAAGTCGCGGTCCTCTCAGGCTGTGGAACTGCGTCTTTCCGCTTTCAGGTTGCTGTGATGCCCCTCGATGATGATCTCACTGGGCTGGACCTACGCAGCGACCATTGATAAATGCAGCTCCCAGGTTGCTGCGGGAGCAACAAGACCGCAAGGCGCTTCCATGGATCCATCGGGGACCAGGACAGGCTGAGGACTATCGAGAGTTGGCTTAGCACTGGTCAGATCAGCTGTCGAACTATACGCATACGGCTATACTCTGGGGTAGCTCAATAGAACTTGCGATGTCCGCAGGCAACGATGGACAAATCACATGGAATCAGCTGGCACGCAGGCTACGATCTGTCCAAACTCGTGGCGAAATGGTCAGGATTCCCGCGCATTCCTTGTGTGAGTGCTATCGTTCACGCCCCGTACTCCAAGCGCACAGCAAATGCACCATGATAGTTCTTTGACTCAAATGTTGAGGACTGGAAGACTCAGTATTCGGGGCTCTGCGATACTCATTGATAGTGAACAACTAGAACTAGAAACTGTCGAGGGTATACAATTACATGAACATGGGGAGGACGATCTACTGACATTTCGAACGCGAATTGCCTTGACTCGAATCGCGTTCAAGTTAAGTCAATTCGGGTTCAAAGTGCGACGGGAGGAATGGTCTTCACGTGGTAGCAGGGGTATCATCGACAAAAGAGGCCAAGCCTTAGATCAGGCGTATACCTTCTCGTGAAGTTCAGGTTGTCCGGGTAGCCGCTGTGCGGTTTTTAGCACCACATTATGCAGAGAGTTTAGTACAAAGCCTTGGTGATGAATTACCTCTAATCGGAATTTGCAAAGCTGGAAACCCGATTTAGGGTCCTTCTCGAAGTACGCCTAGGATTTCCATTGTCAATGATTCGGGAAAGTATCTGGCTTGGGTGCATACATTGGTCACCGTGTATTTCCCATCGTAGCGAAAACTGAGAAGTTCAACGTTGGAGTCGAGAGAATGAGCGAGTGGTCTCACCCTCGAGCTGGAGCCCAAGCACTGCGCTTATTCGGTCCACGGATGACATGGACTGGCTGTCCGCGCTCCATCGATTTCTATGCAGAAGATGAGACCAATCCCCATCGACGCGGCCACTTGGCCATACCACGAGATATTGATTGTCGCGATGTTCGAACGACTGGTCTTGGGTCTGAGTCCCATTCTAGAGAAATAGTCAACCATCGTTTCTGTTTTCGTTTTCTTCTTCATGCATACGCTGAAAGTACCAGAGTCTCCTTTCCCAGTTCCGGTGTATATTCTTCGAATGGATGGGATTTAGACACAGTCAGTCAGAGTTTGGAGGTGAGAATTCGTGCACTGACAGGACATCGCCATCATCCTGCCCAGGATAGAATCCGGACGTAACGATAGATATAGCACCGAGCTCCTTGGTCCCGTAGATTCCCGCCATCGACCGCCGGTGAAGTTCCATCGCGTCCGATCTGCAGAGCACCACATTGAATCCTTTGGCGCAATGAAATGGAATTGAGTACATACCTGCTTTCCCATGTCTTGCCAACCGGTATTTTCTTCTGGACCCTCGAGTCGATGGCCCAGTTGGACGGGGTGGCCAGTTGGAACTCGGGCGCTGCCATGAGAGCTTTGCGTCTAATAGAGCGGGTCGATCCGAGGTTCGTTTTCAATGAGGGGTTGCCACTGACCTGGCCTCCATAGATGAGGATGGGAGATATCAAGCCTCAACTGAGTCAACTCGTATGTTATTGTTATAGCCTACGTAAGCGATCGAATCATCGATGGCGTTCGTTGATAGGTGACGTCATACACAACAAGACCTATTGTGAGGCCTTGATAAGTTGCGGTCCTGTTGTGTATGTGTAGGAGTAAAGATTAGCTGGCTCCGATGAGGGTGGCTTGACCAGAGTGTGTAAGTGAGAAGTTTGAAAGCAGAAGTTGGCCTGTCACATGCGCGTCATGATGTGACCATGTCCTCTTCCTGCAGTTCACTCGCACGAGAGGATCGAGAACAGGACTTCAATCTCAGAATACATGCTAGGGTCAACACTCAGAAGATCCAGACCAATTTATCACCCTCCAGCCTGCTTTTGTTGCTACCGAAACTCGCCAGGTCCCCTCGCTTTTCATCCCTCTGCGGGACGGCTCGACATTTGTGACGGCTTGCATCCTATGACTTCTCCGCACAGTTTCTTGCCATCACATCCGCTCAGAATACTCCGATACTCGTCGTCAGGTGCCACTCTTTTCCTCCCTGGCGCTGCTATCCCGCTCGTAGTTCATGCGTGCGTGCTCTCCGACTTGACGACACTGCATCCCGACGCGCCTGTCATTCTATCCGACATGCCCACTCCGCTTCTTGGTTTCCGCTCAAGAAATCTTCACGTTATTCCAAGCCATAAACGAGAGCTCTTCGTACCTCACGCATGGCGGATTCGTCAAGGTCGTCCACGCATTGACGACAATGCGAGCCGGTACATCAGACCGCCTCGCTCCCTGAGGGCTACATTGATCTACAGGGCTGAGCCGATGCCCTGCAGTGCCCGGGACTGGGCACGGCTTCGAAGTGATCGCAGTGTACTTGGGTAGTGGCGTGGGGAATAGACTGGGGATCAGTTCGTTGTCTTCGGTGCGGTGCTTAGTGGGACGACTGGCGTTCTTAGTATTGCTCCCTTTCGTCGGTTGGTCTGGGCTGACATCTTTCGCAGAGGGATAAAGCTTCTTGGTCACACTGCGGTCGTTATGAGATCGATACGTCTCTCGACCCGTGACGATCTTGTTCTGTTCTCGTATGGGTCGAGGACACATATCGCGGACTTGTTATGACTCTCATGTCTTGCATCAACGATGGTGCTGCACGGATTGGATACTCACAAGAACTCGAGTCGCTGGTGTTGACTCGCATTCCATCGTTGGTATCAAGCACCGACACGAATCCGGGCTCGTCCTTCTGATTCCCCTCGCAAGTGGGTTAAAGCTTTCCGCCCGTCTCGCTGGTCGAGGCTCTAGATGACCACGGGCCTATGCGGCTCCAAGTCTACGAACTGTTCACCTCTTGGATACAGGATGCACGCTTCACAGTCGTTAGCTTGTTCGTTCGGCCAGTCTGAGGACTTCTGCACGGATCGCAATCTCCGTGGCCGTCATGCCATGATGACGGGCAGCCTTGAGTGGACAACTGCTTCCTCTATCATCCAGACTCCATGCTCGTCCATGCGTCTTCGGTTGCCCGCTGGAATGGACCGAAGGCAATCCTCGCTATGGGTGGAAACATGGGGCAGACAGGCGACACAATCGGTCCCCACTCAATCCACGGAACTTACTGGCAACGCATCCAAGACTGAGATCATAATGCTTCTTTCGCAGGGCTGCACCGGTTGCGCCGGGTGGCATGACGGGCTGCAAGGCTCTATTCGGAGGAAACATTAAGCAGGTGATTATAAACGAGGCGTGTCCGCAGCTAAGACGTACATATAGATGAGAGCATCGATGTTGGGAACCATATGGAAGAAGAATATGCTGGTTAGTTGCTGTGGGTTTGGACTTGTGTTCCTTACGAAAGACTGACTAGCTCTTTCGTAGCACCTTCGGTACGGTGAGCGAAATGGGCCCCGCAATCGTAACTATAAGCAACCTTCGGATACTGGCCTGAACGGCCAGCTGAAGAATGCTTCAGATCACCAGCCAAGCGAATACCTCATGCGGTGTTTGCAAGTGTCAGGTCTCATTGGAATAATAAAAAATACAGTAGGATATCATATCAGTACATCATGCTGCGTGCAAAGTGGTGGCCGCCAGCGACTACGACCCCGAGCCAGACGACTTCTTCCCACCAAATCTGCCTCCACTCAACAAACTGCCTGACTCCCTCAATAGCAGACCCATCCCCATAATGACCGCCCCTGTAATCGCGAATGGCGCCGCGAGTATCATGCCCACGCCTAGGCCAATGTCCTTCAGGATCGCGCCCTTCTGCACCTCAGGAGCCTTCTCGAAGGCATCTGCACGGTGCGCCCAGTCCTCGCGCACGGCGTCCTCCGGATGGCGCTCGGCGATGTCCCGCATGGAAGCGACGATAGACCGCTCGAGCTCGGGTGTGCGCGACGTCCAGTTGTATTTGCGTATGCGGCTATCCAGCTTGCGCAGGGCTGCACGGCATTCGTCTTCTGTCATCCTCGAGACCTTCTTGGTCTCTGATTCGAATGGAGGGGAGGAGGAGGAGGGGTCTGCTTCCGACGTCTTGGGTGGGGGTCCAGTGTACGGTGGAGGCAAGGCCTTTTCATCGATGATAGCCATGATGATGTGGTAAATAGACTCGGATTCAAGGATGGGAGGATTCGTGGAATGTTTTCGATTCTCGCTGGTATCCGCACATTTAAATAGTCAACGCAATGTAGGGCTGCGGATGCTGCGCAGAGTTTCCTCGCGCCGCGGGTAGTCATCTTGGTTTGCAACGGAGAAACTCGATGACAGGTCGGTGGCAGTGCGACACCCCATCAGTGATCGATATATCGTCGTTCTCTTGCCCATTTGAAGTCCAGTCAGTCATATGACAGAGACCGGATTCCCAGCACATCTGATTCTCATTTCACCAGTTTTGAGAGAATGTTGAGGGGATCTATGAGTCGTGCGCCTCAGAGTCTGTCGGGATTGACATGAAGCAAGACATCTATCAATGGCCACAGCAGCTCGCTAGCTCGCTCCAATACGAGATGTGGCAACGGAGACCTCGTCGCATTGTGTCCAAATGATCTTTCGTCACCTTGAAAATGGCTCGTTGTGGATAGCTTCCAGATCGGCTGGAGCAGTCCATTCGGGCTATCCAACAACCGTCAAATAAGCTGTGCAGCAAACCTGGCAATTTTAAGAGGTTGGACGCCCGGTTGTTCTCAAATGACCACAACCGTAAATTTCTATGGCCCTTTCTTTGGTTGAGCTCTGTAACTTGTCATTTTCTGAAACTTGATGCAACTTCACTCTGTGTTTTGCCATCTCCACCAGAACAAAAAACACCCCGGATTGTCAGAAAAGTGTCGAAAAGAACACAGCAATCTGAGTTGGGTGGAAATGGGGTATTTCTTTGTCGGGGCCCAAACTGGCACACATCCTGTAATGCATTTCGTGTTTTGGACCAAACTCGTCTTCCGATGTAAATCTTCTAGTGGACTCGAACCCCTTAGATTAGACGCTTTACCGATGTGGAGCACAATTTCAAACTGTCCGGCTTGCTTGTGATATGTTCTATTGAGATGCGTCACATCTCCGTCCACCAGATTTGAGAAAATGTTCGCTCGGCTGCAGGCAGAGAGTGACTACAGCGACTAGCATGGTACCCGCGCCGCAGAAATGACCGAATGATCATGTAGAAGGGGTCCGCTCTGAGACTGCAATTTGCGGCTTGCGGACCTGCCCACTGTTCCTATCAGCTCATGTGCTTTACTGCCAGCGCCCCCCAAACTCCTTCGCTGTGAACTGTGTATACAAACAAATGCCAGTGATCAAGTCGTCTATCGCATCGACAATCGATGCACGACTTTGGCCACGGGGACACGATCTCATACAATTTCGGCTGTAGGAACAAGGTTGAACATCACTTCCATTTCGGTAAACATTTGCATCCGCGGTCCGCGGGAGGATTGACATCAGCTGCGGATCAGATCGGATATCATAAATGTTCACTCAGAAAAACATTTGAATGGCAAGGATGGATGAGAAGTAAATAAGATCCTGAGTTCATTCCGAGGATAGAACATAAGAGACCTGGAGTCGTCTTGAATCATGCGACGGTAAAGTTTCCGCTTGTTCCAACAAACGGCGAGATCGTGCCAGTGAAGGCAGCCTTCGAGTCCCCGAAGTATCTGAATCGGTACGTCCCCGCTGCAGCCACGGTCAGATCAACACTATATCTGGGGGAAATCGGGACTGACCTGGGGTTCCGCTTTCCATGGTCCATGAAATGTTCACGGTGCTGGTGCCAGTCAAAGTGTTGACACGGGCCCATTGGTAGATGGTGGATGGATGAGAGTCAGACCGGACAGGTTTCCAGGCGCCGCTCGAGAACTGATCGACGTAGAGGAACGTTTGCTCGAGACGCAGGTTGTTCTATGGGAGGTTCAGCAATTGCATGGGAAAAGATACTTCAAGCGACACACCCTTGGGTTAGCGCCGACGAAGAGCGCGTGAGCGGTATCACCTGCGTGATAGGGGGTGCTGAGAACGTCCGTCTGCACGTCACCGAAATGCTTTCCGATCGGTGTGCCATCAAAGACGACGCCGGTCTGGAGCGAGAGCGCCTTTGACTGAAGCTCGGGCGGAGCGGCATCGGACACGGGAGCGGCGCTGGGCGCTTTGTCGGCAAGCCACGGAACGAGCGAGGTGAACTTGTCAATGTACGCGGGCAGAGTGTCTGGATTGGATTAGATCAGTAGTCCACAAAAAGGGGAGATCGAACGACGTACTGCGACCGAAGATGGTAGAGGCTCCCTCGTAGCGCTGCACGTTGTACTCCTCCGGGGTAGCGATGTAATGCGCGTACGTATTCGCCGGGCCAGAGATGATCACATATGCATCTTCCCCGAGAACACCGGACGAGATGAGCTGGGAGCGAATGGCAGCACTAGCAGAACATCATTCAGAACCTGATTCGATCCAGCTGCAATCAAACGCTACAAACCGAAGGCGACGGCCGGACATGGTGGTCAACTCGCCAGGAATAATCGCCATGACGACGTTCCCGACCTTGAGCATCTGGATGTCCACCGTGCTGGGGGACCAGGCATACGGGAACGTGGCGTACCCAGTGTTCAGCAGGATCGGCTTGGGGAACTGACACGCGACCTGGGCTGCGCTCGGGATGGGCGTTACCGCGGATTTGACAATCTCCCACAACGGGTTCTGGGATGTCGAGTTATCACCCTGGATGAAGTCGAACGCTCCAGGACCATCACTGGCAAACGCGTGACTATCAGCGCGAATGGAAGAGAAGAAACAAAACTGACGTGGTTCCGCCGGCGAACGAGAAACCTGTGATCTGTTAGCACATGGTCAAAGTCATGAGGAAGGAAGAGCAGCGCACCCATGGCAGCCGGGCACGTCTGAGCAACTGTTCCATTCGGGAGCGTAAAGGAGTGGTTTGCCCTGAAAAGTTAAGTGGGTGGGATAGCCAGAGAGGTTAGGGTTATAACTCACATATCCAGATACACATGCACACTGCGGACACTGCCACTCACGGCTGAGAGGCCACTTCCTCCACCGCTAATGATAGTCTTCGCCGCGTCCGCCTGCACTTGTGCAATCATCGAGTTCGAGTGGAACCCGTAAGAATCGAGTCTGAACCCGGGTCCGCGTCCATGGCAATCTTCCACCGTTCCGCCGCAGGTCGACGTGTTGGCCTGGCACGCCATTCCATCGTAAGGCTTTCCGGGGGACTCGCAGAACGCGCCGAGGGTGTTGGGGGACGTGTCTCCGACGTTTGCCTGCGCAAAGCCGGCAATAAAGGTCTGGTTTCCGGGCATTGCGTTCGGCTCGACGGATGCTGGATTGTCTGGTCAGCTTCTGCGTGTCGAAGGGATGAGAGGCGCATACACTCGTACAGGTATGCCGCCATTCCTTTGTTGTCTGAGCTCACGAGCGTATTGTTCTAGGAAGGTATAAGTAAGGAGCGGGCGATGGAGAACACTCGAGTTTGATACAACGCGCACCTCGTACAAGCTTGTCCCGTGGACGGGGAACCAGCTGATGAATCCCCTGCTGCCGAAGTTGAGCAAGCTCATGAACTTGTCCTGGTCCCCGCCCTGCGCCTCGTACATCGCCCGCTCGTCGGCCGGGTTCTCCAGATACGCCGTCGGGCTGCGATTAATGTTTCCGCCCACCACTGTCGTGTTGCCCAGCGTCAGGGATCCCGGTGCGAGAGAGTCATGTGCGCGCTTGATCGCCAAAACGGTACCCGTGACGATGGCATCGTACGACTGCTTTACGAAACCGAGGGCAGTGAGCTGCGGGAGGAGGTTCTCGAGGTATCCGCCGACGCCAGAGTGCTGGTGGGTGCTCGAGATGGCGACGTTCTGCTCAGTGTACAGACCGCCGTAGACCGTCTGCAGCTCTGCCAAGATAGCCCTCCGAATACCCGTGTCCCCCATTCCGATGTCTGCGTTGACGAACACGATCCGGGACGCAGCGGTGTCAGATGCCGACTCTCCGACGATCCAGGCGCGGGCGCGTTGACGCTGGTGGAGACCTGTGTCGGTCTGAGCGAGAGACGCGTATCCCATCATGTTGGTCTCGACGACGGGGCCAGTGATGTCTGCGACACCCAGTCCCAGGAGATAGGAGGTCTGGGCGGAGACATGCGACGCAGCTGTGCACAGTGCGAGGAGTGCAGCGAACGGCGCGGTGACCTTCATCGTTGAGAAGGGCAGGGGGCTCGAGCTCAATCACAGGCTGATCTCCCTCCCATAAATAGTGCGATCCTCCATCAGTCGCCCATTTTGGATGAGATGCCAGGCTCGTTTGCATCTGATTTCGGCACGCATATGACTGAACATCCCATGACCCAGTGTGTTGAGTTCTAAAATTGGCCCCTTCTGCATTGCTCAGCATGTGTTCTCACCAATGCTTCGCAAAGCCTGCTCTTGAGCGCTGAAGGCAACGCTGACTGCGCCGACCGCTATCTCCAGGGGCGAGATGATGGCTTACGACGCGAGATAGAGCAGCACACGACCCGACAAAGCTTCCGTGAGATCCTAATGATGTGATGGGTGACCAACATTCCCATCATATGTGTGGCGAGATAAGGTATGTAATGTCCATGGAGCGAGTGGATCCCAACCGCAGACGTACGAAATGTTCTTGTGCAGAGCCCAGACGCTTCAAACAGCTTCGAAGCGCAGGACACATGGACGACATGCGAACCTGTTCCCCACGCTACGCTCATCCGTACGTTTACGTCATATCGCGTATCTTGCGCACGGGGGTGCTTAAAATCCGAGCCATATCCGCCGTATGAATCACCTATCGTCATGCCCATGGTGACCGCTCATACTGACTGACATTCACGAAGCCTATGGAGCAAGTCGCCCGTGGACGGTTGGGTGTACATTGTCCGGCTCGCAGTTTATGTACATATTGGGCGGCGGCGTGTCTTCCAATACACTGAGAGTGTGCGCTGATCTTGCTCACGATGGGATTCAGTTTGAGAGACTCGCCATCACTTTCAGAAGTGGAATTTCTACTACGGACGACTCGCAATATATTTGTGGACAACCTGCGGCACTCCTGCGAGTTTACGACAGGCAGACCTAATGTGTTTTCTGGTGTCTTGACGGTGGATCGGATGCAGCGGAGCTCGTTTACCGGAGGCTTCGAGATAGGCTCTCTCAATGCCCGAGCGCCATACTCTCTCGTGTCCGGAACACTTCTCGCCATCGAATCTGATTCTATCAAAGAGATTGATGGGTGATGGAATACCTAGTACAACTCTTTCTTCCTCTTCCATCCATGACCACTCCTAAATCCTCCGAATCACTTAAAAAGTTCAGAAAGCCTGCATTCATGCCATTGCTTTAGAATTTTCAAAAAAGATGCGCTTGGCATACGCAGCGAGAACAATTCACTGCAGGGGGACTTAATTTTTTTCCGTGGAAAATGCGTGACAATCTAGAAGTCCGATTTTCACCGTTCTGTTTTCAGACAAAAAATATATATTGAAAATAGACATCGATTTACAGCTCGATTTTTACCATGAATAGACATCTCTTCCTCCCGAAAACAGAACTGTAAATAGATCATCTTTTTCTTGATCGATTCCCACCGGGAATAGACGTCGATTTTCACTGAAAATAGAGACAAAGAAAAGATGATCTTTTTTCACTGAAAACAGATTAAAACCACTGGAAGAATCTGTTGATTCTGGCCCCAATTTGCATCCCTAGCCTTGCAAAAGGCTACTGGATGCTACTCACATGTTGGAATCATGCTGCAGGACTTGTGATGTGAATTGGGGCCAGAATCAACAGATTCTTCCAGTGGTTTTAATCTGTTTTCAGTGAAAAAAGATCATCTTTTCTTTGTCTCTATTTTCAGTGAAAATCGACGTCTATTCCCGGTGGGAATCGATCAAGAAAAAGATGATCTATTTACAGTTCTGTTTTCGGGAGGAAGAGATGTCTATTCATGGTAAAAATCGAGCTGTAAATCGACGTCTATTTTCAATATATATTTTTTGTCTGAAAACAGAACAGTGAAAATCGGACTTCTAGATTGTCACGCATTTTCCACGGAAAAAAAAATAAGCCCCCCCGCAGTGATTGTTCAATGCAGTATGAGAGAAGAAGAGACCGGGGGGATGAACTGAGTGAGATAACACAGCATCAATCATGGATAATGGCAAATTATCTGCACGATATGTATGGATTGTATGGTATGCAAAATCTTTTCGTCTATGATTCGAACGGAGATTACGAGAATCTCGGATGGTAAGCCACGAGAAGTTCGTTGATCGCGACGGAAAGCAATTGCCTTGCTTGTCAAGGCTTCTCCATCCTCATAATTGTCTCAATTTCGTGCGACGCGGTTTGACCCGCGATTCCGTTCTTTTCCGCTATGTTTCTGGTGGTCACTTGTTCGATCCATCAGTACGTTTTCGACTTTTCCTCATTTATGCTACAATTCCTCAACAACTCTCTGCTGGCCGTCAATGTGTCACTATTGATCATTATGACCATGAATAGAGCAAGGCACTCTGCCGGCGGAGACGGCGCTCTCTAGTTATGAGCGCTTGTAAAAAGTGCGGGGACCATGTATGGATGCCGGAGTGTCAATCGGGGCCGCATCGATGATGGATCTTTGTTCTCCAAATGCCTGAAACTGGACCGAAAGAAAGCGGGAACCCAGAAGCGCTACCACGGACAACTTGCCGAGGATTACTATTGGAGGCAATTGGGCTGCATGGTTGTGATGGGTTATATTCAATGCAGCTGATATGTAGTTTGCGCTGTCACCACGAGACAAACATGCGACCTAGAGAAGTTAGATGGTGGAACGCAACATGCAAAGACGGTGGGGTTTGACAGCATTATGTCGTGAATCCCGAGGTTACACTGCCTCATGGCTTCTGCGTTTCCTGCAAAATGCAAGGTAGACACGGTGCGACGTCGTGCCATCTAGTCACATCGAGCGCCCAACCTGTAGGCTTTCCGCATGATCGAGTGTTGAGGGGGTCCGGACTGCGGAGAGCAAATCTGACACGTCACCTCATCGGAGCCGCCAACTGGTAGGGAGAGGAGTATCACTTTTGACGGACGATGACAGGATCTTATAGTTAAACATATACTGTCCACAGCGACAGATCCATATTGGTGGGAATCCATATATACCCCACGAGAGTCGACGATCTAGAATATCCAAGTCTCTGCACAACAGGAACTAGTGGAAGCGGTGCATCCTTCTCACGCACAGCTCGATCCTATTTCTGGGTAGTACTGCCAGTGGGGCCTGGGTAGACAGAGTACCAAACGACGGCGCAGTTTTGCTACATCATCGGCCTGTACTAGGATGGTCGACTTGGACGCGGCAGTGAAAGACGGATTGCGGTGAACGATGATGGTATCACTGATAGTTATGCGTTTCCGTTAAACGCCCAGTGTGGTTCAATTATGGCCACTGATGAACCCTATTTGATGTTCTCCCTATCGTTCCATCAACCGCATCGGGCATGTATTTATGGTATCTCCTCACACTGGGATGTCAAGTCGGTAGATCTCTTCCCTCTCATCAAACTTTGTGCGCGGCTACTTGATCAACTGCCTCGCGGGGATCGTGTACTTGGTCGAGTCCCATCGGATAAGAGCCCCACTTCCAACTAACCATAACTGTTACACACTGAATCGTTCCCTTTGTACGCCTATCACATTTGTCGAAGGGCTACGGCATCTCAACCAGACAGACCATAATTCTACACGTCGTCAATCGTGCGAGTTGACCCGCTGCCTGACGAGGGCCCAGAATTTGTCGCGAGCATGCTGTTCAATGCGTGTACATGAGGCAAGTCTAAATCTGTCGAGACCGTAAACGTTTCCAGATTCATCTATTTGATATGAAAACGCTGTACATCTTGGCACAGCTTCTAGAAGAGGAGCTCATAGCTGTAGAGCATGTTCTCTTTAAAGACGAACACTTGAAGCTTCGTTGTCAGCCGGTCCAAGTACCGCTCACTCATGGACACTGTCGAACACTCTCATGATATCCGGGAGGATTCATCATCGTTGCACACGCTATATGCAACTCCGCCAGGAAAAATGCGGTCCATCACGTCGCACACGACCAATAGGTACCACGACTCGAAAAGAATGTCAGTCATTCTGAAACTCATATCTCGCTCGTGGCTGATTGGCGCTGTGCCCCAGGATCGAGGCGTACATGAGGGATATTTCGCCCGCGATGTTCTCTCTTTCGGATGGAGATCACGAGCAGTCCGTGCATGCAGGTACTTCGACTCCTGATGTCTCACAAAATGCTTCAGATCCGTTCCCCCTTTCCCGCGGCGACACTGGACACCGCACATCCATCCCGAGGGAAAACTATACTTCGTCCGCGAGTACCAGGACTCGCATACCATCCGCGTCGTGACTGAAACCCACCTACTCGCTCCCTCCCCCGATTTGGCGGGCATATGCGACTCGTGGATCGAGTACATCCAAACACGACTCGAGCAGATCGGGGTCCGCATCACGCCGCACTTGGAGCTGTTTATTCAGCTCGAGGGCGTCCACATGTCGGACTGTGCCCATTATCTCGTTGATCATCTGAACAAAGTCCAGTTCTGGTTCGAGCCGGTGAACACCGAGGTCTTGGGCTTGCCTCCTGTCGTCTCCGACTCCCAGCTCAGTGCGTAATGATATTCATGCAAACACCGTTTGAAGTTCATTGTTGTTCACTAGAGCTCGCGTTGTGCGAATTGTACTGGTCACATGTCGAGCATTTCCCCATGCACATCGCCCCGCAGCCAATAAGCGTCTTGGAAAATCTGATCAGCGTGATGAATCACGGATTATGCGGTATGTCTTGCTCTGCGTTCCAAGATTTTCGAGACCATCCATCGACGAGCGAAACAGATCATATGACTTCGAGAGTTTCGACATTCCCGTACAATGCAGAGGAATGCGGCGCGCTCATCAATATGCTACAAAGCTGTAGAGGTGGGCAGATCAGAGCCTAAAGGTATCCTGATCTGATTCCCACTCCGTCAGGAAACCTCTCGGAAGGATACACAACCTGGACCTTGGGTGTGCAAAGTCCCATTCTCACCGAACAATTGATTTGATCCGTCTTTCAGCTAGATTGTGGACTGTTATATGTTTGTTTCCCTGTCCAGTCCACCCACATCATGCATTCAACTTCGTTATTAGACCGAAACAGAATTCTCAACTTCCACGGCGAGGACTGTGCCCGGCTTTCACGTGATCAATATGTGCTTTATCCACGCACGAGAGCTGGATGGAGCGAAAACGTGCTGAAGGTTTTGACTTTCGGTATCTGGAATGACTTTGTCGCGCGATTAGACGATGTGTTTGTCGATCACGTGGTTCATGTTCACCTTTGGAAGGGGTTGATTGTGGATTGTCTGGCGGAATGGGAGAGCGCATCGCATGCGGCAAGTACCACCTTTCGAGAGTGTATTTGTTTCGTAACTCTTTTGACAGTCCTTAGCAGCGCTGTTGTCAGTGATCTGCACAACTCCATTTTGACCGGTCTAACTCGATCTCAGGTTGCACGCGCCATTCTTACTGATGCCACTGAGTCTACCACCTGGTGCTGCCCTCACTATATCTGTATTGCTGCAAAGCTCAAGCCTCTTGTGCTCCATCGTCCTCAAACTCCAATATCAGTCGATGGAGAGGTACACTGCCGACGAAGCGGTACGTCTGGCCCGGCATCTCTCCACACTCTACAACTTACATCGGTTTTGCAATTGATAGCTCCGATATCTCGAAAGGGCGCACTCAGAGACACTGCAGTTCCGGATTCTGGCAGCGGCGTTCTCACTTCCAAGGCTGCTATTTCTCTACGGGTGTTTGATTCTGGTGTTCAACTGGTCGGTGGTCGCAGCTCAATGCTTGGGTCTCGTGGCGGGTGTCTTTGCGTTGGGACTGAGTATCGCCGTTCCAATGGTCCTGTGGCTTGCCATTCTGAAGCCACGGACGCATGTCTCGCTCGGTTGGCTGAAGTGTTCGAGGAGGCGGAGGAGCGTCCAAGCGCCTATTTGAGTGCACACCAATGTCTTTCGTGTCCACAAGTGGAAGGTAATATCCCATCTACTTCTCAGTGTCTCAATCTCAGGACGAATATTATGTATGAGCTTGTTCATTTTTCATGTCATTTGGGATGTATCAACCCGCGTTCTGCACTCCAAAACCATCCGGTCCCCGGATTTCGGTACAGCCCGGGATGCATCGGGTGCTGTTCCGTAAATCCGGCGGGAACCACGACGGGCTGTACGTGGAGCGTGGTGTACGGCCCGAGGTTTGTCCCGTAGGCGGCGCTGAACGGCGATGGCTCCGGCGACGACTGGGTCTGCGCTGCGATGGGGCCACTGAGGGTTGATACAGCTGCAAGAACTCAAGACTGACCCTGAAATCTCCGCCAGCTCTCATAGTTTTCGCGGTGCACGAGATAGTGACGCAGGTTGCGGGAGGAGATAGGGTCTTGGTTGAATCGCGGGTCTTGGTTTACTGAGGAAAGGTCAGAGGTTAGTGGCAAAGAAGTGGACTCGGAACATACTATGCATGATCCGAGACCTGTTTTTGACCAGACGCATCGTCGCAGGGGATCCGACCCAGATCCAAGAATATGGATGGCACCATTCGATTTCAGGCGCACTATCTATTCTGACCCATTTTCTGCAGTCGCGCGGCTACAGAAGGCACATCAGAAAAGAAGAAAAACGACTGAACGCAAGAGATACGGACCGCAGCATCGCACAACCTTGCGACCTTGACAAACTCCGCGTCGTAGTCGACTTCGATCACGAGACACGGTTTTGGATCCGCCGTCGGTCGCGTCCCAGAAGCCCAGCGTGCATGCCATTCCTCTGGTGAGAGGATAGTCTTGTCCATTTCACTCGACAGGCAGTCGCAGCGCAAGATGATCCCAGGACAAATCTCGTGGATGCTTTGGATGCCAGGAAACATGTTATAGTCGCCGAAAATGGAAGTTGGTACAACTCAGGCCGGTCGTGGAACGTTTTATAGCAGAGTGTGCCATCTCAGACGTCCGGACGTAGCACGATCTCGTAAGCCAGAAATGAGTCAGTCGGAGTCATGCAGCTTTTGATGTCCTGCCTGATACCCAAATCCACTGAACCTTCTTACTTCATTAGGTTTCGCTCCCGAGTTTTTCACTGATAGCGTCATCATAGTTTCAGACCAATCTCGGACCCGGATCAAGAGACAGGAGACTGGACGAATGACGGTACGGTGGGAATGGGAGAGTTACAACAGGAGGTGGCTGGGCAGAGTTCTGACTCGAAGAGAGCCGGATCAAATCGGCACCCGAGGCGTTATTCTTTCAGCTCGTGAGCTTCCAGTCTTGAAAAAAGCACTGAAGATCCCAGGTTCGAGAGAAATAACTGGATCCCGAGCCCTGCAAATGCAAGAGAGACCGAGGCAGACAATTGTCGATATCTATACGTTGTATTTGCTTCCGAACCGTGTGACACGATGTCCGAGTGGTTAAGGAGATCGCCTGCTAAGCGGTTGGGCTTTGCCCGCGTGTGTTCGAATCGCACTCGTGTCGCTTTTTAGGGAAACTTGCTCACAAATCTATGCCATTGCAACGATGCAATGGGCGGCTGTTTTCTGTACTCCAATGCGAACGTCGTTCAACTTCCGTCTTCGTTTTGTGGTGGTTCCAACTTCAAAGCAGGCAACGTGCTTTTTCATCTATCGTTGCTTGGCTGAGAACAAGATCGGAATCGCGGGACACCCAGTCAGTCCTCAACGCGCATGTGCTTTCCGCTATGCACCCAAAGGATTGGAGCTCCCAACAATCCACGCTTACGCCATCATCCAGGTTTCTCTCCTGCTGAAACTGGATCTGCACCTTCGCCGGTAGACGATCAGGATTCCCAGCCCTGATATGCCCCCACAAGAATCCCACTGTCATCACGCGCATCCCGGCGGATGCTCCCATGTTGCACAAATCAATATATTTCGCCCTTCCACGGCACGATCTCCTTGTATACGCCGAATACACGATCGTGACTGGCATCTCCCCAGCGACTCTTGCGCTTGCCATCTATCAGCCGCCCCGTCTCCTGCTCCCAGAAGCCGAACATCACGCGCGCGGTGTTGACGTCTTCGACAAACAGCGCCCGTCCCGATGTGGATGGCTGGGTGCGACGGCCCGACAGACGGGCGGCAACGGACGCCAGAGGATCCGTCAGATGGAGGTGAGTTAGTTCTACGAGTGTGGGAAGCCTTGGTCCGGGGTACACGACCGTTTCGGCAAGAGCTTCGTCATCACTCCCAGACGAGACAGGGGGAGAGCGTAGCATCGCAACGACAAAAGTCAACCCCAGTGCGAGACCCGAATGAAGATAGAGCAGAACGATGTATGCGAGCGTTGGAATGAATGGATAGCAGGCGTAAAGCTGCTGCGTAAGAGGAACGGAAACCGTATACGATGTCACGTGAAGCCAAATGTCGGTCAAACTGATTGGCAATGAGAGACAAGCGATGGAGGACAGAGATCCCTTACCTCAGGAGATGACCTATAGAAAGAATACCACCGACGAGCAACGCACCCTGGGCAAAGAACCCCGGCGCTCCAACGCGAGTGCGCCGATGTTGCAGATAGCCTGCAACTTCGAGAACAGAGCGCGGAGATGGCGAGGCGAACAGTTTCAGAAGCAGCCCGTATCTAACAACAACTCGGTATGCAATCAGAGTCAATCGGCTGTGGTACGTACTGCAGGGGAGTCATGAGATGGGACTCATCCGGGGCATTTGTATCAGGCTGCTGCTGGAATTTGACGCTGGCCGCGGCGAGCCAGTAAGCCGCGAGCCCGATGAGCAATGGACACCCCACGAACGACACGACATTCGACTGGAATGATGTCAGAGATCGACAGATCGGGGAGAAAACCCTCTCTCACCATGATTGTCGTCCACAGCAACAGCCTCAACGACGCTCGAGACCCATCCTCTTTCAAATAGAATACGTTTTCCTCGCCGTGCGTTCCTCGCAGCATCAAATACAACAACGTTCCCGTCGCAGACGATGCAGACAGCAGCGTGTAGAGGGCCCCAGGAAGGACAATCCTCCATCCAAGCGAAACGAGCGGCGGCTCCCGTCGCCTTCGCTTCGTGCTCATCCGCCTCATCGTCGATGGCTCGCTACTCGCAATCTCATCGCCCCGCTCCGCCCAGTCGTACAAGTCGTGTTTGCGTAGTGGAGATAACGCGGCACACTCGGGCAGCGACACCTCGGAGCGGGTGGCGGTCCATTCGCACGCATGAGTGATGGACGGCTCGCTTCGAGCGGGGAAGGGAGTCACTTTCGACAATGACTCGTCCAGAGCGAGTGGGCGCGCGTAGACGATGCGGATGGTGGGGCGTTTGGCCGGCATACTGCAGTCAGAAGGCGCAGGGGCAATCTGGAGGATATCAGCACATCCTCAGCACATCCACACATAAATAGGACTGACTCCACCCGAGTCGGGCACTTATCCCCAGTCATCCCGTCGCAGGGCAGGCAGGGCAGGCAGGCAAGCTTTCTGTCAGGGAGGGGCTTCTTCGATGGAAGATGAACAGTGATCTCAGGCCGAACTTTGTTGGGCTGTGCGCGACGGAACTTGCAGACCTGGTGAGAAATGTGGAGGCACTGCCTCGCACCGGTTGGTGCCGTGCGTATATCGTCATGCGCACGAGAAGGCGGCGTTGAGCGGCGGATGGGTGACTACTTGTATGTTCGGCGCAGTCTGTGAGATATGCAGTGCACTACTGGCGGTGAGATGAGTAGAGGAGACGAGAATGATTTATTGCCGGCCGAAACGTTTGACAGCTCCTCTCATCACGCAGATCCTGATTGATACTTGCCGCCAAACTTGAGGCTTGTTCTAACGTTTCGATGTACACCCCAGGGACCTCCAATTATTACGTAAAATGGCTTCGAGGCCCCCTCCGGAGGCCATCAAACCACCCCCTACCCCCCCTGATCGGAGGCCATCCTGGAGGCGCCTTCCTAATTGGGACGCTGCCTGGCCATTTGTCCACCGCTTGCATGGTATGCTAGGGATCGGCCTGAGTGCTGATATATGCTGTAGTAGTCATTATAAAGCCTCAGACAATGTCTGACCTCTCAAAAGCATGTATTTCTTGCTTGCAAATGGCAGACCACTGGGTGCACACAATTTGGGATCTGAGTACGTGAGCACTCCTCAGGTGCATAGAGCAACAGTAGATGTATTAATTCGAGATTGAGCATGAGGTATCTGTGCCCACACGCAAAAATGAGATGTTGCTGAAGGGATGGTTTATGGCCTCCACGACCTCCCAGGTGCAGAAAAAAAGGTGTTGGGTAGCCCACAGGCCCTTGAATTCCGCTTCAATAGATCAATTAGATGCTTATGCTCTGTCAAAACAACAGCCCAGCATATAAATTGGATGCTGGAGCAGTGGCAGAACAAGCCTCCACCGCCTCCAGGGCCGGGGATCAAAAGCGGTTACTGTAGATTCAGCCACACAAACTGTGTTCATGACATTATTTATCTTCATTGAGATGCACAGGATCCTTTAGAGCGATAGCTCAACATGTGAATTGGATGCTAGAGCAGATTACAGAAAAGCTCTCCACAGCCTCCACAGCCGGGGACTGAAAGCAGTTTCTTTGGATTTAGTGGTAGAAACTATGTGTTCAATGTCAGGTGTCTTATTTGAATGCCAAGGGTCCTCTATGGAGACAGCTCAGCATATGAATCAGATGCTGGAGCGAATGGCAGAACTGGCCTCCACCGCCTCCACAGGTTATTACTTGAAGAGTTGGGATGAGATGACAATGTAACAGACAGATATTCTCCTGGCTGACCACATTCTGTCATTTCTACCTCTAAATGCAAGTTGAATTGCTGCAGAATGTTAAAATGAGAGAATGGGGGACCCTGGAGGCGCTGGAGGCACATGCAAGATCCAATCAATATCATCAATATCATCAATGCCATCAATAGCATCAATAGCATCACCAATCATTGGTAGATTGATCAGCCAATCAGATGATGAATAAACATCGAACATCTAGTATATTCATTCCTGAGAGACACAGACTACATGTATGCTCATACTGAAAGTGGATTAGTGGTCCCAGGACATGCCCCAATGACATATTACATCCTTGTCTGAAGAACATATCATTGAAATTCGGAGTTTGCAAATGAACTGAAAGTCAACTGAAGATGAGTGGTACAGTGGAGTACTTTCAGCTCATTTGCCGAATCCCATTTTTAATCATATGTTCTTCAGACAAGGATGTAATATGTCATTGGGGCATGTCCTGGGACCACTAATCCACTTTCAGTATGAGCATACATGTAGTCTGTGTCTCTCAGGAATGAATATACTAGATGTTCGATGTTTATTCATCATCTGATTGGCTGATCAATCTACCAATGATTGGTGATGCTATTGATGCTATTGATGGCATTGATGATATTGATGATATTGATTGGATCTTGCATGTGCCTCCAGCGCCTCCAGGGTCCCCCATTCTCTCATTTTAACATTCTGCAGCAATTCAACTTGCATTTAGAGGTAGAAATGACAGAATGTGGTCAGCCAGGAGAATATCTGTCTGTTACATTGTCATCTCATCCCAACTCTTCAAGTAATAACCTGTGGAGGCGGTGGAGGCCAGTTCTGCCATTCGCTCCAGCATCTGATTCATATGCTGAGCTGTCTCCATAGAGGACCCTTGGCATTCAAATAAGACACCTGACATTGAACACATAGTTTCTACCACTAAATCCAAAGAAACTGCTTTCAGTCCCCGGCTGTGGAGGCTGTGGAGAGCTTTTCTGTAATCTGCTCTAGCATCCAATTCACATGTTGAGCTATCGCTCTAAAGGATCCTGTGCATCTCAATGAAGATAAATAATGTCATGAACACAGTTTGTGTGGCTGAATCTACAGTAACCGCTTTTGATCCCCGGCCCTGGAGGCGGTGGAGGCTTGTTCTGCCACTGCTCCAGCATCCAATTTATATGCTGGGCTGTTGTTTTGACAGAGCATAAGCATCTAATTGATCTATTGAAGCGGAATTCAAGGGCCTGTGGGCTACCCAACACCTTTTTTTCTGCACCTGGGAGGTCGTGGAGGCCATAAACCATCCCTTCAGCAACATCTCATTTTTGCGTGTGGGCACAGATACCTCATGCTCAATCTCGAATTAATACATCTACTGTTGCTCTATGCACCTGAGGAGTGCTCACGTACTCAGATCCCAAATTGTGTGCACCCAGTGGTCTGCCATTTGCAAGCAAGAAATACATGCTTTTGAGAGGTCAGACATTGTCTGAGGCTTTATAATGACTACTACAGCATATATCAGCACTCAGGCCGATCCCTAGCATACCATGCAAGCGGTGGACAAATGGCCAGGCAGCGTCCCAATTAGGAAGGCGCCTCCAGGATGGCCTCCGATCAGGGGGGGTAGGGGGTGGTTTGATGGCCTCCGGAGGGGGCCTCGAAGCCATTTTACGTAATAATTGGAGGTCCCTGGGGTGTCGATGTAACGCTCATGAGCGTATGTTCCGCGACTTGTATACATGTAGGTGTCCTCTATTCAGTTATTTCGGTCGGTGGTTGCGGTTTCATGCTGGAAGCTGGATCCGGCCAGATTGCTGATTGATTCTGAATCACATCGTCCAGAATCGGATCCTCGTCCTCCAGTGCTTCGCGCTCAGCCGTGTCCCCCTAACACATGATACCCGTCCTTCCTCCTGAGATCGAGCGGGAGGTATTCGAGACGGCAGCAATCAGGCATCCTTCTGTCGCACCTGCGCTGTTGCGAGTGTATGGAGGCCGGGAACAGCATGCTGATTCGCGGCGCGAAATGAGATCGCTGTCTGATTGATGGATCGCTGCACGTGCTCGGCATCATTCACGGCATATGACATTGTACTTTGTTGCTTGTGCTCTGTAAGGTTTATAAATGCTAGTTAATGTACACACTAGTTAGATATCATATTGTATGTATATATTCTTGTTAACAAGCGTTGAGTTCTCCTGGTCCTGAAATTGATCGGTCACGTGCAGTTTCGATGAGTCAGCAAGGTCGCCGAAACACTTTCACGTGATCCAGTCTCATTATTGCGGACGCCCTGGGCAGGAATCAATGAGTGTCCTCCATAGGTGTGTCATCGTTCAAGCTAATTAAGTAGTGCTGAGTTTGTAGTCCAATGGTACAACTCCGACCTGGTTGGATGCTTGCTTCCCTTGGAATAAGCTCAGGAGGCAGCGATCCCCGGGAACTAGACCGCCAGGGACTCTGCTAAGGCATCGAGAAATGCCTAAATCAATTAGATTAAAACAGTGCCACTCCAAACCGGCAGAAGAAATTAAATATTGTTTGAAAATTGCAACCTGTCTAGACCTTTGTAGAAATAAGCCTGAGCAGTCGAAGTAATGCTGTCGAGCACTCTGAACACGAGATTTTTGGAGTTGTACCAATGTACACAACACTTAAATGCAGATGACTGGTAGATTTACAGTTTACCTTGTACTCAGCAATGTACAGCAGTGACAAAGACTACATAATCAGGTTACTGTGAATTCTTCAAACTGTTGCGCTTTAAGCAGTAGATACTTGGCTAAATCCTCAGTGGCACTACTTAATTAGCTTGAACGATGACACACCTATGGAGGACACTCATTGATTCCTGCCCAGGGCGTCCGCAATAATGAGACTGGATCACGTGAAAGTGTTTCGGCGACCTTGCTGACTCATCGAAACTGCACGTGACCGATCAATTTCAGGACCAGGAGAACTCAACGCTTGTTAACAAGAATATATACATACAATATGATATCTAACTAGTGTGTACATTAACTAGCATTTATAAACCTTACAGAGCACAAGCAACAAAGTACAATGTCATATGCCGTGAATGATGCCGAGCACGTGCAGCGATCCATCAATCAGACAGCGATCTCATTTCGCGCCGCGAATCAGCATGCTGTTCCCGGCCTCCATACGAGTGGCTAAGCGTGTCCACATCTGGTAGGCAGCCTGCGAGAGTCGACACGCACAAGTCCCGCTGATTTCCATTCAGGATAAAGCCCGTTCTTTTCCGCCTTCTCTCGATCGATCGTCATGGTACCTATCATGATGACAAAGCGCTCGAGGTTCTCTCTGTCGTGCGGACGGCGATGCAAACCGATGAAGGTCGGGCCCTCGTCTGCCCCTCCGTACGGCACCTCTGCCTAGGCCTTCCCACGACTGACATGTCTGCATACGAAGCATACGTCTTAGTTGCACAACTTCCCAACTTGGAGAATCTCCTTGCTACTGCGTCATTTATAACTCCGGCGCTGCTCGAAGCCCTATCTCAATCTGGTGCCCGGTTGCGACGCCTAGCGGGTCCTATAAGCCGGATATTTGATCCGCAGGGTTCAACAGTATCACCTCTATCTCTCCCCTGCGTGTCGTGCCTAACGCATCTCGACATCTTCGATTCCGTAGGTGAATTCACCTTCGTACAAGAGCTATCCGCCCTCGCCAGCCTCACTCATCTTGGCATCTCGGGGTCTGTAGCCCCCTTGGTTGGCGAAATCCTCTCAACTTGTCCCTCCCTACATGTTCTGCTGATCCAATACTCCTCCCTCCGGAACCCACTAGATCCGATAGAGCGATTCACGGACGATGACCGTGTCATCGCTACACACTTCGTGAATTATTGGGCAGAATGGAAGCTCGCCGCTCGCACCTGCCGGGATGTGTGGGACGCAGCCGAGGAGTTCATCACTGCGAAAAGAGTGGGGACCATTTCTAGTATGTTCAGTTTCGTTCGGAAACTCTTCACTGCATTGAATACCCGGCACATTGCAGGTGACGTTTTTATCATGAACACTATTTCTACACAAACTTTATTCGGGAATTTCTAAGTACAGCTAGAAATCTGAGATGATGGGCAAGCCTAAGTCGAATTCACGATCTTCCATGCCTATGGCCGGTGGCAGTAGATGATTGAATTGGAAATGCTCCAGATCGACAGCGCCATAAAATTGATCGGTAGCGGAAATAGTGTCGTTCTTGCTTGAAAACAGAGCTGCATTGAACGGGATCTCATTTTCCTTGTTGCGTCTCAGTCCCGCGCCGAATCCAAAGAGCCGCCGGGTCTTGCGCTCCTTGATCGGTATTGCACACGTCCAGCCATGACGCAGTGGAGACGGGCCAGGTCTCCTATACGGCTGTGAGCAAGGCCGACAGCGATGTTTTGCTGCGTGTCGCCTGGGAGCAGAGATGTGTTCGAGATGCGGCGCCAGCAGTGAGTGCGGATACAAGGAGACAGTCCGAGCGTCCGAAGGTATAGGGGGCTTGATTCTCACAGAAGTAACGCGAAGATCGAGCGGTGGATGCGGATGTGCAATGAGACGCGACCAGGCAAAGGCAGACGCGAGTTTTGATTCAGAATCCGAGCAATTTGGAAGAATAGGACAGCTGGATTCCAAGTCCCCCGGATTTCCCTGGCAGTGAGTGTAAAGCGACTCGGACGAAGCGAGCATGTCACGGTAAGCCAACACGCACCTCAGAACTGCGCCTTCGGATCGTCACAACGACTCGCCACCCAGCCTCCGCTGCCCTCGCTAGCCCCAACACGAGAAGAATCACACCGAATGAGACGCCCAGTTCTTGAACGACTTTCTGTAGTTGCGTAGATGACGTTTCGAGAACTTCCACCGGACGGCCTGGCAGTGGCGGGACAGTCATTGGTAGCCCGATCGAGAGAGAAAGAGATTGAAAGGAGTGGAATTGAAAATGAGCGTGTGCGTAGATAAGTGATGTAGGATAGTTGGTGACGGACGAAAGGCAGATATTTGAGGAAAGCTGCAATGAGAGAGGAGGAGATGGATCACGTGACGAGTGAAGGGCCTTTCAAATCTGATTGTGTCTCATTTTGACCAGTAGCTACTAGCAGCTCGTTGGTCTTCCATGGGGTAATGGCTTTTGAAACTCGTGTCTCGCAGTCTTGCTTCTCTCTCCAGTGTACGGAATTCTCGAGACACCCGAACGGTCGGCCCATGGCAAGGTGGCCGAGCGGTCTAAGGCGCTAGTTTCAGGTTTTCGCGATGCTGCGCAGAGTTATTCAATAATTTGGTGGAGAATCTACTAGTCAGAAATGGCGCGAGTTCGAATCTCGCCCTTGTCATTTTGACCCTGAACACCCCAGCTTGACTCGGACTGCTGGTGTGCAGAGTACTAATCGGCCACCGTTACGAGCACCTTAGAGATGAGCGAATGCCAGATGACCGCGAATTCAGTCGATAGCAGAAGGCCGTTCAGGGTAATGAGTATAGGCGCAAAGTTCGGGGATGTTGACAATGCGGAACGCTGAAACCCGGCCGCGGGTTGACAGATTCCGCGGAAGAATCGAGCGGTATCCGATGGAGATCAGAGAAGAGCCACGCTGTGAGACGAGCCATACATGCCCTGAGCAACAAGTTGCTTCAGCATGACAAATAAATTTCACACTGTAAAAGGGCAATACCAGTGAAAAGACACCCCCGGTGGGACTGTCGGGCTCGCTCACTTCGTCGACGCCAATGTCTAGACAGTGCGGTGCGACCAACTTCAATGCGTAACGTATTGTTACGTACCACTTCCCCGCTTGATACACCACCAGGACACGAATAACCACTGCGACGAATGGGAGTGACATAACATATCTCGACTACTTAAAATTGACCTACTACGTACTGTAACAGCAGGAATGGGAAAGGAACGATCAGTAAAGATGGTTTTTGAGTGATTCCATGGGGTATAAAGAAAGAACGATGACAGTATCAACAAACTACTCCTCTTCCTCTTCTTCCATGACATTGTGCAGCGGTGCACCATGCACATATCGACCCGGACTCGCGCGACCGGCATCTTCCAGGTCGGGAGTGGTCGCCTCAAGCAGAGGCGGCGAGGCTTTCTGGGGCGGTGGTGCAGCGACTTCCGGCTTTGGGGAGACCGGAAGACCGGGTGAGGCCTCCTTCGCTGGTGCGCGAACAGGTAGCCGGGATGGCGGCGCTGGACCGGATGGCTTCGGTGGCAACGCTCGCTGCTCCCGTTCGCGGAACATATCGATGAGCGCAGAGGTCTTGCTCGGCTGCGGAGCGGCGATTGTGACCGGTGTCGGTACATCCTCTACTTCCTCCATGGCAGGACTGAGCACCGCGGAATCGGTCTTCGAATGGGTTGAAGAGATCCGCTCAGCCCGACGCAGGTTCTCGGAATCATCGAATGGTGGGATATCCACCGGTGAGATCGGCGTAACAGGACTAGGCTTCGTCGGTAGGGGACGAATCGCATCCAGGTTGCGGGGAATATCATGCACGTCCTCGCTGCTATCGTTACCGCTGAGCAGGCTGCGAGGATCGTCGTCGACTTCATCCTCGTCCTCGTCCTCGTTGCCCGTCGCGACAGACGGCGGACGTCGATCTGGGTGCAGATCAAAGTAGCTTGCACCTTGTCGATGATTCTGGCGAGCTGCTTCAAGCCGGGCTGCAAGGTCAGGATGAGTCGAAGCCAGCGGTGTCTGTTGCTCATCCTCGTCTTCGTCATATGGAATCGGAACGTCCTCGTCCTCGTCATCCTCCTCGACTTGTCTCGGCACCCGTTCGATCTCTGACACATCTGAATCCGGACGTAAGCTTATGGGTGGCGACATCTCTCGGCCCATCGTCTCAGCAGCGAGAGCCTGCGCCACCTCCATGCTAGCCAGCTCCTGGTCCCATCCACGTTTCTTCACCCGCAGCTCGGCATCTTGACCATCCATTCTTCGATCCTGCATGCTGCCGACAAGGATGTCGACCCATTCATCGCCCCGCTTCTTGTTGTCGCCGCCAGCCTCTGCCAGCCTCGTCTCAAACTCGACTGCAGCATACTCTGCTGGAATCATCCCCGGTCTGACTAACCCACCAGGACTAGGCCCGGGGATAATCCCGCCTGGTATCCGAAAACGCGACCCGGACTGCCGTCTCTGGCTCTTGCTCAACGCATCGCCTCCGCTCTCTGTGCTCGAGTTATCTTCGCGCAGCGGCGTAGTAGGCAACGACTCGGATCTCGGCGGAACAGTCATAGTGGTCGTCACCGTCTCCCTCTTCGGAACACCGCTGCCGGCCAGAGTCATCAGCTTTGTCTGCCCACCCTGCGCACGAAGCATGCTATCGAAGTCCCCCAGATCCCGCGTGCTGCCTGTCGCCGTCGGCGTGGCACCAAGGACATATGGCCGTCCATTCAGGGTCGATGCCTGTTTCCACGTCTTGCCTCCTCCTCTCGGCGCAGCGGGCGAAAACAAGCTGGGAAGTCGGCGACGGGTCCCGGGCGGTGCGATGCCCGCTAGCGCAAGCCGGTACTCCCGGGGTACAAACTCTTCGAACAGCACGACTGTGCAGCCGGGATCTTGAGCACCGCCAGATCGTGATTTGAATTCGATCTGTGGTCCCTTCGTGAGATGCTCACAAGCGAGGACATGAGCGACGCACCAGAGCCCATTGGCACTCCCTGGCCAGATCAGCCTGGGGGCCCGCAACACCCGAACTACGCTCCATCCAGCCACCGCCCCACAACAAATCACAGAAGATGTCCATGAACGCCTCCTCAATCACTTCTTCAGCCCCGATCACGGGGGCTGTATCCCAGCCGAAAGCAGGCAATGCCTTGTGGGCTTTACGCAGCTTCTTGGTCAGTTCCGCGTTGTTGGTTGATGCGGCATTGGGTGTCGCTGGTGATGTAAGATTCAGCGAGAGGGGAGTCGAGAACTGGAGCGTAGCAGAAAGTGGTGCATCCGATCGCGAGAATCCGGCACTTGAGAAGTCGTTCCAAGACAGAGTCTCTCGTTTTGCTGCCCGTTCCTAGTGGAAGATTGAATGTCAGTGAAAGCATAATTAACACATCACGTACGGCTCGGGCATTCTCCGTCAAATCAAACTTCAATCGACCGTCGATCCCCGGCTCTTTCCTGCTTGGCGTCGCAACCAAACCAGCGCCGGTCCCATGCGAGAATCCTAGACTCTCAAACTCGCCCCATTTGAGATCCGTCAGAGATCGGAAAGCACCGCCATCAGTGTCCGATGCCAGCGACGTATTCGACGGTGTGTAAGCTGATGAGGAATACGGTGAAGATCCGATAGAGGATGAGAGTGACGGCACATCGGATGTCATCGATGTCATCGATGCTGTTTGCGGATGAACGCCTACTGCCAGATCGAGTCGTCGCCGATAAGTGTCGGAGTATCGAGGGGTGCCTTGAGCGCCGGCCAGGATGTTTCTCCACGCTTTCGACGAAGCCCAGTCATTTGGTCCGCCTGAGGATGGTTTCGAATTCTGCGAGATGCCGACACGATAGTAACTCACTGCCACTGCTTGCACTGCTGCTGGCCCAGGAACTAGCACCCCTCACCAGATCCGCCGAATACGATCGCACATTTCGACGGACATGCACAATCCTCACAGTTCGTGCTCCGCGTCTTGGGTTTGGGCGCGACTTGCCGTTCGTTGTAGCAGCTAGCGAAGGGACGACTGAGACTGTGTAGAAGAAAGCATGATGAGCTTACCGTCATCCACGATGCCTTGTGGGTACATGCGAACCCATTCTCTCAACCTCGTCGGCCCATTAAGAGTGCCTTGATGATCAGTGACTTCTTCCCTAATTGCAGCCAAGAGCATGTGTTCAGCTGCTCTTGCACCACGAAGATACTCTCCATAGGTCGAGGGGAACGACGCAAAGTCCTCTGTGGTCGGAAATAATAGAGCTTCAGGATCGCTCTTCGAGTCTCCGCTCTTAGAATCCTTCCTCGGAGATGGCACACCGGAAGGAACGAGTCCCACTTGCGGGACACAAAGTCCAAACAGCAATGGAGAAAGGATAGTGGCCAAAGAAGGTGGCGTGTGGCCTGATTGAGCGGAATGTGCAACAAGTCGGATGCAGATAGCGAAAAGGGGCTGCAAGATGGGTTGCAGCTGGGCGGGTAGCGATGCGAGTAGAGTAGAGAATGCTGTCGGGGGATACGAGTTCACTGTGGCGTGCATTAGCGTCGGTATTTACGGGCCAGCCGATCAGGGCGGTGGAGATCAGGCACAAGGAAAGAGATGTGAGAGAAGAGCGCGAAACGTACCAGCTTCTTCACTCTTCCACCGCTCGTACCATGCCCAACTAAGCAATCCTCTCAGTTCTCGTCCATCCTCGACCCTCACCACCCTCGAAAGACCCCACCGAAGAGCCATGCCCAGCTCATGCGGTCCCGCAAAACGCGCCTCGTCCTGCCAGTCATCCTCCGCAGCTCGCGATGGAGCTGAAGATCCACAAAAAAGGAATCATCAGAACAGAAGAGATCTGAGGACGACCCATACACACCATCACCACACGTCTTCAAAAAGGCGCCCACCAGCCTTGCTACAGCTGACCGACGCACATCTAGCGCCAGCGCACTGAAAACGAACGGCGTAGTCACACCTGACTTGTCCAGGGCCGCGCACAGCGTGGCCGATAGCCTCGCTACGTCCGCCAAGCTGAGGACGGCATCCCTACCCGGAGACAGGAACCCATACGCCGCGCGCGGCGCGCTTCCCCCAAGAAGACCTGGGGTGGCGCCGGCGGCAGCGTTGGGGGCGGCGGTATTGGGCCACGGGGTGTGCAGGTCGGTCGGTACCGACGTGGGAAGGAAGCCGACCGCGCCGGACCCTGGCTCGCCCGTGTTCGCATGATAAGCACCAAAGTCATCCACTGGGGACAGCGGGCTGGAGGAGGACGGGACGGTCTGGTTGTAATTCGTCTGCGCCTTGATTTTGGATGGCGTGGACGCTGTGCGGGCACGAGAAAAGAGCGACGGCATTGGGGTCTGGTGTGGGAAGATGGGTGAGTGGGGTGATATAGAGAGCAAGGTACGGCAATGAGTTACCTTTTCCACCCTGTCAAACAAGTTCTGTGTCGCTCAGCTCTCTCCCTGGGGACTTGCGCCAGTCGAGCCTGCTCGCGGTCGTTGGTCGGTGGCAGATGTATGTCGATGGCGGAAAGAATGCTTACGTAATCCCACATGATTTGCATTGACGTGTGATGGACCCTCGGACCGTGGCCCCCCGCGATCTAAATCCCGAAACACCCGCAACGGAGGTGTAAGCTATAACTCAATCTGTGTTGCCAACGTCGGAGCCATTTACCAAAATGAACTGGATACTCGAGTGTCCCAGTTCTTTGCCTCGGTTATTTGCCTTCAGGCCTCAATATCTTCTTAAAGGGCCTTGTATAGGGACCAGGAACTTACCTGTCGGATGTATATGCTTCCCGTTCCACGGCAATTGAGCCTCCCGGGCAGTGTCGATGGTCCCTATGGTTCCAGTCATACCATGCGTCAATGGAGCTTCAGGGCTTGTGACGCTGATCTCCCCAACGTAAACGGCCGGAGACACATTCATCCAGGGGTCAAATCGCCATTACGAGTGCGAAAAATGCAAAATGGCAGCCCTTCTTCTGGACTACTATAAACTGCAAGGCGGTCAATCTTCTCTCATCAACTCTCCGCTGATGCTGGCGCAGAGAACAATCCGGGCATTCCAGGCTCACTAATTCCAACGTCAAAATGTTTCGATGTTACTATGGTAGCTGAGTTGCTGCTATTGGTTTTGTTGCCCAACTCGGACACGGCAGTTCGAATGCACTGAGTGCAACCTCTGTTTCCGATGACGACATCTTCTTCCCCGAATCTAGAAAGATCTCCGAGTCTGAGCGCACAACATTGAACGTTTCGTCTTCTCATTGGGAGGTACGAAGCACTGAAATGTTGACCCTGGATAAATCGGAATACGACCTACCTTGATCGAAAACCAAACAGAGAAATGATCCGTCTGAATGAAATCAAGACTTAAAGACCAAGCCGTCTAGCTTCCCTCACCTTGCTCTCTGACGTCATCTTAATTGTCCCAATGTACACACCAATCTCGTATCCTCGTCATGCAATCCACTCTAGCATTCGGTGAACAACCCAAAAACAGAAAAGTCTTATAAGATCCAACAGAACGCATTGACCCCCAAGTATGCCTCACTATCCTCATCCGTTCCCTTGGACCCACCAGGTGCGACGTAGCGAATCTGGTGTCAGGAAAGCTTCTCGCCTAAAAGTCCGTCGCTGTCCAGCAAGCTTCTCGCTCGGGAGTCCGTGGGGGTCCAACAAGCTTTCCAGAGCGGTACCGATATGTCCTTCGATAGCTAAAAGGATCCCCAGCCCCACTAGCTCTTCAAACATTCAGGTCTCGCGGAAGGGCATACCGGGCACGGCACAAGTCGCATGCGACTCGTTGAAGTACGGATAATCAATAATGCTAGTAAATTAAGTATGCAGCGAGTATGAAATCTAACCTTGGAAAGTACGGCCGAATTCGGATCTTCGACTCAATAACTGTATGCTTTGTCTCGGGTGGCGATAAGGAAATTCACTCCAAGCTCTTTCTGACATCTGAGGGACTTGGGCAATCATGAATCGAGGGGGAACGCAGGTCATCTGCGACAGACGAGCACAATCAGTCGACGAGGACAGCAGCAGCACAGCCTCGGACTCCTGGTTTGGGGACTCCTGATCACAAAAACAGGATGGTCTCAGTCTGAAACTGTTGACTGTTGAAGATTTTGTGCTCCTCTTTTTGGACGACACGCTGTAACATGGTTGTTGGATTGCTTCAAGGTCCTACCTCCACCATATCGGCATCAGACCCGGTGCGAAATTTGAATTCACACTGTCTCCCGAGTCTCCATCCGTCTCGACAGCATGACAAGCTTCCCTTTCACAACAATATCAGTTCATACAGCCCATAGCAGCGTAAATACTCCACACCTTCGGTGCCGGGTGTATGGGTTGTCGCGCCCTTCTTCTAAAAATAATCTAACAGCTGAATGTTGAATCGCGTCAAGATCCTATTCACTTCGCTCGCTTTACATCACCTGAACATCTGAGCCTCCCTTCGAATGAAACGGTTCAAGCCTGATGCCAAGGCCAGATTTTCCCGCACCGGATATTGACGTCCTGGAATGTGATGTGAAGCCGGGCCCAATCGCATCATCTTCCCTTCCACCATCATGCCCCGAAAGTTCATCAGTCTCTTATGTCCCCGATCGACCCGCTCAGACCCACTCCTGTTGATGATGCGAGACGGGCAGTCCACTGAATGGCGGACTCGCGCTGTTGGCTGCTGTTGGTGGGAGCACTGATGGTGCCGTTGGGAGGGTGGCAGTGAGCCCTGGCTTGGCGGTCGATATGAGCATTCTGTAAGTACAGCTCACCGCAGAGCCAATAAAGCTTCGATCCCATTCCATCACCGCGTCAATCACGGAGGCGCCCGCCGGTACGTGAAAGGGACCGGTGGCGCAAAACCGAGCAAGCCGAATGTGGGATACCGACGTGAGAAAAGCAAGTTGAGTTTCCAGTCAACAAGTCTACGTGGCTAGCGCGACGTAGGGTTTGCAGCATATGACACGTTTCGTTTTCAAAGGAGGAAAGAGAGACAGAGGTGAAGGAATTAATGCCGCATTGAGCCGATAAGAGGGTCGCCTCGACGCGTTCAACGAGCTCTTTGTTCGTGTGTCTTTTCGGTCGAATGAAATTACTAAAAAGCATAAATTATACGGGTATAATAGAATGATTAGATGGAAAGACTTACTTGATTGGTCTCAACTGTCCAGACACGCATGGAGATGAGCAATATGACACCCACTGAGCGAAATCGGTTTACTATGCAACCGACTGCGCTTCCAGACTACCAGCAGAAGTTGAGAAAAATACGTCTCGTCCCCATTTGGCGTCAAGCAATGTGGGTGTCTTCATCTCTGAGGTCATTTCCAAAAGAGGTGAGATGGGCTAAAAAGCGCTCATGTTGGAGAGGATCTCATGAAATTGAAACAAGTAGCTTTCGTCTTCTCCAAGGAACACCGGGCATAGTCCATGAGTAGCTTGATGTGGCGAAAAGTACCATGACGACCACGAAAGGGCAATGTGTTCGAGTTTCGATGCACAATATTCTCTAGGAGAGCAGGTAATTGAACAAGGGAACACAGCACTGATGCACGAAGACGCAGAATATACAGTGAGAAATAGGCCGCAGGAGGAAAGTGTCATGAGTAGTAAGTACGGCGGGACAAAGGAGGACAAAGACCGAAAGAAGTCAAGGAACCAGTAACGAAAAGAAGCCCTTGGAGGGCATGATACCTATCATCCGCCTCCGTGAATACCTCGATTCGGATGCTTGCGTGAGAGGTCGCTGAGAAAGGGAGACCTCTGGGCAGCACTCACCGAAGTCCGTTGTCCATGTCTCGTACTTGGAATGAACCTGCTCGCTCAAAACTCCTGAACTCAATCGCATCTCGTTCAGGAGTCGGTTCTCTGTCGATAGGGATTCCTGATCGATCGTGCTTTTAGCTTCCTGAACGCTGCGTTTCAGCTGTTCATGCGATGAGAACCTGCTTACTCATTAGAGTGACTAGTGGAGTAGAAAGGTAATCTCGACTGACGATTCCGTCAGCGCTGGCGAGACCCCTGACCCCTCCGAGCTATGCACACGTTCCAATGGCAGTCGCTCATGAGAGCGTTCTTTCGCGACCTCATCCGGACGTGGGATATACAAACGATGATGAAACCTCGAGACACGGATGAGATGACAACGCTGTAAGGCAAGACGGTCATCTACGTACCGCTTGCGGATGGGCCCGTCCAGATTCCATGGCAGCGTTGTCGAGCCCACAATGCAAAGCCCGACATTCCTTGCTGAAAAGCTATCCATCTGGACTAGCAGCTCGGTACGCAATTGAAGCAAGCTCTCATGGCTCCGGTTCTGCCCCTCTGGAAGTCCAGACCAGATCCGATCCACATCCTTGAGGAGGAGAACGGCCGGCTTGTGCTCCCGTGCACGGAGAAACACCTTTTGGATGGCACTGGCAAAGTCTCAGAGCCACCCTTCTCCGCAGTGCGCACGAACGCACGGAGCACGCACTCGGGTGTAGCCAGATCCGCGGGGCCAGCACAGACGAGGGGTACTCCTGCCTTATCGGCAGCAGCCAGGGCGAGCGCAGACTTCCCGGCACCCGAGGCGCCATAAAGCAGCACGCTGCAGCATCGCCTCCGGCTGTTGGCGAAGAGCGAGGGGAACTTGAGCGGCAGGATAATCGCTTCGAGCAGCACTGTTTTAGCGGCATCGACCCCGCGGATGTTGTCCCATGCGTGGTTGACGGGGAGAGCTTCCTTACGGTCATCGGCAAACGTTGATAGTGTGGTGTGGCGTGGCGGAGGACTGCACCTGCGACTTTGATCGTGGTCAGCATCGGCCGAAAAGTCGACCCACCCTTCAGGCTCCATTCCCTCAATCACCTTCTCAACATGGCTCGTTTCGGGAGACTGAGAAGACGATGCTGATGCTGTATTCATCGGTGTGGTGGTGGTCATGACGAAAGGCCGCGGAGCGAAAGATTGTGGTCGTGTACTACGTACGCACTACGGCGCTTCAGAATTCGGCGCGTACCACGAGGTTAGATGATGGACTTCCTGATCATTGTCGTGCGGTGCAAGGGCATGTGCACCGCAGCACAAACGGACTTGGCGGCCTGCTTGGACTTGCTTGTATGATGCAATCAAACTGGGACCGTAGCAAGAAAAGGTTGGATACGATGATGAGAACCCTCACTGAAGATTCCTCGAGACATATATGCGTGAAAAATTCTCCAGCTCACATAATTCGCCATTTTAACACAATTCCACCGACACTTGTGTATGATGCGTTTGTCATGTTGCTCAACTCGGATGATTCTTAGCCCAATCTCCCAAGTCTTTACGGCATAAAATCCACTGATACTGTAATTTACACGACGGTAGCCCGAATAGCCATTCAAAAACACAGAGGTAAAGGTCCTACCGGGTCAGGTCTTCGACCAGCCGACGTCTCTAGGAATCAGAATCTACTTGAAAAGCCAGTCGCAATTGCATATTTTCAGGTATGGACTGTCGGTGGCTGCTTTCTGCATCAGTCTGGCCAATGCGCTGCTTATCGGTGATCACGAAGTCTGTGAAACTGGCTAGCACGGGTGGCAACCCACAAACCCCAAATATTGATCCGAGGTCCGCCCTTCTCCGCATCTGCCGTTACCAAACAAAGCTCGGCCTCATTTCCATCAGCCCATTTTGCTCTCTTTTCTGACGTTTCCCCGCTCCGACCCGTCTAGCGTGGGTCTCGATTCTGCTTTCGCGCTCTGCCCCTCTTTAGGGACCGTCAAGCACGCGTGCTTGCCTAGGGCATGTGATGACTGGCTGCATGGCTCTCCAACAACTTCTCGTCTCGGAAGATGTGAAGATCAGCGCTCACGTGCAAAAGACCGATGATAGAGAGAAGTTCCGCACTACCAATAAGATTGGTCGCAACGGGTGTGCCATGGGCGATCATGGCAAGGAAGCGCGGAAGGGCAACGCGTGAGGGTAAACGTTTTACGAAAGGGCGGTCTGCGCACGTTTCACGCTCGTTTATCTGCTTCTCGTGCTTCTCGAGACGAGGACTCTTAAACCGCAGAATATCGAGTCGATTTGAGCTGAGATTCCTCGTGCCACGCCCTTCGATACACGAATATGCTGGCTGCTCTCGTTAAGCTATCTCTGCTCGTTGTGCTGCCCGCCGCCCATGCTGCTGCAACCAACGACTGGAGTGTGGCGTGCAAGGGTAACTGCTCGTACGACCTTCCCGAGGGTGGTGCGAGTATCCACCTGGTAAGTCCACGGTCTGTGTGTGCGTCGCTACGTGTCGCCTGATTCTGTGCGCAGTCTGGAGGGAGCAACGCTGTGTCGGATTTAACCACTGCCGGTGGATGGACGATTCTCAGCTGCGACTCCGCTGTGAACAACCAGACCATCCGTGCGGTTTGCCACTCCAGCGCATGCCAGCACGTTTTCGAAGGCCACGGTGCCGTTGATACGGTTGTGCGGTTGCCCGAGTCGGTATGTACGTGTTTTTAGACGTGAAATTGGGCCTGACTAGGCGCGCAGTGTGGAACGGCGCCTTTCGCTCGTGTCGTCAGCGCTGCAGTCGACCCGGACCAGAGCATCCCCGCAGGTTCCAAGGTTCCCGCAGCCCAGTCTGGATCGATGACGAACACAGTCTTCTTGATTGGCATGGACGTCGATTTCGCTGCCGTAAACCCCCAGATGTGAGTGCGGGATCTGCTTCTCGACGCAGACCTAACGAAGAATCAGCACTGGGCCGGTTGCTTTCCACATGTCGACGAACTCTACCGATGGGCCGGTCACGAAACGTGATGTCAAGAAAATCCGGAACAGTAAGGAGTTCAGCCCGACGGTCTGGTTCTATGCATGACATAACACCCAGACATCACATCCTACAACTCAACTCCGTCTGTGACTCTGTGAGTTCTTGGGCAACATATCCGAGCAACCGGCTAAATGGAATTAGTCCCCCCGTGGTTGTCGACCAGACATTCCCGATTGCTTCGGCGTCGATCTCGTGCGACGGATTCACAGCCTCTGTTTCCACCGACTTCAGCCTTAACGTGAACGCGTCCGTGACTTTGGGGCTGACCATCGCTGGCACAGTCATCCCGGCGAACATCAGCGAATTCGCCGTCTTCGCCGGGCTTGATGGAAAGATTCTGGGTACGTTGGGTATCCAGGCTGAGGCAACGGCTAGTGTTCAGTGTTGATATCACATGAAAATCTCTGACTTTCGAACTCAGGGAGCGTTTTCCTCCGGAAAGACCAGCCTCTACACTGCTTCCATCCCCGGATACAGCGTGCCCGGCATCTTCACAGTCGGCGTGAGTGTCATCTAAAGAGTATCAGTTATTTCTGACCCATCCTTCATAGCCTACTTTCACTATTTACGGACAAGCCGATGTCCAGCTTGATGCCCAACTCAACGCTGAGCTCGACCTTTCATACGACGTCAGCGGAGCCCGTGTCTACGTTCCTTCAAAAGAGACCCCGCCTGGTGTGGCACCGGCCCAGAGCAGTACGTGTTCAATCTCATAGCCACTCGTAAATTCTTATCATGCAGACTTCAAACTGTCGCTAATTCCGGACTTGACGGCGAATGCGAACATCACCGCGAGCCTGATCCCCGAGCTCGCCGTCGGCCTGGACGCTTTCTCCGGCATTGCCAAGGCCGAGGTCTTCCTCAACTTGGAAGCTGATGCGGGTCTCACCCTCACCAACTTCGATGCATCCGCGGGTGCTCACGTGACTGGCACTGGCAGTGCTGCTGCGTCTGGACAAGTCAACGGCTGTGTCGACATTGGCGCAGGGTTCTCCGCCAACATCGGTGCCGATGGATCCTTGTTCCGTGCGTATGCCTTGTTATTCGTGGCTCTCTCTCTGATGACTGAGTGCAGAATTTATTTCGGGCAACGTCACCTACCCTCTCTACAAAAACAACTGGGACCTTTACAACACGTGCTTCTCCGCCAATGGTAGCACACCCCGTCGTCGCGCTATCGAGGCTGCCCCGGTCAAGACCTTAGCGCGTCGTGCTTCGCTGTCCTGCCCCGGCGGGTCTTCCTCCACCAGCGTCAACTCCCTCCAGCAGATCATCAGCCAGCTGCTCCAGGCCATCCAGGGAAATGCTTCTACGAGCAAGTGAGCTTTTGATACCATTCAGTGTCGGCTTCATGTCCCGCGCTCGAAATAGAAACTGAGTTTTGATTACGGAGTGCTGTTTATTGTCGAATAGACTTGATCAATTATTTTCGGTCCTTGCTGCGCTGAGACGCCACAGCACCCAGTGGACGACTGATTGGCAAAGGGAATTCAAACGTGAGTTTCGGCCCGGCACTCTTTCCTGCACTGGGCAAGGCTGGGTATATCTGACTGTTTCCGCGGAAACAAGTTGACGCCTCCACCTCAGGATCAGGAAGCTCACAGAATTGCCACGCGATGATTTTCGATTAATACATCCTTACTCTGCATTTTCTGTAGCTCTCTGGAATGCATGCTTGCCCTGATGCATCCATGTCGCTTCTCCACTGCGGAATCAAGTGCTACCCACCGAGTGTTTTTGGTTATGATTCTCGAATTAGATGAGCCAAAAAATCTCGATGGAAATATACAGCTCTATCTTTTTGACATCACAGCACGAACAGCCACCTCTCATGATCAGGCGTGCGGATCCCGGCTCGCCTGGCTTTGATTCGAATCGTCGTCAAATTCACCACCCAATGTCACGGAAGCTTTTATCGTACTTCCTGCAGTAGAATCCGTTGCAAGTCTGACCAATGTTGAAGCTCGTTGCCGCGGCCACGATGACTTTTTTTTTCTGTTTGAGTTGGTTCGCCGAAAAAAATCTCAGTGTGTGAAGGGTCAGAGTCGACTTGCAGTTGAGGGGAGTGCATCATAAGTCCCCAATATACCTTCATGAATTGTCTGAAATCAGGCCTCCTCAGCAGACGAGGGATAGACAGACCGATGGCCTTATTTTGGTGATACCTCGATGAGAATCAATGGAACAGAAAATACGCGAAGCTGTTCATGACCGCAAGCAAATAGAAAAAATGAACATATAAGCGGGGTCTCCATAGGGATGAATAAACAAACTCAGATTGGAAATTAGCGAGTACTATACCACTAAAAAAATGCTTCTTATGCAAGATCAGGTCTGCGCTTTCATGGCGATGTTCGGATAGGACAACCCGATACAGAGCTTTGGTGACTACACGCACTCGGATCCAGAGATGGTGCGGCTCTCGCGGAGCTGAGCTTGGGATTCTTGATTAATTGTAGCCGGCCCGGGTGAAAAAAAAATTGCAGTTGCAGCGGCGGTCTTTCACGGCCGCCGCCTGTCTTGCTCCGCGGATTGCAGTCAACAGAATCTCCAGTCAGGATCATAACAAATTTCGTGCTCTCGATTGCCCGCGGAGCGGCTAATAGAGCAATTGCCGTGTGCAAGCCTTGGTGACCACTATCGGCCCCATCATTGTTCACAGCCAAAGATAAAAAAACGATCTCAGATCTTTCCACGTGGCAAGATTCAAGAACAAGCTTGGGGTGCTCGACCAGATAACAAGGTCTGCTAATTTCCAGTTGGTCTCCCCTGCCATGTGCCGCTTCTCATTCGGAAATTCCTATGCACCAGAACCCACTTGTTCTACATTCACATCTTGCTATTTTTGAACAAGCCATGATATAAAACAGACAGTCGCACGGAATCTGGCTGGAAATCATCCTTCTCGAAGTAGGTCTGGGCCCAGAGCATGCTGGAAGTCGAACACAGGTCGACTGCCATTCAGAATCTACCAGCGATAAGTGTTGTTGCTTGATTCTCGGGCTTGAGGAAGATACGGATGCATGCCGTGGTATGTCATGCAATACGCGTGTCCCTCTGCGCCGGCCGGCGCACGCGTCATGAATGGAGCATCGCGCACGCTCGCACGCAATTCCTGCACGATGAGCAACGTAGCTGATGGAGATGGCATCCCCGTCTGGCCCTGCCCACGACGGTACCGAGACCTTCACCCGGGATGCTACGATTACTTCAGCACCCATGGATCAGAGAATAGATAGGTCCGCGAGTCAAATATGTGGAAAGCTTGAGCCCGGCAACGCCCATCATTGACCCATCAATCGAGTTTGATCTTGAGGGCGTGGTCACTGGTGAGGGCGATGCTCCGAGACCGAGCTCTCAAGTCCATGAGCGAGCGGATCAATTCGCCACAAAAGTATGTACTCGAAATCTGCCGGTCGGCATCGGTCCCCTTGCTGAATGGGGAAATTTATTCGCAAGGTGAGCGCAGAACCCAATAGGTGCACTTCACAACTGAATTCGATCTCGTCACCAGAACCGGGCTGTTTCGGAGTGCAATCAGGTGGCCAGCGGCATGGGTGACCTGGCCTACAAGCAGTGAGTGCAGTCGAGGAGGTGATCTGAACGGATGATTGGTGGAATTCAGAGCGGCGATAGATTGTTCGCAAGGGCTACGAACGCGCCCAGTTGCATGCCATTTCCCGCTTGCACTAGCCGGGGAATTTTAGATGTGACGAACGGAAACATCTGCGTCGCCAGTCACGGTAGATGCGCAAGAGTATCGAATGTGACTGCGCTCAGATAAACATCTCAAATGTGGTGATGCGATGCTCCACAGGCCGGTAATTAGAATAACAAAACATGCGGAAAGCCAGCAGTTACCGGTGTGCAACTGCCAATGGCAGACCAGGTTGAGATCCTTGGTGCTTCCTCGGCGAGAAAATTCCGGTTCGAAGGGGTTCAACTCATCACCCGCCGACTAGTTCTGCACTCTGGACTTGTGTTAGTTGTTCTTCTGCGTGTTTTTTCTCGGGCGTATCAATCCCGCGGCGAGTTGTTGGCCGCAAACGGTAATCGATGGGTGATTAGCGCTAGAAAGCTCGGACGAGGCGATGTATGAGTCTGCAAATTTTACGAGTATGCGACACCGCGCACCTTCTTGTTTGGTGTCGATTCCCTCGTCGTGCGTGTCAAAAAGAGGGCCTATAAAAGACAGCGATTCGGAAAGACTAGAGATCATTCTACTCGCACCAGGACTTTCGACTGACGAATATGCTGGGCGCTCCTGCTGGACTTTCCCTACTCGCTGTGCTTCTCGCCGGGAACGTCGCTGCAGCCAACGACTGGGATGTCGCGTGCAACGGTACCTGCACGTATGACCTTCCCGACGGGGGTGCAAGCATTTACCTGGTGGGTCTGCTATGATCTGTGTGACTGTGTCGCTTCGTCTTAATGACTTCCATCGGCAGTCGGGAGCGAGCAACGCCGTGTCTGACCTGACCACCGCCGGTGGATGGACGACCCTCAGCTGCAAGTCAACCACCAACACCCAAACCATCCGCACCGTCTGCCAGTCTGAAGCCTGCGAGCACATCTTTGAAGGTCAAGGCGCGGTCGATACGGTTGTGCGGCTGCCTGAGACGGTGCGTGCTGCATCTCTTCCTGGTTAGCTGTTGATGTTGGCTGACTGCGACTTCAGTGTGGAACGGCGCCCTTCGCTCGCATCGTCAATGCGACTGTGGACCCGGACCAGAGCATCCCTGCAGGTGCCAACGTTTCGTCGAGCCAGGCCGGATCCACGATCGGCACTGTCTATTTGATTGGCATAGACGTCGATTTCGCTGCCGTGAATCCCCAGGTGTAAGTCCAGCGCGTCCTGTACATGCATGGCATGAACGGCTATACAGAACTGGACCCGTGTCTTTCCAAATGTCGACCAACTCCTCCGACGGTCCGGTAACGAGAAGGGCTATTACACTCACCCCCGGTTCGACTGTCACTCTGTGAGTTGTTGTCGCAGGAGATAAGCCCAGAAAAACAAACAGCCACAGACCGGCCATTATCGTCGACGAGACATTCCCGCTTTCTTCGGAGTCGATTGCGTGCGATGGATTCAACGCCTCTGTGTCGACTCAGTTTGGCATCCACGTGAACGCGTCGGTGACGTTGGGACTCAACATCGGTGGGACAGTCATCCCCTCCAACGTTAGCCAGTTCTCGGTCTCTGCGGGACTCGACGGCAGTATCATCGGCACGCTGGGTGTCCAAACTACGGCTTCGGTGACTCCCATCCTTCCCTGCGATACCTCACTCTGACCTGTGAGACCAGGGGACATTTTCGACCGGAAAGATCGCCCTCTTCACTGTTCCGATCGCCGGATACGACATCCCGGGTATCTTCTCTCTTGGCGTGAGTGATCTATGCTGGCAAGTAAGCCATCCGGTCTGAACATTTCCGCAGCCGTCTTTTACCATCTACGGACAAGCGGACTTGCAGCTCGGTTCCGAGCTCGACGTTGAGCTCGACCTGGCGTACAACATTAGCGGAGCACACACCTCCGTCCCCACCCAGAAAATTGCCCCCGGTGTCACGCCGGCTAATAGCAGTAAGTGTATTGATCTTCCTTGAAGTGGCGAGGCTCAGTCATCCCAGACTTCAAACTCTCGGTCGTGCCAGGCCTGGAGGCCAACGCGACCGTCACCGCTAGCCTGATCCCAGAGCTGGATATTGGTTTTGATGTCTTTTCTGGCCTTGCCTCAGCCGGGGTCTACCTCAATCTCGAAGCCGATGCCATTATTGGCCTGTCAAACTTCGATGCCTCCTCGGGCTCTCAGGTGACGGGCAACAACACATCTGGCCAGGTCAGCGGCTGCATCGACATTGACTCGGGCTTCTCCGTCAATGTCGGCGCCGACGGATCTCTCTTCAGTGCGTGGTCCCGTCTCCCGGCGGTTAGAGTATCGCTGATGGATATCAGACTTCATTTCCGGAGGCGTCAACTACGCCCTCTACAACCAGACCTGGGACCTGTACGACCAGTGCTTCTCCAGCGCTGCCAGCTCAGTCCGTCGCCAGGATGCGATCATCGAGGCCGCCCCGACAAAGAGCTTGGAGCGCCGTGACTCCTTGTTTTGTCCCGAAAACCTCCTCGCCCTGGAACGCATCATCAGCCAGGTGCTCAAAGCGGTCGGTGGTGGAAAGTCCGGGTGATCGACAAGTGAGTTTTCGATGTGGGTTAGTCGGTACTAGTGAGCAGTACATAAGTCAAGTGGAACAGAATACGAATAGAGACGTGGCAGTGAACATGCAAGATCATTCCGGAAGTTGTCCGTCTCACGTGCCCATTTTTCTCAGTCCTCCACTACGACGGAGCTTTTGCTTTCTACTTTTCGTTTCATCCGCTCAGATTGTCTTGTTGCTTCACTTTCAGCTCGTAGCCCGTGAATGAATCAGGGTGGATTGATCCGCAAGCCTACATTCCCTTCCTGTCTTGAATACCTCCTTCACGAAGACATCTACATTCACGTCTCTTTCTTCCTTCCACCGTTGCAATACATCTCTCCACGGTTTCCGTCCTCGTCACCGTCGCGACCTGCCTTGCCTCCGAGGCCAGTGCGATCCGGCATCTGCATCGGACTCTCTTGGGGTCTGGGCTCTCATCGCAGAGATCTCAACGCTCCGACCCATTTTGAGCGAGGGTCAAGCGGCGGAGAAAAGTAACTCGTGGCGGCGGGATGGTTTCCCAGTCGGAGCAGTGTTGATGTAGCGGAGCTGTCGTGGGGCAAGCATACCCACATGGTCTATGCGTTCGCGTCCGTCGCCCTTCCTATGACAATCTTTCTTCCCTCCTATCCTGACGCGTAACACAGCGAAACTACCTCGCAGCCGGATAACATCACCGTTGATGCTGGGTCGCTGAAGCGTTTTGTAGCCTCCGCTCGTGTGCATGTAAGGGAGAGTTCCACTGTATCAAGCTTCACTCCTATGACAAGTACCCCCTCAGAACGTCTCTCCTCTTCTTGCTATCGGTGGCTGGACATCCTCGCGCTACTTTTTCTCCGCCGTAGAGTCAATGCACAGCCGCGCGGCATTCGCATTCGCAATCCTGGGTCTGGTCAAGACGCACGATCTGAATGGGATCGATTTCGAGTGCGTGCGGCCGGGGTTCTCCTCTCATATTATACTAACTACTTTCGTTTTGCATCTGGGAATAGTCTGGCTCAGAAGGCATCGGGAGCAACTTCGTGTCGCCGTCCGACTCCGACAGCTTTCTTCTCCTCCTGCAAGAGCTGCGTGCCAAGTCCGACAGCCTGCAGCTTACCGCCGCGGTTGGAATGACGCCATTCTCCGGGTCCGATGGCGCGCCGATGAGGGATGTGTTAGAGTTCGCGAAGGTGCTAGATCGAATCGGTATGTGGTGCATTGGGGGGTCAGAGACGCTCCCGCCCTGGGTGCTTGCGGCAGAACTGATGGTGTACGATGTGTGGGGATCGACAACGCATGTGGGGCCAAACGCACCGATAACAGCCTGTGCTCCTAGCGCTTCGTAGTATGGTTCTGTCACATCGGCTGTGCAGGAATGGACTGGTGCGCAGTTCCCCGCCGACAAGGTGCGTGTCTTTGAGTCATCCATGACATTCAGGCACCATGCTGAGTCTCGGCTGAGTAGATAGTCCTCGGCCTCGCAGCTTACGGCCACAGCTTCAGAGTCACGCCGTCGAATGCGCTCGTGCACAGCCATCTCGACACCTCTGCCGCTGTCTCTGGAACCACGCCTCCGGGGCCCAACGACACAGACACGAACCCGACCGCTGTCAGTGGAACCTACACCTTTGCGGAGCTCGTCTAGACGGGGTTTCTTGACGATGAGGGGCACGCGCTGGTGAACTAAGCGATCGACGCGTGCAGTCGGACGGTGAGTTTCGTTTTGTACCGTCTTCACCGTTGTTCGAAGTGCTTAGCCCGAGGCCAGCCGTTTGCGTAGACGAGAAGAAAAAGATTATGGTCTCCTACGATGATGCAAGCTCTTTCGGTCCGTGCTCCAATGATTTCATCTCAGTACGGTATTCAAGATCCTCCAGCGGCTAAAGGACAGTACATTCTCGATTCCCATATTGCCGGATTCTCGGTCTGGGATGTCACAGGCGATCATCAGAATATCCTGATTGATTCTGTGCATAGCGCAACGGGGTTGGGAGACTGGAATTTGCTGTCGGTCATAGAGATCAACCGACTGCAATAGAGCATACACGCAAAGTTTTCTCAAATTCTTGCAAATCAGAGTTCGAATTCACGTCAGTTCTGCAGACAGATGTGGCGCTCATCTGCCTCGCGCTCCACAGCTCGTTGTTGCCGGACGTACAGCATTCAATTAACCCGAAAACTAGCCCGTAAGCTTGTTCCGTTGAGAAGTTAGTGTGTATTTGAGATAAATGGATGGATGCTCATTCTTCGTGAGCACTGAAGCTTACCCCGGAAGTAGATCAAATTTAACCATCAAACTTCCGTTTACCATCGAGATTGCCAAGAGGTCTTTTTAGCGTTGCGGAGGTGATTCTAGTGACTTAGATTGACTTGAAAATGTGTGAGATTCGCCTTGATATACCTGGAGACTTTCCCTGCTCCAGAATAAGTACGGATTCACAATAGATTGTATGCAGGTGGTCACGTGAGCCCAGTGAGCGCTTGATAACTTATAAGACACCAGCCTTGAAACGATTCAACCGCTGCGACAAGCATCCCGATCCTCCCTTCGGCTGGGGTAGTCTTCCTTCTCCCGAATCACAGCTCCGACATCCTCCAATAGAATGGACCCGAACTGCATTTCTTTAAATCAGGACAGCTTTCCTGTGCTTCAAGTTTCAAGAGTGTCAGACTTCCCGTGACCTGGCACGTGACATCAAATTTATTGCCACCAACTCACAGCAGCACCGATCTATGACCAGGCTAAGTTTCCGGTCCTACGAGCCGTCAAATCAATTTTTTGAAATACTGAAATCCTTTGTGTCTCTCTCAAAAGGGAGGGAGGCCCCCCTTTTTTTGCGCTTTGGGCGGTGGCGGCTGCATCGACGTCGCGGATCCACTCCACACGAACATAGACACGAGCTCTGCTCGGAATCACATCACGCACGGCGAGATCTCAAGCGTATTTGGCAGTAATGGGGCTCATATTTCACATCTATGGGCGTCTGATCAAGGTCAGGGAGTGGAGGGACTCCCGCTGTGGCAGTCTTCCAGTTGATGGGCGGCTCTTTTTTATCTCATGGAGGAAGGCTGTTATTGATTAGGGAACACACTATAAACGTCAGGCTTGTGCCTCCCTGGCCACACACTCTGTCGTCGACTCTACAAATGAACGCTCACACATCTGCACCGACCTCTGGACCTCTGCGTCCTGTCCTTCCGAAGGATAACACGCGCTACGACCAATACACGACTCTGTGAGCTCACTTTCGCTGTATCTGTCCTTCTGCTCATCCCCTCCTCCAGTCCTCAGCTTGGGCTCAATGGTGGGGGACTGATCCCCGTCGGTGGGCTCCGACATGCTGCCCCGCCCGCTCGCGGGAGCTGGGTGGCCTTCATTAACCCAGAAGGCAAGGCGTACTTCCTCCACGTCGAGAGCGCTCAGATCGCGGTCGTGACGGAGGCGGACCTGAACGACAGGACCATGCTCGAGCGCGCCTCGCTCTGGGTCGCCCATCTCCGCGGCCTCGCGGACAGCCTGGTGGCTGACCCTCATTCGGCGGAGGCATTTATCAGCATCAGCGGGGATGAGAGTGCTCATTCGTGTGAGTATTACATAGTGGACCATGCCGCACGCCAGGTCTTCTGGCTCGAGGAGGTGAGCAGCGACGACGTGGGCTTGCACGGAGCCGTGTCAGATCATCATCTCCGTGAGTCATCGCGAGCAGTTGACGAGCGCCGCATGAGCTGTTGTCAGACGTGCTGCTGGAGGAGCAGTATTGGACGCACCTGTGCTATTTCCCGATGCATCGTCCGCCCGTCACGGATGACGTGTTCTACACGCTCATGACCACGCTGTCGTATGGAATCGTCGACGCGATGACTTCAAGCACTTCCACGGTCTTTATGAGTGGGAATGCCCCCGAGTTGAACACATACCTCTCCGTCCTAGAGCGCTTCAAGTCGAGGGACTTGCGTGATGGGAATACGACTTGGATCGTTGGTACGGCATTCCCGATACCGTGACCCAAAATGTTTGCTGAGAATGCATAGCCCGAATCTGGCAAGCCATCTGTGCGTCCATGTTTCGATCGAGCGAGATCACAGCGAAACTGACTGACGTCTATTTATCCCAGACCATCAACGCATCTTGATACACTACGGAGAAGTGCTTGCCCGTATCGACCACGATCAGACTGTCCACGAGGTTGCAGTCACATCTAATGACACTCTAGCCATCATTCTGGCTACACTCACTTTCGGCTTCTCTCGACGCCACCAACGACGGTTGGACGACGCGTTCACGGATGAGGTCATCTTCTATAGTCGCTGGCAAGCTCTCGTCAAGAGCCTGAACGCAGAATGGGCCTCCTCCATCCACGGAAGCCTGATAAGTATCCTGTGAGTCGTCCCGCGCCCCGAGAGTCGCAGCGGGCCTGAATCACCTCACAGCCTGCATTTCCCGCTGGTGGCTATCACGGTGCCCATCATGCCCGATGTTACGCTCCCAGCTTCGATCGCCCTCTCCGTCTCGGGAATCCTCACTGGCTGTGTCCTGAGTCAAATCGGGTCAGAATTGGAAGAATTCAACCCCAGTGCTGCTGTGCGTTCCCGCTTGAGAATGAAATCAAACAGAATGATCTTGACCATCTGCAGTGTTCTTACCTCACAAACTTCAAATCCAGGACCTTCCAGCTCCAGCCGCTGGCATTCGTGTACGCCCTCCCGCGTGCATTCCAGATCTGGGGCACCCTCGCGCTCGGCGTCAACTGGGTTGCGGTGGCCATCGTCCGTCTCGGACAGATCCCGGCCCTAGTCCTCGTCGCACTGCTGTGCCTGGTGATATTCTTGTCCGCTGGTCTTTTGCGGGTGCTCGAGGCGCAGATCGAACAGATTACGGATAGGGTCGGGAGTATGTGGGCCAGACGGGTACACAGTGGAGAGTATCAGTTGATGGTGTAGGCGTGGTGGTGCTTCCCGTACGACTCTTACGATAAACATGATTGTTCTTTCATCTTCTGTTACGGCTGAATTCCATTCTTTCTGTCTGTCTGCCCTCAAGCCAGGGTCGTTCTCACTTTTCAACTCGGATCAACTCGGATCAATTCGTGACTATCAGTTTGGGAACCGCTTGAGACAAGACTGGCTACCTCCACGGCAGACCAGATTCAAGCCATCCCCTTGCTTTTCGCCAGTGCAGCCAAGAAGGTCATTGGGAGAATGCCATTCTTGCGTGGTCCATCGGCATTCATCCGCGCGACCTGCCGATCGCTCATCAAATTCGCGTGCACCTCCCCGTCCTTCATCCGCACCTGCCACACGTTGATCCCGCCCGTCCGATCCCCATGCTCGGCGGCGCACAGGTCGATCAGCGCGTGGAGCACCCGCGCGCACCAGTCGAGCTTGTCCTGCGGAATCGGGAACACGGGGAGGTTCCGCGTCTCGCGCACGACGCCGGCGCGGTCCGGGAACCCGACGAAGATGCGCGGGCAGTCGATGAGGCCCGATTGGATGTCCCATCGCGCGAGGTTTCTAAGCTGCGGGGACTCGAATTTGCGCGTTTTGAGCTCGACGTAGTGCGATGGACTCGGTTCGGCGGGGGAGTATTGGGCTGCGAGAACACCGTTCAGTCTCTGGGTGTTGAGAGGAATCTGTGTCCATTAGAGAGAACGCACCGTCGACACAGTCAACTTCGCCGACGAGTACGATATCGAGCGTGCCTAGTCGACGTTTTATACCGACCGCCCAGAGGGTATGCATATCCACATCATCGGCCATTGTGCCTCCAGTGGAAGGCCTCGAAGACAGTGTTTCAAACTTATGCCTAGACGTGGCTTTAAACCATTTTGTAGTCAGCTTGCGCAAAATGACTGACCCAGTGTAGTTCCCCTCGAGGTTCACGCTACGAGAAATGATGAGTAGCGTCTCTGGCTGAAAGGTGGTTTCTTACTCGAACCGGGTTTGGGTGCTGTCTTCCTCGAGGTACAGAGTCCCATCGAAATACGAGACGGCGAGGCTGAGGTCCGCACGCATCATTATCCTTCACAGAATCCTTACATCACATCACAAGTAACGCGGATCCTGTACGACGTACTTGGTGAGAATCCCGCGCCAGGTAACGACATCAGCCTCGAGCATTTCGGCGCTCCGTTGGGCGCCTACACACATCGCGAAAACGTTATCCAATCGACCTCCTTTGAACGCCTTGTCCTTGAGTGGTCGACGCAAAAATGCCTTCAGGCCGTCGCGGACGTTCTTTTTCAACGCTGGGGATGGATTGGCGTCGTTTCCGGTGAAGTAGCGCATAGACTCGGTGCTGTCAATCTGCAACTGCCCGTTGACCAGGGACATGCAGGTCAGCTGGGTCGCGGGACCCAGCGCTGCAGGGAGAGTGCATGCACTTGAAGGTGGATCTGAGGATGAGAGGACGCGCATGGTGGAGGTGGTACAATGCAAAGTTCTGACCAGAGGGAATTTAAAAGGCCAAGCGGGACGTTGTCATTTATCATCGAGTACGTTGCATTAGATTTTGTATGGTCATATGTATGATACACTCAGAGCCCAGAGCCCGCAAGGCGCTTATACGCACTTCGAGACGGCGTTGCTCAGGATTCCAGCATACGTCGACGCTCGGCCTTCAACGCCCCCCAAGCTTCTAGTCCACAATTGGCGGGTAGTTGGTCCCACAGCTGATCGAGAAGCGCCGCATGCCTGTGGCGCATCTCGTCAACGCACACGTCGCATACCTCGTTTCTGAACGCGGCCCAGCCGTGGGCGCGCCACACAAAGAACGGATGGCAATCCCACACGTAGTCCCGTTGGCTCGGATCCGCAGCGGGTAACAACTCCTTCGCCCGTGCACGAGCGTTTCGTCGGGCATTTGTCGACGGGCTCGGCAATGATCGACAGGATGGCAACAGTCGCTCGCGAGTGCAGATGCGCGAGCGAGAGCAGCGTGTTTTTCCGCTATAGAGCCTTTTCATACGCGTCTGAAAACACTTGCTATTGCACTGAAACTTGATTGGGATTGCTAATCAGAGCCCACACCGCCACCCGTCAATATAGACATGCCAATGCCCTCACGAGACTGCTCTCACCAATCCTGCCATCTTCCTCCTCTTGGCGCTCGGGCAGTGAAGACTTGACTCAAAAGTGTCCTGAAAATCTACCGGTCCGCAGGTCCGCCCGATGGTGAGGCTTTCCAAGCTATTTTGCTCCTCATGCGATGACCCGTAGTACAGTAGAACTCGGATTCTAAGCTTGTTTATTTTCTTCAAACAGCCTGATTGTGCGAGAGGACCATCCCATAGCTCTATTCTATCTATTCGAAGGTGAACTTGACTCTTACAATCTCCTCTGACACATCCCACAACTTGGCAGCATTAGCCTGGCAGACACGCATCAGTGAGTCGTTTTCAAAAATACAGCTGCCAAAACAGAACGTACCGGATCCGCAGAGTGTTCTTCGATTTTGTCGTTTGCGACCACTGAGTCGTCCAAGTATGCGCCAGGGCTTGCGTCGAGAAGAGGGTCGAACGCAGCAGCCACGGTCGTAGCTGCGCCCTCGGGGATCGTCTTCCACTGCATATCCTGCGTATTCGGTTGGCCGTCCGGCCCGAGGATCCCTTGGCTCTTCATAGCCTCGACCGACTCCTCCTTGTTGAGAATGTTAGTCAAGATCGCTAGTGGGGAGAGGATCAGCGGGTTGGACATGCGTCAGCGGGTGCCTCACTCCCAGGATGCAGACTGTACCCATTGATCTTTCCCTTGGACCTCCTCGAGAGCTCCGCCGCGGTCAAAACGTTGGCGGACTTGGACTGAGAGTACGCAATGAACGCCTGGTAAGTCTCCGGGTCGGGCTTCTTGAGCGTCTCAAAGTCAAGACCCTTGCACAGGGTGTGCCCGATGCTCGACACGAATACGACGCGCGGTATGAACTTGTCTGTCCAGGTCGCGAGAATCTTCGGCGCGATGAGCGCGGTGAATAGGAACGGGCCCAGGTGGTCCGTGGCCATTTGATTCTCGAGTCCGTCGACGGTCAGTTTGAACGGGCCAATCGGGGCCGCGGCGTTGTTGATAAGGACGTGGATCGGCTCTTTGTAGGAGTTGACCTCCGCTGCAGCGGTGCGCACGGCGGCGAAGGAGGAGAGATCGAGGATGAGGGTGCGAGTATTGGCGTGCGGGACCTCCTTCTTGATTGCAGCCTCCGCGAGCTTCAATCTGCGACGTGGATTGAATCAAGTCTGCCTCAACAACTATGGTGGATCGCACCGCTCATCACTGTACCCAGTGATCACGACCAGGTTCGCATATTTCGCGATCACTCGCGCAGTCTCAAATCCGATCCCGTTGATGGAGGTTCCAGTAACAATAACTGCGTCAGCATCAGTGCTGAGCCAATTCATCCAAAGTACGCCTCTACCAACCATTCTTGCCTTTGATCTCATCTGCGAAAGCCGTCGCAACGTCTTCCGCGGTGGTGTTAAAGTTGAAAGTAGGGTAGGACATTTCTGCGGGTGTCTTTGGGGCGGTCGTGTTGTGCCTAGGCGGGTCGCTCCCTTTCTATTTCAAACTTCGCTTGTGCTTCTGTTGCACTTGGTTCTGTGCTCGCGCTTCCGGACTGAGTAACGGCCTCGGCCGACGGCGGCTCATGATGCAACGCGTGCTTAGCAATCCCGCCCGAGAAGTTCTCTCATTAATAAGTCCGGTATCCAAAGTCGTCCATCTACCTCTGGTCCGGAACAAAGGCTTGCCAGTTCATAAGCGAGCGGAGTCATTGAGTATATATGGCTGTGGTAGGAATGCGGGCGTCATGTGTGCATTATGACGGGGGAGCTTGGCGGCCGATTTTGCCCGGTTTGTTGTGTGCAGAATCGGCAATGAAGCTTTAGAGAAGATTAGGTTATTCAATTCTGATTTGTATCGGCATGGAGCGTACCGGAAGAGACCCGAAACTCCTCATCAGGCTCTTGATCATATGCCAGGTCATCGCACCGGGTTCATCTATGATTAATCAGTAGTCGCCGAAGCCGGAAGTGACACAAAATTCACAAACAGAACATTAAGATCCCAAACTGATCTCGTGCCCCTGCATAACGTTCACAGCAAGTATCGGGTTTGGGTTCAATTGATTATCAGTAAGCGAGCCTTGACCAAGCTGTATATTCGAGTGGCACTGGGAGGCCGTTAAGAGGACATTCAAAGATTATCTCGTGGTTTCGGTTCGCGACTATCTCAAGAATGAGCATGGCAAGAAAAAGATGTCATCAGGAGATACAAGATGATCATACTTCAAGCAATGCGAGCATCCATTCGGCTTGGGCAAGCTTTTCTTTTTCATTGTCCCATAAATCACCCAGATGATCTTTGGGATGAGACAGCCTTTGGCTACCAGGGCATTCAAAAATTGTGCCAGATTTATCTGAACAGGATAAAATCGTAGGAGATGCTTCCAGTGAGTCCATAGCAAGATACAAGTATAGAAGAGGAATTCCTCCTGGTACTGTGGAATGCTTATCAAAAGTGGTGTAGCCCCTCATCGTCACTCATAGCAGCTCTATTAACACGTATACACAGCCTCTGTGGAATCAGCAGTATGCATATCTTCTCATTCATTCAAAGCACGCGACATCGGATGAGTAAACCAGATCTGAACTTCCAATATGGCTGTCTCTATGGTGGGCAGACGCAAGATGCACATTGAGTCATGATGCAGGAAACATGAGGTGAATTTATAACAAGCGATCCGGAGAAGTGATTCAGACTCGAAGCGCTCCGGCTATGCATCCCCGCAAAGCAATCCACATTGCTCCGCGCAAACTCTTTAAACTATTCATCCATCGATCCGGCCCGTTGACCGTGGCTCTATGACAAACGATTAGGACCGGTTTCTCAGTCCGAAAAGCCTATATAACCCGCACAGAACACTGTCGGATGTCACTCACTCACTCCACTTCTTTTCACTACATACCGGAGAGCAAGTATATCAATGGATTCATCCCCAGCAGAGCTGCAAATCGATATCGTGATCACATCCTCAGTGCGTAGCGTCTCTCAAGCGTATCTAATCGATTCCGCTCTGTGCAAGTGTTTAACGACCATCTAACTTTTGTTCTTTTGACCAGTTTTCCACCAAGCCGGGAATGGGCGACGAAATGGAGACGCTGCTCGGGAAAATTCTAGCACACGTGAAGCAGAACGAGCCTGGGACGCTCGAGTGTTCGATTGCGCGTAACGGGAGCACGGAGAGCTTCGTCACGTGGGAACGGTGCGGCCATTTTTTCTTGGTTTCCCGCCTCCGTGCTGCTGATGTATCCCCTTTCACTTGTCTAGATTCAAGGACACCGATGCGTTGAAAGTTCATTCGCAAAGCCCGTTCTTGGCTGAGCTCATGAATAGCGGGTTGCTGGAGAAGGTAGGCAAGCCCGCGTGGTCGCGGGATCGTTGCGGGGCTGATCTTCTTTGCAGCCGCCCGCGGTGTTGTTCTATAAATACATTCGGCCGACGTTGTAATTCCAGTTGTAATCAGTAGTAGTCGTGTCGCTGAATCCTCGTGTGTAAATCGGCTGAAGAGCTACATAGGAAACCCTCCGCTTATTAAGTCAGTCCGGAATAGTGGGAACCCCACTTAAATCGCGTCTTGCAGATTGAGCCTCAGGCAGGCATCCAGATCTCGCCGTCCAAGGGACTCCCGCAAATCGGGTCCAGCGGGACTTTAGAAGTTGCGGGGCCCAGCGCTGCAGGAAGAGTGTCTTTACTCGAAGGTGGATCTGAGGATGAGAGGATGCGCGCGATAGAAGAGGAACAATGCCAAGCTGCGAACAAAGCAAATTTAGCATTTCTCATCCAGTACGTTGGAGTAGATTATTATGGCAGTCATACTTATGATACAATCAGAACCCAGAACCTGCAAGGCGCTTAAACGCTAGCTTCATGCACTTCCAGACGGCCTTATTCAGGACTCCAGCATACGCTTCCGCTCGGCCAGCAACGCATCCACCTCAGTTACCACCGCCATCACGCGGTTCTCCCCCCGCGGGGTACCTACTGGGTACCCTCAGACGTCTTGCTGAGGGTACCCAGTAGGTACCCCCTGGCGGGGGGTGGGGGGGCCATTTAGTCGATTTAGTAGCGGGGGCATATGCGGGGGTCAGGAGGAGGGGGGGTGTATGTAGCATGTGACTTGTCCATAAGAGCGGGTAGCTGGGCGGGAAAAAAAAATCCAATCACATGACGCGCTGCATGGGCGGGATGGCGGGATAAAAAAATCACGTGATGCGCTGCACCAAATATTACCAAAATGCTGGCAGGGGTTGGCGGCGTCATTGGCGGGGTCACTACCACCCCCCCGCACACCATGGCGGGCAGTGGGCGCATTATCACGTGACTTTTTGGGCACCTTTTTTGCAGCATTTGGCATGATTTTGGAAATGCTGCTTGATACATTGCATGCTGTGGCAGACAATGGGCGCAAAATCACGTGATTTTCCGCCAAAAAAATGGAAGACTCCCCAAATCATCCCAGTATAATTTCCATAGGTAAATAGGCTAGTTAAACATGAACTTGAGCTTAGAAAAACCAAAATGCACCCTGCACAATGGGATTGGTGACACACTTGATCCCATCATTTGGCAGGGCCTGCCGCAGGGGCTGCCGCGGGGGGTGCCGCGGGGGGTGCCGCAGGGGGTGCCGCGGGGGGTGATGCGGGGGCTGCCCCAGGGTTGGTCTGTTATGATCCATTTTTGTTCATTGAAGATCTTGTAGAGGTGAGCAGGGCAACAGGCCAACTGGGAATTTATAGGAAGACATTGAAATTGATGCAGGGGTCAGATGCGGGGCCCACTGCAAGGTCTACTGCAGGGGCAGGGGTGCATTATATCAAATTTCGATGTATCTATTCTGGCCATGGCCATAGAATGTCACATAATTATCCTTCAATTTGGCAGGGGTTTCTTGGTATGGTCTGCAGCTAAAGATATTTGATTCCCTTGTGCTTTAGCAGAGCCTGGGATATTGAAAACATGCAATAGCACCTGTATAATCTGTCTATGTAGGGTCAAATACAAGTTATAACTTGGTACATTTGGGCATGGTCTGCTCAAGCTATTAGGTCAAATTTAATGTTTGAAAAATGCGCAACTTGATTTGTTTGGCAAATCCCCCAAGGGAGTTTTCCATGTGCAGCCAAATTGATCGCCAGGAATAGCTACTGCTCCTTGTCCCTGTCTGTTTGCTTCCAATAGTCTGTCTGCTCCCAAATCTTCCTCTCCATTTTCAGGATATCTGATACAGGTGTTAGGATTGTTGATTGATGGATTTCATATTCCTTGTCTACACACCATTTAGACACTTTAATGGATGTGATAATACTGTGAACACTAACAATTGATTAGGCAGCACTTTTGTCCATCCAATCCTTGCAGGGGCTGGGGCAGGGTTGATGGTGGGGGCTGCCGCGGGGGCTGCTGCGGGGGGTGCCGCGGGGGGTGCCCAAGCCTCTGCCAGCCTACCCAATGTGGATCAACTACAGGATCACTTTCCAAAGCTTCTGTACTGCAACCCGAGTGACTTCCAGGTTACCTTTACCCAATTCCAGTGACACAACTTGCCTGCTCTTGTTTCTGGCCGACAATTGATTTTATAAGCTTGAGTGTGTATGTGCACTTTTTGGTGGGAAAGGAGGCCATTTGGTGAGGGGCAGGGCACCGAAACATTGTCAAATACCACATTAAACATGACCAGTGGCTTACATCTCTTCAAACTGGCCCCTATCTCATGTTTATCAAGACCCTATTTTTCGGACCCATTTCAAGTTTTTGAATGGTTCCAGGGTCCAGGGCTCTCAGAATTTGTTTCAGACACTGCCAAGGGGTATATCATTCAGCTGTATTGAGTTGTTCATTTGTAGAAAATATATTTTTTGCAATACCCAAAGTGAACTATGTTGAACCATTATCTATGTAGGAACCTTGAGCAACTGTGAACTGTTTTCATGTTTCGAATTTTGGATGGACAAATGATATGAAATACCTACATATTCAACAAGAACAGCATAGGGAGACCTTATTCCGATGGTTTTCAGCTGCATAACTGTAGAAACAGTGTCAGAAGAGCGGGAAACACTTAGGTACGACGTTTATACAGGTTCTGATTGGCTGGTGACTTGACGTGTTCCGAGCTGTCAGATTATGTAATCTTACATATGAGAAGATGGCAGGGGCAAGGCACCGGTGCAGCGGGGGGTGTGGCAGGGGGTGTCAGCCTGGCGGGGGTGCATGCGGGGGTGCAGTGGGGGGTGCCAGTTTGGCGGGGGGTGCCTGCAGGGGTGCCAGTGGGGGTGCAGGTAGAGTTGCAGGCAGTGAGTTATGGCAAGAACGTATACAGTCCCAGTAGCAAAAGCAATCATGTATGTTTCTGCAGTTTGTCTTGCAAGTATCCAAGCTCTAAGTGGAAAGAATTTTGTATATGAAATCTGAATTCATGCTCAATCTCTGGCTATTGTGAGACAACTTATTAGTGAGTTAGTTCATCCTCTTATATACGACCCAGGAATGAATTGAGGGCATGTCAAATCCGCTATGTTCCATCTGTTCATGTTGCAGCTTGAGAAAATCATTTGCAAAGCATCACAGAACTTCTGATTTTCAATGAGTCCCAGTCAGGAAGTGAGACATTCAATGTGTACTTGACATGTGGTACAATGTGCCGCAGGGTAAGATTACACTGTGCTAACAGTGTGAACAATTGACTAATAGCCATGTATGTAGAATGAGCGCACCAAAAAATCAATGAGATGACAGTGGACCCAGTGCAGCCAACCTACCCACCCTGCCGGTCAACACATGAACAAATCATAACTTGTATTTGACCCTACATAAACAGATTATACAGGTGCTATTGCATGTTTTCAATATCCCAGGCTCTGCTAAAGCACAAGGGAATCAAATATCTTTAGCTGCAGACCATACCAAGAAACCCCTGCCAAATTGAAGGATAATTATGTGACATTCTATGGCCATGGCCAGAATAGATACATCGAAATTTGATATAATGCACCCCTGCCCCTGCAGTAGACCTTGCAGTGGGCCCCGCATCTGACCCCTGCATCAATTTCAATGTCTTCCTATAAATTCCCAGTTGGCCTGTTGCCCTGCTCACCTCTACAAGATCTTCAATGAACAAAAATGGATCATAACAGACCAACCCTGGGGCAGCCCCCGCATCACCCCCCGCGGCACCCCCTGCGGCACCCCCCGCGGCACCCCCCGCGGCAGCCCCTGCGGCAGGCCCTGCCAAATGATGGGATCAAGTGTGTCACCAATCCCATTGTGCAGGGTGCATTTTGGTTTTTCTAAGCTCAAGTTCATGTTTAACTAGCCTATTTACCTATGGAAATTATACTGGGATGATTTGGGGAGTCTTCCATTTTTTTGGCGGAAAATCACGTGATTTTGCGCCCATTGTCTGCCACAGCATGCAATGTATCAAGCAGCATTTCCAAAATCATGCCAAATGCTGCAAAAAAGGTGCCCAAAAAGTCACGTGATAATGCGCCCACTGCCCGCCATGGTGTGCGGGGGGGTGGTAGTGACCCCGCCAATGACGCCGCCAACCCCTGCCAGCATTTTGGTAATATTTGGTGCAGCGCATCACGTGATTTTTTTATCCCGCCATCCCGCCCATGCAGCGCGTCATGTGATTGGATTTTTTTTTCCCGCCCAGCTACCCGCTCTTATGGACAAGTCACATGCTACATACACCCCCCCTCCTCCTGACCCCCGCATATGCCCCCGCTACTAAATCGACTAAATGGCCCCCCCACCCCCCGCCAGGGGGTACCTACTGGGTACCCTCAGCAAGACGTCTGAGGGTACCCAGTAGGTACCCCGCGGGGGGAGAACCGCGTGATGGCGGTGGTAACTGAGGTGAACGCATCCCAATCTTCGAGTCCACAATTGGCGGGCAATTGATCCCACAGCTGGTCCAGGAACGCTGCATGCCTGTGGCGCATCTCGTCAACACACACGTCACAGACTTCATTTCTAAACGCAGCCCAGTCGTGGGCGCGCCACACAAAGAACGGATGGCAATCCCACAGGGAGTCCCGTTGGGTGGGATCCGCAGCGGGCAGCAGCTCCTTGTGCATCCGCGCCAGCCGAGCGCCCGAGCACGAGCGTTTCGTCGGGCATTCGTCGACGGGCACAGCGATGATCGACAGGATGGCAATGGTCGCCCGAGAGTGGATGTGCGCGAGCGAGAGAAGCGTGTGCTGAACGTCCTGCGAGAGCTCATGCCAGTCCGCGCAGCTCTTTATCCGCGCGTGCGAGTACGTGCCCGCGCTGTAGTACGCCCACGGGAGGAGCCATTTGACACCAGTGCACTCGAATACAGCAATCGCGCGCAGATCCATCTCAAGGACACCATCGATGTACCCGATGCTGTTGACCAGCGGTGTATCGGGGTCATACTGACCCCGCCTCGTGCAGAAGGCTGTCTCGAGATGCAGCACAGCCCGCCGGAGCAGGTAGCCCACATCGTACTTGTGCGCAAGCCGTAGAATGCCGAGGACAGCATCATAGCCGACTGGCGCGGGCGGCGGCATGAAGAAGCTATGAGAGTCGACTACAGAGCGTGGGATGCTTCGTGCAGCGCCACGCACCTCGAGTCGAAGATCGCCCGCAGAAACACCTCGACCTCATCCTTGCGATCATGCAGCACGACGACCTGCGTACCCTCCAACGTTTCCGTCTCATCGACCGGCGGCTGCGGGATGCCAAACATCGACTCGAAGACCGTCGATCGGGCAGCGAGGATCGCGCGACTGACGCGGAAGACGGTGTCCTCCGCTTGCAGGACGACCATGCCTTTCGAGAACCAAAGATCCGATACCCTGTTCACCGGGGCGCGTTCTTGGTGGTCGGGGACCATGGTCGGAAGCGAGGATTGCATGCCTGTGGCGATGTCGCCATCACCTCGCGTGGATCAGACCGTCCCCTGCATGCGGGAGTTAATTATGTAAGGAATGATCGGCGTGCGTGCTGTCACTGTGACGGCGCGGCTCTCCTCTTTGCAAGCGACGCTTCTTTCATTGAGAACCGCTAAGCACGCGCAACGCAATTCGTCCATGCAAATCGGCGCGTACTCAGCATCCATCCATGTTGATGGAGAGCCGCTCCCGGAGTACGGACTGGAGACTTCAGCGGATGGAAAGGAGGTCTCATGCTGGATCCCTTCAGAAGCAGGCAAGGTGGGTCGATCCTCCCGCGTACTGACCACTGGACCTGATGGTTCTGCCAGGCGTTCACTCCCAACTTCAGGGACTCGGCTCCGTCCCTCAAATACACCACTCTGGCGAAGCTAAACGTCGACGACGTCCGTTGCCCTGGCACCTACCTTGGGAACTTGAGACCTGGCCACAGCGGCCGGTTAAGTCACCAGCCAGGTCACGTTCTCTCCGAGAGCAAAATCGAAACAATCGCAACTGGTCCCTACAGCAGGCGCCAGATTGTTTTTGGAAGCCGCGTTCTGACCGGTGCGTCTGGCACGCAGTAACTTCGTCCGCCAGACTAAGACTAACTGCAGATGACGATGCATACCTCGACCAATCCATTTCACCTCACGCCGGAACCATTCAAGTTGCCTTCTCCCACTGCGTAAGACACGCGAACACAGACATTGCGAGTGCCTTCCATGTACCGAAGGCTAACGCCATCCACGAGCGCTCCAAGAAAGCGGCAGCGCATGTCGTTGAGTACGTCCGACGAGTGCATTCCTCCCTAACCTCCCTCAACTGCTGTCAGATTTGGTCCTGAGATCGGCAACGACGGCCACACATTGAACAGGACTAGCTCTTGCGATCATGTCCGCACCCTAGCCAGAATGGTCTTCAAATACCGGCCAATAGGTGAGATCTTGCGTCACATCAATCTCAATTTCTCTTTAATCTTTCGCGAGAACTGTTGAGGGCGCAAGGCATCGCACCGCAGCTCAAACCCAAGACCACCCCCGTCGACAATCCGACCGTTCTCGATCTGACCCTGGACGAGGATGCGGATGACGGAGAGGAGATCCAGAGACTTGAGGTATGCTTGCCACTAGGGTTTGACCATAGACCCCGATTTCGTGTGTTTCAGGCACGGCTTCACTCGTTGAGAGAGAAGAATCCGAACAAACGGAAAATCAAGGACGAACCCGATGTCGGCGGCTCGGTCAAGCGCAAGAAAATCAAAAACGAAAGTTCCTCTTTCAGGCTGGGAGAAGTCATTGATTTGACATGATAACGATTGGTCTCAAACACTATCTAAGATACTTGTTATGCTACTCACAGAGGTAAAATACTATCACATAATTCATCGAATCAAACGTGGGTTCAACGCGTCCGTCGAGAGCAGCCACAGCTCGAGCGCACCGTCACGTGCTACCTCATAAAGAAACACCAGTTGATCATGCCAGCATTATGCTCCCTTGAATCTGAGCTAAGCTCAAAGCTGCGGAGAGAAATGTCGCTTCCAATGGATGAAGATATACAATATTGGTGCATTGGATGCTTGTAATCGACGACATACGAATTAAAGAGATACAGTTTAGGAATGCCCGATTTTCAAAGATGATCCCATGAGGTTCATTCCTTCCCTCCTGCCGAAGATGCGGACGACGCGCTTAGTAGTGACCGCCCGAGAGCTGCAGATAGCGTCAGACACGAGCTCAAAGCAGCAGTAGCGGCACGCACCTTGGCCTTGTCAAGGGCAAGGGAGTGGCCCTTGCCAGCAGAAGTGACGTCGAGGCCGGAGAAGTCCCAGGTCCCAGTGCAGGCACCGCAGTCGATGACGAGACCGTACGCGTTCTTGGTGCCGGAGACAGTTGTCGGGGAGCCGGAGAAGCTGACGCCGGAGATGGGTCCACCAGATCCGGGCTTGCCGTTGTTGGCGGGGTAGCTCTGAGTGATCAGGACGCCGTAGGAGGTGATCCCAGAGAGCTTGTTGCTGCCAGTACATTAACACAAGCAGAGGCCGAGTACCTGCAAAACGCACCCGTCGTAGACGACATTAGAGACCTTGGCACCTTTGGCAGAAGCCTGAACCTTGATGCGGATACCATACAAGCTGTTGGTGACAGTGTTGCGGAGCGCCTTGAAGTTGGTCACGCTCTTTCCGGAAGCGATGGAGCCGATGGAGATCCCGTGGCCGCCGGAACAGTTGTTGTCCTGGAAGACGACGTTGTTGCCGGAGTTCAGTGCAAGACAGTCGTCCTGGTTCTTCACCGTGCAGGACGAGATCGTGACGTCGCTCGCGCTCACGTCGAACGCGTCGGTGTTGTGTCCACCCTTGGAGTCACCGAGAGCTAGGCAGCAGGTCAATAACACGAACCGGATTTCGAATGAAGCAATGGCGCTCACAGTTGTCGACAGTGACATGAGAAATGGTCGCAGCACCGCCGGAGGTGCCGACGGAGATCGCCTGAGCCGGCGAGTTGAGGACGGTGAACTGCTGGAAGGTGCCGTAGCCCTTGACCCTAAAGCACCAGTTGAATATACGCCCCGCTACAGGAAATCAGGCACATACTTGACGAAGGGGTGGGGCTTGAAGGATCCGCCGTTGGTTCCCTTCCCGTCCCAGTACGAGGCCCCGTTGCCGTTGATCTTGTGGTTTCCTCCGTTGAAGTTGATCGCGGGGGTGTTGAACGTGAAGAGAGGACCCTGAGCTGCCGAACCAGTCAGCACAGCAAAAACCGCGGCATCAGCCAAAGTCACGTACTCGAAGTCTTTGTGAAAACGACGTCACCAGCCAAGGTAACGGTTGCACCCTTTGCGGCCTGGAATCACGCGTCAATTGAAGATGAGCTGGGAGAAAGAATAAATTGATGCGTACAGCGATGGTGATCGTGTTTCCAGCGGGCACAGTGAAGCCCTGGATAATGACGTTGGAGCACCCGCTCAGATTCTTCGAGCTGGCTACGCTGTTGACCGTGCAGGACGCGCGCTTGTCGTTCTCGATGATGGTCATGTTCCCCGGAAGGGCAAGCGCCGCACCGACGAGGGCAGACAGCTGGAGGAAAGCAACGATGGAAGGCATGTCGAGAAGTAGCAGTGGAAGGACGAGGAGAGGATGGTGTTTTCTGGACGGCTAGATGCTCGTTTTTATATCGAATTGCGTTGTAGCCCCACCTGATGACGATGGACCATTTGTCGACACGTCAACCCATGAGGGCATTTCCCCTAACGTGACCAAGTCCGAGTCCGAGGCCTTCAGAATAGTCCGTCGCGTATAGTCGATTGAGCAAAAGACCAATTCCTCCACGTGCCAAGCAACCCGGCCGCCTAGACTCATCCGCATGATCGCGATCCCGCCCGGGGTTGGCAATATTGGCGAGTATTTTGCGGAGCAGTGAAACCTCCCCTCAAGCTCACAAGATTTGCGTCCTCGTCAAAACTGGCGGGGATGTTTTCTCGGGAGATATCGTTCCGCACACTGTCCACCAGCGATCCGCCACCGGCGCCACCGAAGATGACGCGGTTGTCATGCATTTGTCCCGATGCCGAGAAGTTTCCAGGGCGGATAAACCCGGTTGTAGCCCTTACTCCAAAATGGCTTCCTTTCATCCGCGGCAGCTGTGAGTGATCCGACCCATGATGTGTCATATGTGTCATATGTAACAAAACACAGTGACGAAACAAGGACCTGCAGGTACTAACTCCAAAAATTATCCTGGCCACAGTCTTGTGGATCGACTTGGGAAATTTTACGAACAGTCCCATCTGTGCTCTATATAATGCGAGATTCTGTTGGAGACGTCATAAGGAAATTTTTACTTGCAGGCAACCGGGGAATTACGAAGAGGAAGTTTTCTCATCGAGAATCCGAAAAAGATCCGTCAAGACCCAGGGTCGATTGAGATTGATGGGAGATTCACCGCCAGTTCAGCTCGAGGAATATGGAGGGGGTCTAAGCCCCCGGGCCGTCGGGCCTGGACGTGCTCGGTGATCGGCTGACCGCCAAGCTGCCGAAGCAGCCCAGGCGCGGTGTTGCGAATATAAGCAAGGATGTCTGATGACTGCGCCGACCCGGAGCGAGGAAATAGAACTTCGAGCGTCGGCCGACGTATCGCTATCCATGGTTTGATACGAGTGCGACCAATCTGACTGGTAGGTTGACTTGAATCTCTTTTGGAACGCTTTGTGAGTTCGGGTGAACATGGGACGTTTCAATCTCCTCTGTAATTCCCGCAGAAGAAAAATGAAAGTTCATAAAAGTATGTCAATTGGTTCAGAAGCTTGTCTTGCAAAAAATATAAGCGAGTAATACATCCCCAGTTTACATCGAATAAACAGATAGTTTATCCTAGAGATTCTATCGTTTTCTCGAGTAGTCCGAAACTCGCTGCGTGACTAGGAACTTCTGCTGCGTCTTGTGAGCTGAAGTAAGAAAAGGAGCGAGTCCTTGACAGAACCATCCGGCTAGCCCACCTGGTCGAGGCACTGGCCCCGTGGGGAAGCTTCTTTATTTCGAAGCCACATTGAAGCGGACCGGCGGGTTTATTCCTCCGTTTTTCGGAGGGAGTTCCGCCTTAGTTTATTAGCATATGGTCGACAGTCGTCCTTATTGTGAAAAGTCATCGTGCGTACTCCGCTCAGTGCCTGTGTATTAGTCAAAGTGCACGGACAGGCAGAGAGCGGCATCTCTCAGCCAGTTCAGGGAATATAAGGCTGTAAACGACATGATGATCAAACGGAGTGTATGCGGGGAGACCGAACAAATCTAAGGGCACATCCGACTGAGTTTGAAGCGCATCTACCGCCCAGACGCTATAGCAAGGGTAATTCTATCGACAGACGGATTTGACTGAAATGCATCCCAACGGTCGTATAAGATGTGATGAGGACGATAGGGATGGACGAGGAGCTCCAATTATCCCCAATAAGGCTAGGGCCAAAAACATCAAATCCCCCAAATTTCGGCCCGGCAGAATCTTGCCCAGATTAGGGTCAGTTTGCCTGGCCAAGCGCCCACCTTTGGGGTATAAATTAGTCACACTCTGTGACATATGCGCCAGTAGCCGAATTTTCTTTTGTCTCGCAATCGGGGTCAGACACAAGTCAGCAATCAAGTACTTGGTAACATCCACCATACAGTCACGATGGAATCTCCTTTCGGCTCATACATCGGTACAAACTACGCTCCCAGCGCTGGAGAGCTGTGCCAGATCTTTCACTTCCTCAAGGACCCCCTCGATCGCTTGAGTTCGCTCGACAGGGAGATCGCACACGTAGCCGCCACGCTCAGCCATCTCCAATCAGAGCGACACGTTCTCCAGCAATTCGTTGCCGCGCACCAGGCGCTAACGCACCCCATCCGCCGAATCCCCCTTGAAATCCTGCTTGACATCTTTGCCGCGTGCCTGCCCACGCACCGAAACCCAGTTATGAGCACCGCCGACGCACCGCTCCTCCTCGGCAGAGTGTGCAGCTCCTGGCGGCAGATCTCTACAACCACACCGACGCTGTGGTCCCGCCTCCATATTGTCGAGCCTGGGTTGCCGTGCCAAAGTCTTGAGGCTGCCTCGGTCGACCACGGCACAGCGAATGATGCAGAGAGCGCTCGCTCTGAGTTTGAAGCGCGGATGAGGCTCAGGGTGGACGCAGTGAAGCTTTGGCTGCGCAGGTCGGGCGAGGCGCCGTTGTCGTTGTCCCTCCTCTGCAACACGGATCTGCGTTCGGATGGTGAAAGCGCGATACTGGAAGTGCTGCTCGCCGTGCGCCATCGGTGGGAACGGATAGAGTTGGCTGGCCACTTGTCGATGCGTCAACTGCAGGAGGACTGGGGCTCTGATGACGTCGGTCAACTACAGAGTCTGCGGCTGACCATCGACAGGGCGCCTGTGTCTAATCGCATTTCTCAGTGGGGAAAGTTGAATCTCCTCCGAGCACCTCAACTCCGAGAGTTGCATGTTGTCGGGGACACCGTCTGGCTATTTCCGCTCAGGCTGCCTTTGAAGTGGGATGAGCTCATTGAGCTCAATTTGGAGGTCTCAGTCACCGCAAATATCTCCAGCGCTGTACTGCAGGACATCCTCAAATTATGCCCCAGGCTTAAAACCCTACGTTCTTGGGCATGGGATGGGAACCCACGGCTGGAATCTGGCGGTATCATCACACACCACGCTCTAGAGACGCTGGATCTCCATTATACCAGAGGTCTAAGGCTTATAGTCAGTTTGGAACGTCTGTGTGGGCGCTCTCGGTTCCCCAATCTGCGCAACTTCAGATTTTCCGGGTACACTGATGAGCAGGTGCACTTTGACTTTGCCCCTTTCATTCTTGCTTGCACACGGCTTGAGTCGGTGCATGTCGGCATCGACCTATTTTCAAAAACGACACTGGAAGAGTTTCTCATCTCCTTGCCTCCCACTTTATGCTCTCTATGCATCACAGAATCAAGGATATACGACCGGAATCTAAACGTCTTCGACAAAGATGCACTCTCTCTTCTAGTTCCTACTCAAACAAGCCCAATTCCCTGTTGTCCCGGTCTCCAGAGTTTCACAGTTGGACCCTGCGTTCGATTCTCGGGTGCATCTCTGCTATCTTTCATTCGCTCTCGGATGACTTCGACCACAAGTGTCCCCCTGAAACATGTCTCAATCGCTTTCCCCGGCGTCATTCAAAAAGATATTCTGCTTGCTTTGCAGAATTTCGTTGCGGCTGGTCTGAATGTGGACATTCAACACAAGGTGGAGCTGTCCGCAGATAATATGTTTACTCCTTGGACCGGAATCACAGTGAAGTAGTCAATCCGCTCTATCTCATCTTGTAATTAGGTAGAATCCAAAGATGGATATCGGCTACGAGCTCAGAAATCAAGTGCTCCATTCCACATCGGACGGACTGCAGCACGCACGTCGTCCTTCCACATAGTTTAGATCCAGAGTCGAGTGATGACATCTGCAGTAAGGCAGTTTACGTATCTTCGATCCCGTGAAAGCGAAATCCAGACAGTACTTGAATCATTGTGGTAGCGTCAGAGTACAACGGTAACAAAGATGTTCCCCGCAACATTAAATAAACTTTGTTCCCGTTCAATGCTTCGATGGTGGCTGTGTGACACGGACGTCAATCATCGACCGCCCACCTTGGCCCATCCCCCCAGCCTTCTTCCCGTTCTTCACCCACGATGCAGTCCATGATCCACTTCCCCCCACCCCACCGTGCGATCGAGAATGCCGAAGACTGGAACGACGGCTGGGAGAAAGTCCTGCGCCTGCCGCAACTCGCGCCAGCCAGAGCCCCGTACTTCGTCTACGGGTCGATGCTGCACAACATCCGGATGGACGCGGAGGACGCGGTGCAGGACATGATGTTCCATCTCGACGAGATGAAGTCGCTGACGCTCTCTGCGCAACGCATGCTCGCCATCAAAGCCGTGCAGCATCTGGCGAACGACGACTTCGAGCGGCGCTGGCTGGAAGCGAGCCCCGCCGAGCGCAGGAAGCACCTCATGTTGGCCTTCGTCAAGTCCTGTGGGAACTCGGATGGGCTGAATTCTGCCCGCACATCGTGTGGTGTCGAGCTGCGCCTAACGCGCCTCCGATTGCTTGGGCGCGCCTTCATCGATCTGCTGCAATCGGCGATCATGCTGGATGGGACGATGACCTCCACAGAACCAAAGCGGATCGCGAACCCGGACTGGGATCGATTTGAGGCGAAGCGGAAAGCTGATGCACATGCGACGAATGAGGAGAAGCTCGCACTTGCACAGGTCGTGCTATTGCGTACGAGGCTCATATGTGCGCACCCTCATCCTCAATCTTTGTCCGGGCTGGAGCTGATGCTTATCGAAGGTCAAGTGTTGACTTATACCCTCGATTCGTTCCATGGCAACGAGATCAAAGATCTTGTTGTGCTCAAGGACAGTCGCGAGCTGCAGAAGCGTCGGGCGAGCAAGACACCTGAAGAAAAGGAGATTTACAAACGGATGTATGGGCTGAAACTTGCTAACGAGATCATGAGCGAGGAAGACGCTGGTAAAAAGGAACGTCTCAGCCACCGTCAATTGACGTGTTCACGAACCGGCTGTCCGGCGAGGGTCGCAGAGCTTAACACCAAAGGCACCCCCGCCATCAAGTTCCTGCGGTGCAGCCAATGCTGGGTCAAGCTCAAGCGTCAGGTTTCATATTGCTCCCGGTTCGCCGAGCTTCTCCGATTTCTGTCACCTGTTTGACAATACGGCAGAGAGTGTCAGAAGGAAGATTGGTCGTTGAGACACAAAGCCATCTGCGGGAAGGCGATGGACTTTGAGATGGCGTCGTCAGCCAGCAGCAGTCTCTCGGCCATACTCAAGTCTTCCAACGTCGCACCGTCTGACATCCTCGCCAATCAGATCGAGCTGTGCACCAGCACACCGTGTGCAGACTATTTCATCCTGTCGCCAGAGAAATTCGATTTCGAAGGGATTTCGTTCGCCCACACTCCGTCCTTCTCCGTCGCATTCCGCAAGTGCAGAGACCACGCATTCGAGACGCGTGACCCGACGTCATTGGCTCGCATGGCGCACTTCTTGTGCTGGAGCTCGCTCGTCCCGGGTTCGGAACGGGCCGGCGTCACACCGAGGGTGATCGTGGTCCAGCTTGCCATGGAGTTTCAAACGTCGCCGGAGGGACTCAATCTGGGTATCCTGGGTATGCAGAAGTTGCAGAAAGCTGATCCGTGGAAGCGGCCGTAAGTCCTCCTCTAATGCGACTTGAGATCATTTTGACGTGAGGTGTAGTCCGCTTTTGCATGGTACGCCACCTGATGATTGGGAAGAGGCTTGTGCTCCCGAGTGGAAGACCGTTGTTATCAATCTTATCGAAAAGTGAGCAATTGTTTGTAGAATGGCCAAGTGTATCGATAGTTGTGTTGCGATGAATGTAGCTTTCTTGTAGTTTCTTGATTCCCAGGTTTCATTCGGGAGTCTATCGAGGACTGATGCATATTAGTCTATGTGATTGAACTGTATGCGCCGGATGCCGGATAAAATTACCTTAGAACTCAAGGCGATCATCCAATAGAGCTGATACGTGCTGCAGGTCCCAGCGGAAAGCAACACACGTTGTTCGTGAGAAGGATCAACATGGCTCTATCTCGTGACATCTGATCGCATCGGGACGGTGGCGGCTCATCGTCAGACTCATCATGTCGCGCTTGCTGAGACCTCAATAGTGAAAGCTACGGCATGCGTAAGATTCCTCATCTTACACAGTCACGATTTGGAGCCTATATCTAAAGCGGGAAGAACTTGACTCAGAGCAGATGGCATCGCTGGGAGTCGAGTCACCCGGCACTGGCCGGTCGGAGCCGGTTTCATCTGAGGAGGTATATCATCTTGAGCTAGTATGCGCCTGCTTTCTCGCGCTCTGACGACGAGCCGCAAAGACTATCGACTCCGCCATCGTCCCGCCGTTCATGCAGTTGTGGAGATTAGACTTGGACATTGACTGGATCATCGACCGATTACTTGATGGTACGTTCCTCGCGTATTCATGGATTGCCATCTGAGAGGGGACTGCAGTGCGGGGAAACCGCCCGGGAAAGGCGGTAGCGTTGCAGGAGGTCGAAATCCACCATCTGTGCATCAAGGCACGCGAAATCATGCTCAGTCAGCCGACCCTGCTCGAGCTAGAGGCGCCAATCAAAGTCTGCGGCGACGTCCACGGGCAGTACCACGACTTGCTGCGGATATTCGAGTACGGGGGATACCCGCCCGATGCGAATTACCTGTTCCTAGGCGACTATGTGGACCGCGGTAAACACTCGCTCGAGACGATATGTCTGCTGCTGGCGTACAAGATCAAGTATCCCGAAAACTTCTTCCTGCTGAGAGGAAACCACGAAAGCGCCGCAGTGAATCGCATATACGGCTTCTATGATGAATGTGAGTTCACAACTTCTTGATATCGAAGCCACTGACTCGGCTTGCTAGGTAAAAGACGTTACAGTACAAAACTCTGGCAGACATTCGGGGATTGCTTCAACTGTTTTCCAATCGCAGCTGTCATCGGCAACCGGATATTTTCGATGCACGGCGGGTTGAGCCCGCTTCTCAGATCGATGGATCAGATCCGCCGCATTGCGCGGCCAGTCGAAGTCCCGGCCAGCGGTCAGCAGCGTTGACATGATCGGCACAGAATTCGTCTGATGCTGCTTTTCAGGATTGCTCAGTGATCTCTTATGGAGCGACCCAACACACGACCACAGAGGATGGTCGTCCAACGACCGTGGAGCGGGGAAAGCGTTTGGACCCGATGTCGTGACGCGGTTCCTAAAGGAGCACGATTTGGACTTAATCTGCCGCGCTCATCAGGTGCGTAAAAAGGTTTTCATAGGTTGTGCCCCCCGACTCAACCTTCCGCGCAGGTTGTGGAGGACGGATTCGAGTTCTTCGCCAACCGGCGTCTGGTGACCGTCTTCTCGGCTCCAAACTATTGCGGCAAATTCGATAACGCGGGGGCACTGATGTCTGTTGACCAGGACTTGCTCTGTTCGTTTCAGGTCAGTCAAATATTTCTCGCATCACCGTATCCTCATCCGATTTTGGATAGATCATACAGCCGTTGGAATCTCCGTTCACCCTTGGCTAAAAGTGAATAGCTGAAAGGCCTCATACCGAAGATGTTCCGCAAGAACATGGATCCATCACGGCCCAAGAGCCGTAATTATTTGATTGAACCCTCGGAGTCATGGTGCAGCTAGTATATCGATCCTGTCACTTCGAGAGTAGCACGACTCGGGTACCCCGGGCCTGTGTGCTGATCCGCTCCACACCGATCAAGCGCCGGCTCCCATGCGTCCCGCCTGGATCTTAAAATTGTAAAACACAACATTGTTTTCCTTCAGAGTTGCAGTTGCAAGAAAAGCCCGTGTCTCCTTTCCAAACAAGAATCTTTCATCTTCCTTGAGCCGATTGTGCATGGCTTCAGTAGTTCTTTGCCTTCCCTTACTTATCAGGCACCATCGGCCATTGTCACAGCACGTGCGTGTTGGTTGACCCAAAAGCTGTGCTGGCAGCAAAGCGCGACGTCACGATATATATAAGCGCGTTTTTCGGGAGCTGATCCGCGTGCGCTCAGTCGTCCCCCTCAACACCCTCTCTTTCAGGTCCGGCCCACTTCCGCTGCGCGGTCTCACGAATTCCGATTACGAACATCATCACCATGCTTTTCACGCTCACACTCTTTCAAGTCTCCCTGCTCGTTTTCCCCGCTGCTGCGCAGCAGATTCAAGATGTGGTGCGTGCCTACTGTATACCGGCGCGTCTGCGCATCCGCACGCGCATCTGCTCATCTGAAACAGTGGCAAACGACTGCGAACAAAGCCTCCCTCTTTGCCGACGTCTCTCCCCACAAGCCCATCGACTTTGTCAAGCCCGGTCTCGGTGCCCTGGCCGACATCGTCGTCGCAGACTCGCAGACGTTCCAGACGATCGAGGGATTCGGTGGATCACTCAGTGCGTGCCTCTACCTGCCTCTTCTCCCCATCGCCGAGATCGCGCACCAGCCGACTCCTCCGCTCTGACCCTGAGTAACCTCAAGTCCAAGAACGCGACAGCCTACTGGGAGATCGTCCACTACATGTTCGACGCGACGGACGGTGCCAACGCGGCCGGGTTCAACTACATCCGCGTGCCCATCGGCGCGTCGGACTTCTCTGCCAAAGGTGCGTCGTCGTCATGGCTTTGTGCAATGCACCACGGCATGCGGGACCGAGCGTTCTTGCAGTCTACAGTCTCGATGACCACAAAGGCGACACGACATTTTCGAAGTTCAACATCGACAACGCTCCTTCGCATCTGTTCAGCACGATCCAGGATATCATGACCGTTAACCCCGCTCTGAAGGTGCACGTTGTGCCGTGGAGTCCGGTGAGTGCGAGCTGCTTTTTCCAAATGATCCGGTTTCTGAGAGATGGGTGGATGGTATAGCCGGCCTGGATGAAGAAGGGTGGAAAGATGACGGGGGGCACTATCCAGAGCCAATACATTCGCATCTGTGAGTTACCCGTCGGCTCAAACTTCCCTACAACCTCATGCATGGCAGACCCGACGTATCTGCTCAAAGCGGTTCAAGGCTTCGTGAGCAAGGGCATCAACATCCATGCGATCTCGGTGCAGGTGCGTTGGCTCATCTGTCCTTTGACTACCCACCTGACTGGTCGACAACCCAGAATGAGCCCCAGAACAAGTACGCATATGATTCATGCTCCTCGTTTCCACCCTTTGCTGAGACCCGGTCAGCAACCCGACCTATCCTACATGCACCATGACGCCCGGTATGTCGCTACGACTCCTGACTGTCTTGTTCTCAATTGGTCGTGCAGCAATTGAAGGCCGCATTGGGTCCGCCCTCCGCACTCTGTTAAACCAGAACGGTCTTTCCAGTGTCAAGCTTGTAGGATATGAGGTTTGTTTCTTGTCCTCCCATCTTGCTCGTTCTCATGCATGTGTGTCCACAGCACAACTGGAACGATGCAGCTGCCTATCCATCTACTCTGGTGAATCACTTTTCTCTTGTTGCCTGGGCAGATGCTGATGGAATGTAGATCCATGACGACAATGACTCTTACGACGGTGTTGCTTTTCATTGTTCGTCACCACTCCTCGTGTCGTCTATTCTTCCGTCTTATCATGCACAGGCTATGCTGGCGACGTCAAGAACCAAGCAGAGTTCCACAAGGCTCACCCGAACAAGGTGCGTTGTGTTTGACTTGATGCTTCGTGTGCCAAGACAACCCATTTAGAACATCTACTTCACGGAATGCACTGGCACTGTCGGCTCGGACTTTGCCGGTGATCTGACGGTGAGTGATTGGGAAATTGTCGCGCGTGCAGGGTAACTGATGGTTCTGGCAGTGGTATATGCAGAATCTGTGGATCGGCTCCCTCCAGAACAACGCTAGCGTCGGACTGATGTTCAATCTCGCTCTCGATGGGCAAGGGCTCCCCACTCTGCCTGGCACAAACAGTTGTGACGGTGGCTGTCGGGCGATGGTCACTGTCAACAGCGACGGGTCGTTTGAATACAACCAGGACTGTACGTATGAACCTGTTGTTCGCTAGTGTCCGGCCTGACCTTTTGCAGTCTATGCGATGGCCCAGGCCTCTAAAGCCATCGTTCCGAAGGACAATGGGGGGCCTTCTGGATTCCGGACCGGGGTGTCGGTGCAGGGGAAACATGCTTCTGCACTGACTGTGGGTTCTTACACGACTAAACGGGTCTCGTCCTCAGACTTTAATCGGCACTCTCTTGTCGTTCTCAACGGTGCGTTCGCACCGTCTGTCGTCCAACTCATGCTCATGCTCACTCTGGCTCGATAGCCCACAACTCGCCGTTGGCGTCGACAATCGATTTCCGAGGAAAGCAGGCGACATACACGTTCCCTGCGGGTGTCGTGCGTGCAACATGCTTGACTTTCCCTTGCCAAATGCTGATCGTAACCTAATAGACGACTCTCTGGTGGTTCGCACCGCCGGCTGACGAAACCAGTGGCGGCCAGACGAATGCGGTCGCGCGAGGCGTGGCGAGGCACCGCAACTCCTTCCAGGTCAGGCGCCGGCGCCTTTGATTTGAACCTGGGGAGTAGGGTGCGGCGATTCGTTCAGCTGCTATAGATTAGCGTAGTTCTATCTACATTAATGTACACACGACCAATACACACGACCAATGGAAAGCATGCAGGCACAGAACAGTGAGCGTCGACCTCCCCGGCGTGGCCCAACTGTTGTTGCCTAGACCTTGGAGGCTTTCAAATCGTCTTTTTATGCTTTGGTTCCATGCCCTGCAGTCCCATGAGAAACAAGAAGAATCAGGGACCGTGACATGCATTTGAGACGGTGGGGAATCTGGGGACATCGAATCGCTCCCCATTGAAACTCAGTACGAGACGTGCTCAAACTACCCTTTACGATCACGTGGTAGCTTTGGTGTCAGCGGATACAGCTCAGGTGAAAGGCGTAGTAGAAACCATAAACTTGGGGCGGCTCTCGCACGAGAGAGTAAGGTGCCTACGGTATTGTCTTTGAAAAGGTTGCTTGATTTGAGCAAGTATATAATTTCGTTATAATCAGTGATACAAATTGATTCATGTAACTACGAGCATTGAATAGAAAGCCATGCACATGAGTGATTCCAAAGCTCCGGTCACGTCTCTTCCGGCTCACGACTACCGTGGAAAGTCGGGACACGGCCCGACATGCCGAGGGAGACACGAGGGCGAGGGACCCAACTTTCCGGGTCACTCCCACCCTCTACCTCTGTCACGGTCTCGCACCGCAAGAGCGCTTCGACGGCATCCTTGAGCAAGGCATGGCACCCATCGTGATCAGACGCCGGCGAGACCGAGCGCGGGGGAGACAGCGACTCAGGGGTCAGCGGCATGTCCAGGAGCGCGGACAAGGGCGTGGACGATGCCGACGGCGCAAAGGAGCTGGCAGGGTACGAGGCCGGGGAGGAGTACGTCATCACAGACCCGGGAGGACGTGCACCCGGAAGAAGCTTGCGCCATCCCACCGCCAGCCCTCGGTCCACTTCGACGCGGCCCACGCGTAGAGGTCCACCAGATACGTGTTGACGCGCTCGACGAGCTCGCGGGTGCGCGCGTACCGGAACAGCTGCACGCCCCACTCGATGCCATCGCCATCTCCGCTGCCCGCCTGGACGAACTCGTCCAGCGCCTCCGGGGTCGCGGCGAGCTCCGCCCAGACGAGCGCGTCGGCGAGGTGCAGGTGGCGCCAGACGTGGAGGCTGAGCGCGGGGAGCAGCACGCGGTACATGGCCCACTGCAGCATCTCGATGCGCTGCGCTGCAGGGGGCAGGAACACCATCTGGTGCGCCTCCGCGGCGCGTAGGAGTTTGTACTCGAGCGTGAGGTTCGCGATGCGCTCGCACAGCGATGCGACCGTTTGCATGAGCGACGCGCCGAGACACCGCGCGGTCACGCTGGACGCGGACCCGTCGTCCAGCGGCGCGCCGGCGGGGTCGACGATGCCGTGCGAGACGAGGAATTGGCGCAGGTCCGGGGCGAGGGCGGAGAAGGGGAGCCCGTGGAGCATGTAGAACGGCGCATGGAAGGCCGGGCGGGGGATGCTGAGGGTCTCAGGCTGGGCGATGGCCATGTATTCCGGGTTCGAGGGAATCGGGCTGGTCATTGCTGGGCCGCTCTGGGCGGACGAGTAGTATCGCATGGGTGGTGGTGGGTAGTGGTGGATGGCAAATCTGGAGGTCGGTACATTGTTTTTATATCAGAATCTAACCAGTTTTCGGTGGCAGAGCTTTGACCATGCGAGAGACAATGGGGGAAAGAAGCGTCAAAGCGCACCTCGCAGAACCATAAATGACCTTCCTCTTTGTATTCATGGAAAGGCAGCCGAGTGCACCGCAGCCAGAACTCCACCCTTCGTGAGGATTGGATGGTGACGAGACATAGAGAGGGAACGGAAAGATACGAAGAGGAGTCAAGGTGCGGGATCCAGCTACATTTGTCTCAAACAACACGCAGCGGGAGTCATAGCGCAGTGCTTTGAAATGTGTCACGGCCATGTCATATGTGACTGGTAGCGAAAATCGATTTCCATATTTGATCGCGATGGTTGTAGTGTGTGATTCGAAAGGAAGGGAAAGAATCAGACAAGCCTTGCCTCCTTCATTCAAGCTCCTGCTGCCCGAACTTCCGTTTCAGCGGTCGTGCCACCCGCATCTCTTGTGCAACCTCCATCAGAATCTCCCTCGCGACCTGCATCTGCTCGCGCTTTCCTGCACCGACTTCGGTGCTCGATGGAAGCAGGAACACAGCACTCGTGATGCGGTCGAAGAGTGAGTCAAACTTGGGCAAGTCCATCGTCACCTTCGGACCCTTGGCTGAGAGAACACTCATCGATTGTGCCTCGTCTTCTGCCACCGTTGATGATTGCAAGCAGCGGGGAGATGCGGACCGGATGAAGCTGGGCGGTGTGCAAGCCTTATCCTCCTGTTTCAAGCTGGTGCTCTCCACGCTGGTGCTCCTCACGCTGGTGCTGACGACGACAGTTTTGATCATTCGAGCGGGTGAGGGATCCTGCGCTGGACTGGATGTAGGCTGCGTCGAATATACTTTGAATCTTTCCTGTGCTTCCGGTGTGATGGTGAACCAAGTGTGATAGCTGCACTGCATAGGACGCGACGTCAGCGATGCAGCCTCGCGCTGCGATAAGAGTCGCGGAACGCACCGCCTTGCGCCGCCTGTCCACTCTGTTCTGTTCGGCCCGTGTGAGGTAGCGCGCTTCCATACTTCCATGAAGGGTCGAAAAATAAATCCATCTGAATTCAACTATTCGTGAGACGTACGTACGAGCAGCCGAAGGATGCGACGAAGTCGTTGAGGGCAGATTCCTCGGATGCGTTGAGCGATCGCGTCTTGAGCCCGGCCTTCTTCACCGGCCCCTTGGCTGTATTTGCATCCTCCAGCAGCCGAAGGAACGTCTTCTTAGCCTGCGTGGAGTTTTGTCAGGTGCCATTGATTCATCCACTTGGATTCAATCGCATGATCGATTCCTCCGAGTGGTGTGGGTCGAGCTGACCATCCACAACTCACCTTTCTCAATGCTTCACTGTCTACGCTACTGATGCTGTGCTCGGTGGATTCCATTCCCAGCGCTGGTGAGACCAGAGAAGAAAAACGCAACTTTGAACAAACACCGGGAACAGCCGGTTGGTCACGCGTTAGTCATGTGCCCAATCAGCTGATGGAATTCTGGATGGTTCGAAATCTATTTCAACAGTACATCGATCTACAGATACACTCCTTGCAGCTTGCACAGAACATCTTGCGCCGCTTCATTCTTCGCGATCTTCTTGTTCGCACCCTCCCCGTGCCCGCTGGCTCTACCCACCTGCACATCGACCAACCAGCCCGGCAAACCGTTGCGACATATCCCGTATTTGTACTGCCAGTCTCCAAATAGCTGGTGAGATTGCATAAGCTCGTGCAGTTGCGAGATCTCCGCCCCGGATAGAGATGTTCGGGGTGTCTGCTGTGCGGTCGCCTTCTGCGGTGTTGATGGCCCGGACGAGTGCTCTTCCCGCAGTTTCTGGTACGCGGAAAGACAATACGGCTGGAGCAATGTCTCGAACCAGTTCTTGACGGACGAAAACCCGTCTTCGTGAAAAAGGGCGCCGATGTAAGCCTGCAACGATCAGCTGCGTTGGATTGGGAACCCAGCGCACTATCTCACCCGCAAGACATCGCTGCTTCTTTCCGAAGAGATACCAAAGATTTCGCATTCGACGGCACTGCACAATTAGATTAGATTTATGTAACAGGGACGCGAAACAACTCACATCTCGCTCAATGACGCGTCGTTTACAATCTGTTCAGCAATGGCCTGAATACAAAGATGATTAGACAATGACGGCAAGCCCTTTGATGCAAAATTACCTTGGCAGGCTTACCCATGAGTCTCGGAAAGTTCTGCGTAACCAGCGAAATCGCTATCAACTCTAGTGCTGACGCGCCCAGACCGATCAAACTGAGAAACAGAGCTCTGAATCGGAGCACAAATGGAAGGCAAGTCACCCACGTTTCATGAGGAAGCGCGAACTTGACCTCAAAACTACCCGTTTCAATACTGTCCAGCTCATCAAAGACCTGCAGGCGAAGCTGGGGATCGACGATTTCAGGAAGACGAGAGTTGCAGCGCTTCTGCTCGACTCTAATGTCGCGTCAGCTCGGGTCGGCGTAGAAAGCATTCCCTCACGTAGACTCGGGTTCATCGGTGAAGAAGTCCGCGCCATTCGCAATGAGCGAGGCACCATCTTGCACAATTATCCATCATAACGCCCGGAGACGGATCGAAAAAGCCACCCACCAAGATAGATCTCAGCGACGTATTTCGCACGGATGCGGTCGAAAAGCTCGCGATCCGTTGGAAACTCTTGGTCCTACAGCGAATCAGTCGTCCTGTCTCGGGATCGAAGGGAAAACTCAACGCTCTCCAACACCGAGATCCACTGCGTGTCATGGATAACCGAGACATCCACATCCGGGTTCTGGTATGGACGATGAAGCTTTACCCGGCCGAAACTTCCCAAAGTCAACACGTACACTTTCCAGGATGCAGGCATTGATCATATCCGACGGATGATACGGCTGCCGGGAGTGATTAGCCAAAGTCTCGTCTAACGAGCAACCAATCCTAAATCACCTTGTCATCGTCCCGCATTCGACCGGATCCACCCCCAAAAAGGCCGCGAAGCGATGCCGGATCCGTCAGCCTGCGAACGAGGCCCGGGCCGCGCGGGCCCCCCATGGCATCGATATCCGTCTTCTTCAGATTCAGCATCGACACCGCCCTGCCCGTCTTGCGGCCCAGCACACCCGACCGCACCGCGACCTTGAACCCGCGGATGAAGACGGTCTGGTTGTCGCGCCAGGTCTCCTCGCCGGCCCGGCGGGCGCTGGGCCCCGAGTTCGCGAAGGAGCTGATGGTCTCCCACCCCCAGCTGTACGCGCCCCCGACAGTCCCGACCTGGGCCGCGGTGCAGCGCAGCGAGAGGCCCGTCACGCGGTGCTGGTTGTCGAGCGCCGCGACGCTCCAGGACGTGCACTTGTCGAACCCGGTCACGAGGTACAGGTCGTCCTCGTCGATATCGCGCTCGAGCGTCTCCGACGCGAAGGTGTACCAGCTCCGGGCGTGTTTGATCGCGTACTTGCGGAAGCGCTTGAGCGGCAGCGCGTCGGTGCGCGACGCGCCGTCGGGGAGGACCAGGAGGCCGATCTGGCGCGACGTGTTGGAGAGCTCGATGTCGATCGACGCGCCGGCGCAGGGAGGCACGAATCTGCCCTCGCGAAAAGGCCAGCGTCAGCATTGGCCGCTGAATGGGCAGAAGACGCACATGTTCCCGTCAACGCCAGCCTGGAAGTCAACCCTCCGCTTCTTGATCGCAGCGCTGCAGATATCTGACCCGGGCTTAACCCATTCGTCCCGCCGCGCGAGCTCCGCGGGTTCGTTCAGCGCCAGCCGCTCGAAGCCCGCGGGGACGCCCATGACGTTGAGCGCGTCGTCCGCCTCGCGGCACACGTTGAATAGAACGCTGACAGATCCATCGAACGCGATATGGCACACGTCCCCGACCTGCGTGCCATGCATGCGGTACTCGGCGGGCGACGACTCGAACGGCTGCGGGAGGAAGATCGGGATCCCGTTGCCCTTGGAGAGCAGCTGGCGGCTGTAGATGCGACTGTCAGACATGGTGCGCAGTCGAGGTGCAATGCCGCTAGGTGACCGAGTCCCCTCGTGCGCTCCCATCTAAATACGGAGCGGCGACCTCAGCAATGAGACACGTAAATGCACACGCACATCGCTGTGGCCTGCGAAGTCGTGGGACACCCGCCCGCCTCGATCAAGAAGGCAAGCATCGCCGCTCGTTTTAAACAGTGCCCGTCCAATCGGGGCCACCTCGTTGTAATAGACTTTAGCTGAAAGTGGCGATAGGCCCTGATCGATTTCATAAGGCCACAGTATCTCTGCCATGAATAGATGAAGCTGCTGCGAGGATGGCAGCAGAAGTCGGAGTGCTGTTTCTCGACGACCCTCGAGAAAGATGGCACCGGGTGATGGTCATGTTATGGCTGTACATCATCCGAAAGCGATGCACATGCGAGTACCCCGGCCTAGTGGGGTGAAAAGGACTCGGAACCAGAATTGTGATCTCAAAATGAAAGTTGTAATCTCTGGACCAATAAGATCAGAAGACCTGTCTTTACACACACCTGCTGTCATCATACTCAGTGGATTCGCAGGAGCAGGTGAAGCCTGATTTCCTCTGGGCTCGTGGCGCGCCTCGGTGCAACGGAGATCAACGATTTTCTATTCCTGCGTCCGAGCCAGCCACCTTTCTTGGTGTCATGCACGTCCTCGTGGTCGTCAAGCAAGACAAAACCTTATGAGAGTGCCAGCCGGATGGTCAGCGTGCCCCAGATATCCCGGATTACAGTTGCGGAGAGCAGTGGCCGCGGGAGATCGGTTTGAAGTCATGCCGGGAGATTCTCACGGTGCGATGAGCCAGTTCGGAAGCAAACAAGCGATAAGGCAGTCATATCAATGTTGACTCGGTGAGAAACAGGCAGGCTCTGTAATTACCGCGGCAGAAATGGTGTCACCAACTGCCCTCGATGGCTGCTTTATTGCGGCCGCAAGCAGCCCTGAACCCATGAATGGAAGGGAAATCCAGATCTCATCATTCATGTTTAGCATGGGCCAGTTTCTGGGAGCTGCGCAGCGCATATTTTCCACGCTCGGGCATTCACCGGTTGATTGACCATGAAAGAATACAAGACCCCGACGTAACCAAGAACAAACTACATGAATATCTAAACGGAATGCAGGGGCTGCTTCGCGATGACCTGCTTGAAGAGCTCGAGCGACGCGGCGGGCTGGAACGCAGCCTGTAACAAAGACGTCAGTTCAAGCGGGGAGACTTGACCACAAGAGGGATGTCACTCACGACTTCGTGTCCAGCACCATATACCCGACTGCAGCACATCAGCATGACCCCTGTGGGTACACAGACGACAAAACACGCACGCAAAAGAAAAGTTGTCGACGTTTTTGATGGCAGCGATGGGGGTGCCGTTCAGGGTCATGTTCGTGAACGTCTGCGCGGCGAACTTGGCCTTGCCGTACCAGTTCATCGCGAGGACCGCATCGTGGTTGCCGACCCAGTTGCAGCTGAGCCGCAGTCAGCGCCCCCAAGTCACACACAACATGGACACGCAGACACGCACATGATATCGGCATCGCCGGCCCAGATCAAGATCTTCATCGTCGAGTTGGCCAGCTGGCCGAGCTGCGGCAGCCAGGTCCGTGCGTCCTGTCAAAAGCCTGAGTAAACAGCCCTCTGCATCACTGGTCAAGCGACCGCACATCTCCGGTGGTCGCAAACTTCTGGTACGGCGCATTCGGGCACTCCTGGTAAGTCACTTCAGCCCCGATGGCGGTCTGGACACTGCGCTGCTGGAGGTAGTTGACGTAGTACTCGGGCGGGAAAGCCTCGCTCGAGTCCTGGCGGAGGTCGTACGGGTCCCGGTTCCCGACCGCGTCAGAGAACATCGAGCCCTGAGAAGGTGAGTCCGAGGTACTGAGCTTCTCGATCTTCACTCACGCAGAAGTTGTCGGCATTGATGCAGATCCGGTTCGACGAGGTGCCGGTGCCGGCGTTGTAGCAGTTGGTCTGCTGCGCGAGACATCCTCCACTCTGGTAGTAGGTGTTGTTCATCTGCGTGATCGTGGAGCGCGAAGCCAGTGCTCCGTAGCCAGGTGCATTGGCAGCGAAGGACACGTATGCGAGGTTCTGGATGAGCGGGTCGATCCATCCGCTGTCCGAGCGGATAAGTCATTGCAAACATATGCCGGAAGAACGCACTTGTTGATCATGAGTGCGCTGACGACGATGGGAATGCCGGTGACGGTGCCAGCGGAGATTGCTGCGTTCTGCGAGTTGAAGTACGAGACGAATGCGGGGCCGTAGTGTCCGCCATAGGACTCAGTTGCGAAGATGAACCTGGGGAAGTCAGCAGATACCCTCCGCTATACGCAAGCACAACGCACTCCCGACTCGCGTACTTCGAGAACTGTCCGCTCTCGAAGAGGATCTGGAAAGTTTGCCAGAACTGTTCTGCTGCAGTCTTGCGGTGCGTGAGAGGGGAGAGAGAGCAGCAGGAGGTCAGGACACACCTGGGTCGAAACCACCGTGTCCGTGCCGTGCGAAAAGCCAGTGCCGATCGGCTGGTCAATGTAGATCACTGCGTGGCGCGTGAGCATCCCTCTCTCGATGTACATGCGACGACGGGACTGACTGTTGCTGACGGTGTTCCAGCTGTACGGGTTCACTGTCGTGCTGCGTCCGTTCGAGTTGGCCGTGCAGGGGCCGTTCTCCTGGAACAAGCCCTTGGTACATGTCAGCATCTACGCCCCAGAATAGGACCGAGCGAACGTACAATCTCAGACGCACATCCAGGACCGCCATTGATCCTGCACCTCACGAATCAGCGTTCTATCTCAAGCCCTGCCATCAATGACCACGCACCACAGCGTGAAAGGCGCCGTCGCGGGTGCGGTACGCGCCTCAAAGAACCAGAACCACTATCAAGAAGCATCACCATCAGCCCCAGCCCCATCCCTCAGCGCGACAGCAGCAGATACGCACCACCGACATGCCCGTCCCAATATCGACATACCCCGAAATCTGGTTCACGCCGGGCGTCGTCTCGCAGATGCCCGAGTTGTTCACCACGCGCAGCGTCACCTCGGGGTTGATCTTCGACACGAACTTGTGCTTCAGCGGGGCGGCGGGGTTCGCCGTCGCGACGACCGACGTGGCGAGGGCCAGCAGCAGCGGGGGGAGCAGGGCGATCATCTTCATCTTGCAGACGGCGACGAGTCGACGCGCCGCGCTTTTCTAACAGGTGGGGCAGGGGGGCACCGCGTGGGTCGCGGAGATTCGCACGGCGGAACATGGTCGATTGAGGAAGATAGCATGTTTGGGACTTCGGGGACCATGCGCGGGGGCCTGCTGGTGGCCTGGCGACCACAAGGGTGAGCACATGGTGGCTCGGTCTTCTTTGGCGCTTGATTATCTCCGGATATCGCTGGGCCAGGGTCGTTCGGACATCGTGCATTGGTGGGCTGCTGCGGAATGGTGTGGACTCGGACTTCGTGATTCATCCAGACGCCAGGCGGATCGAGAAACTCGACGGAGGAAATGATGCGGATTTGGGGCTTGTGATCGCGGATCAGATGGCACACCTTGTATCCATATTGTCATGATTAGAGTCGAGAGGTTTACGGCCTCGGCACTTTTAAGTATTCCCGAGGCTCGATATTGATAATGCGCGCTCCGCAGACCTGTCGCGGTCCATCGATCTTGATTCTTTGAGCATCAACAATGAATGAGGGGGGAATACAAGACAACGTTGTGACCATGGGCCTTATGTGTGCTGTGATTCTTTACGAACGGAGCTGACCATGCCCCACTCGATGAGGTTTACATCCAGTTTCTGTTCACTTTTTATCGATAGTCCATTTTGCGTTTCATTTCCAGCCAGGAATTCACGGAACATCGCGTTTCGTCATGGGCAGTGTGGGATGCAATGTGATCCATACTTCGCACCGCATCGCGCTTGTAGTCATGATTCGTTGCTTCGCTTATGGAAGTCACTAAACGCATGTACCGTTGTGTGCTTTCCTCCTCGAGTTGCCTGGCTCACACACAGGAGTAAAAACATCTGATTTTATTTCAGATCTCATCAATGCTCTGGCTCGGTCGAGACAGCGACGGCTCGCCGACCGGGTGGCCAGTACAGGACAAAACTGCATTTCGATGCGCTGTAGATACTTCAGGGAAGGCTCGATCAAAGTATTAACCGGTTGCCGTACAGCGCAGCTAGTCCGATCCAGAAGGCATTGATCACTCAGAAAGCTTCCTAGTCGGCTTTTCGAGTAGCAAATGTGCGGTAAATTGTCACAGAAGTTTGTACAATGTCTAACAGTAATTCATCTAACGAGAATACATTCTGCACGTATACTTTCTATGTTCGATTCTGTGTTCACTCAAATGGAGCTCCTATTAATTTCACACTAGGATTTGAGAGGTTTGACCTGGGAGCCGACTGAAGGTTGTCAGATGCGACGAGAAACCTTTGCACACACCAGACCTCGATTAACTGGAGTTTGTGATAGTTTCAGCCCCGGTTCGAGCCAGAGACATGTCATCAATTGGAAAATACATTTATACATGGTACAGAAAACGTGGCCCGTCGATCGAGCTTGCGCCGCAGGTGTCAGAATCCGCGGTACGGGGTCTGGTAATTCGATACGAGTATCGCTGAGCCACTGGCAGAGTCGGAGCCTACTGATCCTGCATGATAAGAGCGAAGAAACTCCATGACACGCCGGTCCTGGGATCAGACAAATTCGTTCATATCCGCAGTGAGATTGTCTAATTGCACACACCATCCCGGCTTGTTTGGTGCATAGTTTCTAGATGTATAGATCAGAAATGCTGGATCAACTTTAGGAATCCGATTCACCTGTTGGATGGTAGCGCAGGGTACGCCAGAGACCTGTTGGTCTCTCATACGACGCTGCGGCGATTCAACGAGCGGTCAGTAATTCGAACTGACTGATTCCTGACCGTGAACTCGGACTGATAAGAAACCGATTTAACCGCGTCGAAGATAATGAGCCCGGGGTATAACTCCACAACGCGGCGCGCCAATGCCTTGCAGGTGTCGCAGAAGGCCCGACGCTTCTTGTCTCGGAAGTACTGGGACTCGGAATCCAGGACACGAATTTCTCCGTCACCACTGGAAAACCGGCCAGGCATGGAAAACCACTCTGAACATTGGCCACAGGGGTTTAACCCAACATCGAGATCAGGCAGCTCGGGAAATTTCCAGTGGAATTGCGGAGGGATCTTGTTCAGCCTTTGTTGCGCGATGTCGTTGGAGGGATTTCCCGGCTGTTTTGGGGCGGAGGTTCCATAGGAAGCCTTTTGGGGCGCCCTATCCACGAAGAAGGAGCCGCTCGCCATCGCGGGCAGAGTCAGATTATGATGCTCGTCAGTGTAGCTGTCGATGAACGCGCCTAGGTCACGGGGTTCCCCAGCGTGATCCTCTGAATATCGCCGGACCCAAGTATCGGGTGGATACTCGCTTGGAACAACCGCGCGTTCGGGAAGAAATCCCAGAGGGTAGTGGACAGGATCCCAGGACAGTCCTGTTTGGAATGAAGGCGTGTCTTGACTCTTGCATTTTGAGACTCGTACCGTTGTCAGTTGACATCCGATCGGGAGTTGAATGGTGATTTCCCGAAGACTGTTGCGCGAGAATTTTCTGGCTGGGATACTGAACGACAATCGGGGCGACCTGAGGGGCGGAAGAAGTGGCACCTGGGACTGCGGCCTGAGCGCCAGATCCGTGCAGCCTCTGCAGACGAGGGTGTTGGATAGAATTGTTATAGAAAGCCATTCTGAGAGATCGAGAAGACAAAAGACAGCGGTGGGCAGAGAGCGATACAAATTCGCTCGAAATACCAGAACTTTATACCTCGTCAGCATTGTTCAAGTTCTCAAGCAGTGAGCTCTGAATCTTTCTTGAGTCATCACATTGACAAAGTGTGTCAAGGTATAACAAGGCAAGAGACTGCCGAGCTTGTTCTGCGCGCGTCTATGGATTGTGATCAGGGCAAAGCGGAAAGGCGAGGATGTTTACGGACGGATAATTCCCATATGCGGGTAGTTATGTGCCGCCATTCGTTACGTTTCGTTACGTATCCGTCTCCCACAAACCGCTTACACAACGAAACGGTCATATGGAGGCCGGGAACAGCATGCTGATTCGCGGTGCAAAATGAGATCGCTGTCTGATTGATTGATCGCTGCACGTGTTCGGCATCATTCACGGCATATCACATTGTACTTTGTTGCTTGTGCTATGTAAGGTTTATAAATGCTAGTTAATGTTCACACTAGTGAGATACCATATTGTATGTATGTATTCTTGTTAACGAGCATTGATTTCCCCTGGTCCTGAAATTGATCGGTCACGTGCAGTTTTGATGAGTCAGCAAGGTCGCCGAAACACTTTCACGTGATCCAGTCTCATTATTGCGGACGCCCTGGGCAGGTGTCAAGAGGTCCGATAGACATCCTGTCCTGACACACCTTCTTATCGAGAGATTTCCGGCCTGTGGGACAACGTCCGAAGATGATCTGTCACGCTTGTTGATCGCCTCAGCTGTGACATTGATGCTCCGACACAGAACATGTCTCCTCCCTTCACCATCGACTTGCCCAACGAGCTTCTGGTCGAGGTAATCTCCTATCTCTGCCTCAAATCTCTCATTTCCGGTCCTGCTGTGTCTCGTGGCTGGAAGGAGCTCATCCGTATTGCCCCGCTGAATCGCACTCGCCGTCGACTCCTCCTGCTGTACAAGCGCATCTTGCGTTCCCCGTGGTTCGAGGACAGCCGTGCCCGGCCATCCCGCAACCTTTCCGCTTTCGACCGGCAGGCCTACATCGACCGAATCTACGAGCAACACTACGAGATCCCTCACTCCACTCATTATTCGATAAAATTGGTCTGTTTTTCCCGCTAATTCATGTTAATCTTCGAGTGCCTCTCAGGGAGCTGCGCCTGGTTCTGGCCGTCGTTTATTTCACCAATTGATTCTATCTTATATGATCACTTTTCATCAGGCCATGTAATGGCACAGTGACGCAAAATGTAGTTTATTCAGCATCGGTGCCCTTCTCAAATCGATGGTGAGGAATATGCCAGGGCATACTCATTCCTCGATTTCGGATTCTTAGCCCGAGTGGTTCTGGGCTAATTGAACCATCTCTTCGCACATCCATCACTCACTTACATCAACTCAGCTTACAGGGACGTGGGGGTCTGCCACTTTTGTGAAACGGCCAAACGGCTTAAACCTTGAATGAACACAGTACATATGCTAGCATCTCCAATCAATTTATTTACTCTTCTGTGCATGTTGGGAGATGAGCTGCGCGTCGAGCAGCTCCGCTGTTACTTACATGTGACGGGGCACACTCTCCCGACATCTGAATTGGTGCCGTCCCACACATTGACTAGCGACTGGAGCTGGAGGATCAGATCGATCAGAGATCATATGGGCCACCGTTCACGGTGGGTTGCCTTGCTTGTCAAGGCTTCTCCAGACCCTAAATTCGTGCATCAATCAGATCCCATCACTGATGAAATCAATCAGATGACTCTGTTCCGGATTCCGATCCGATCAATCGTACCTTCGTCTTGAGTATGTCATGGTCTCATTCACTCTTCACTCTTATCTTTGTACTTACGCTCCCTGCTGTTGCTGGCATTATAGCGCGGCAAGGCAGTGTAATTTATAGTTCCATGCACAATGATGACTCTCTTTTGCAGTGTGCACCCACCTGTGGGCTGTTTTTGTTTCTGCTTGTGTCACTCTCTAACCGCGCTGCTTCACATGCCACCACTGCACACACAAGCACATGCACCGCATGATGTTGTCTTGCCTCATCTAGTCTCTGCTGGTGGTGCCTGATATGGACAAGAGCCTGAAGAAGAAGACGAGAACGTCTGGTGCTTAGTTACGACTGCGCTGGTATTTTACTTGTTTTATGGTGTATAAATTCGATTGTATGGATTTAATCGGCAAGCAAGGCATGATGTCGGCGGAGCCGACGCTTTCTAGTCGAAAGATCCAAACTTAGGTGATCCCATCAGGCCTTCTGTCACGGACACCGTCACGACGTCTCTTCAGGCTCCCGTCGGCCCACCACGTTGCTCGCTGCGAGCCTTCTCCCTCCCTCCCTCCCCCGCCGCCCCACCTCCACGAGATTCACGAAGCATGATAAATCAAAAGTACATCGGCCTCATGGTCTCCGTCCTCGGCTCCTCCGCCATTGGGACCAGCACAGTCATCCAAAAAATGGTGCGCTCCCGTTCGCCGGGCACCTGGCTGGCTGGGCGGGGATGCTGAACGCGAGACGCAGGGCATGACACCCTCCGCTGACGGCCGGTCCGCGACGGAAAGCATGCGCTTCTTGAAGAATCCGATATGGTGGCTCGGGACGGCAGCTTGTGCGTTCTTTCCGGTTGCGGTGCGAATCCCTCTCCGGTACTGATCCCTGTACGCGCAGTGATCATAGGCGAAAGTCGGTGCAGCTTGTGTGAGAGGTGTTCGAGGCTCATCGGTTCGCAGTATGCAACTTTGCGGCATACACCTTCGCACCGCCTGTCATGGTGACGCCGCTGGGGGCCCTGAGTGTGATCGTGGGGTGCGTAGTGATGTGCATCCTTCTTTGATAATTGCGGGCTCAGATAAGTCGCCAGGGCTATTCTCGCTTCGGTGTTATTGAAGGAACGGCTCGGACATCTGGGTCGTGTGGGATGTGCGCTCTGTATAATTGGGTCATCGATCATCGTATTGCATGCGCCTGCGGATACAGAGCTGGAGACGGTGACAGAGTTTCTGGCATTTGCGCTAGAGCCCGGTGCGTCGTCCGTGGTGATTTGGTTCGATTCAATTTTGACGAAGGAATTAGGTTTCCTGTTCTATTGTTTCACAGTGACCGTTTTTTCGCTCGTGATGGCCTTCCGCGTTGCTCCAAAACACGGTCGCACTAACCCGCTCGTCTACATTTCTATCGCGTCTCTCGTCGGGAGTATCTCCGTCATGTTCGTGAAGGGCTTCAGCATCGCTGTCAAATTGTCGTTCTCTGCAAGCAACCAGTTCATATACCCCAGCACCTATCTTTTTGCTCTCATATCAGCCGTGTGTATTTTGATACAGCTGCATTACTCCAACAAGGCCTTGGATTTATTTTCGGTCAACCTGTGCGTTTGATTTGAACATCATCGCTTCACGTGCATCGTTCTGACAACATACTCTAGCGTGAATCCGGTGTATTACGTCGGGTTTTGCTCAGCCACGATCGTGGCTTCCCTGATCCTCTTCAAGGGCTTCAACACTACTGACTCATCGACAACGACTTCTCTCCTCTGCGGGTTCATTATCACGTTCCTTGGCGTGCACATCCTCAATCTGTCGATGTTGGAGGAATCAGCGGCCAAACGCGAATCTGTTCTACTCCAGCTCCAGTCCGACGACGAAGCTGGCGACAACGGAGAGCTGGACTTGGAGTGGGAGGGAGGCCGGCGACGACGTTCGATCAATCTCAATATCATGCGCACGCCTTTGTTTGGGCGATTCGCTGATGCCCGTGATGAGGAGCGCACTAGATTAACTACTGTTGGCGAGGAGTATGAGCAACAGAGCATGCGCATATCTCCGCGGCCCGTGTAATCTACGGACATATCTGCTATCGAATCGCTTTTCTCGCTGCGTTTCGCAAGTCTTGGAAGCAATGGAGGAGTCTGCACCTGCTCTACCGGATTGCATCCAGGCTGTCCTTCGTCGTGCCGCTTGCAAATGTCCTCAGCAGCGACGGTCCAGGCTGAGGACAATGCTTCCGCGCTCATCGCACGATCTATTTAAGGTTGATCGTCCGCAAGTGCAAGTGTGGTGGGCTCATATGATATGTTTATGGTGACCTTCCGATGAAGTTGAGTCTACTTGATCTGGCGGAAGCATCCTAGTCGTGGTGGAAACGGTGGGAAGAGAATTACCGGAGAGCACGTGCACCGACAACGCTGCCGGTGGATTCTCAGACGCAAGGACTAGAGCAGGTAGGCTTTCGACCTGGAGCGCTCAATGGACTCTCAGGAACCGGGAAGTCACCTATGAACAGAGCTCATTTACTTAAGACAGTGACAACTTGAACTGTTCATTCCCGGACACCGGAGTCGGGAGCCGGATCAGGGTCGGACCGGTCGATCATCGCGCTTAGTTATAAGAAATTTGAGAAGAAGTTTTTGTCACGCTCGACGCCCGTCGTCTCCCCGTGGTCCTCCACCTTCGTCCCTGGCCACGAAGGATGTTCATTCTGCCTGCCCCCGTCCCGGCCGACGCGCCGCAGCTCGAACTCGCGCTCCCGGCGGTCCCGGCATGGTTCTCGTCCCTCCGCCTCCAGTACATCGGTCTCGCTCTCGCGCTTCTCACGACACTCGCTATCCTCGCACTGGTCCGGGTGGTCCGTTGGTTCCGCCGGTCGCCTGACGGCATCCCCGCCACGCTCGTGGAGAAAGCCGGGAAGACTGCTGAGAACGAGGAGTCGGACCCGCCCGTGGTGCGCAGACGGTGGCTGACGCGTTTGCTGTCCTGGAAGACGTCGTTCCCGTCGGTCACCGTGGAATCCGAACCGCTCATGGAGCTCCCGCGATCTCTGCCCCCCTCTGTCCGTCCTTCTGCGCAGCCCGTGCGTGGCCAGCGCGGACGACGTGGCCCTCGTAGCAACCGTACAAAAGTCCCCTGTATGTCTCTCCTTACGCTGCTAGCTGCTGATTCACACGTCCCCAGTGTCTGTAATTTGCCAATCTAAAACGCCTGCTTCCATGGCCAAAGCGATCATGAGCCGCCATGTGAGTTGCGGGCCCCCTGTCAGTGTTATCCTGCTGCTACATGCTGAAGTCATCTCTCCCCATTAGAATCACCGTCGTCCACCTGCTGCCCCATCTGCTTCCTCTCGTTGCTCCACCCCGTCGTCCCTCGCTCGCAGTGTGTCCCAGTCTTCCCCGTCGTCGGCGGAAGACACGGTGTCATGACACCGAGGACAAAGCTTGATTCAGTTAGCAATGGGAGTGCGCCTGATAATCGGGCTGCTGCTGATCAATCAGCCCGAAGTCATAACGACCTGATGATGACTGTCATGAGGTCGCTGCACGCCGGATGAGTCCAGGCTTCTGGCCCCGGCCTGATTGAGCGCGCTGCCCGTCAGTGCGACGTTCGAGTTCGTTCCAGTACCCACCACTTTGATGTTCATTTGAAATCATCCTGCGTTCGTTTTCCCACGCGATGCTGAGGACCAGATAACGCCGCCGTCGATACGTACTCGTGCTTGAGTGAGAGAATACACGGCCGGGAACACGGATTCTGAAGCTTCTGATGCGGCCAAAATGGTAACAGAAAGATCGCTGGGGGCTAGGTTAGCTCGCTCCACTGCGCGAGGCTCTGGTCGGGTATGTCCGTGACGGGTGAGAACACAAAGAATAAGATGAATATACGATTATCGCGGGAAATTGCCCATGGGAACTTCGCTGGTGAGTTAAGAACATCAGATAGAACTATCTAAATAGATTCTACACTCCGCTTAGCTCTCCGCTTCTTTGAATGCGTCAAGTATGTAGTTCAGCAGAGAACATGCCATCGGTGACGTGCTCGACTAACCGGTGATATCCGAGATTTTTGAACTATCACGTGATCAGGAAGCGTCCGCCGCGCCAGTTTTTTTTTACTGACTTCTGTGAAACATGCCAGGAAGGGTTGCAAAGCACACCACGTTTTTGTTAAATTTAACCTTCCTTAAAACGCTGTAGGTCGAGTAGCAAACATGTCTTGTTTTATCGGATACAATCCTGGAGAAGCACATCATGCTGTTCGCGTGAGCTATTGCATGCCGCAGCGAGGAATTGTTTTAACTCGTATTCATAATCTGGACCGTGGCATTAAATTTTATTCTCAGATGGTGGCAGAGAGTAATGTTACCCGCGAGAAAGAACGATATGTCTTTGTGTGTCGACCGAGACCATAGTGATATTTACAATTATTGAACCTGGTCTTGGAAACTCACCCGGTTAGGACCAGGTGAGAACACTAAAGGAGAAAAGGGTCGTCAAGACGAGAGATCAATCTGGATCAAGCTGTATTGGCGAGCGATACATATGGTAGAGGAGATGGTAGAGAGAGAGAATATATATGCGGTCATGATCAGTGATGTACGTAAGCAAGCAGGCTGCTTGCAGGTCTGAGCGAATGCCTGAGGTCTTGGATACATTAATGGCACAATCCGTCCGATCTAACGGATAGGAGGTCCCTGACAGCTTGAAAGCTGTGTCGTCTGATCCGATCGCAGGCATCACCGAAGCTTACAACTCCACGTACCTACGTCATAAGGCGATGCACGATGCGCAGTATTGCACCTCTCTTCCTGCACACCCCACCATGTCGCTATTCCGGCCCCCCCAGACGCTACCAAAAGCCTTGATAGTGCTCGTCTTCACGAGTGTCATCAGCCGTGTACACGCTCAGTCGACCACTTGGAGCAATGGAAACTCCACAGCGAGTCGGGTCGCAGGGATCATTGGTGCGTCGAAACAGTCATTCCACTCAATTGAGCTGGCGCTAAATGGACATTCCCTTCGCATAGTTGCTATCCTGTTTCTCCTTGTCCTCCTCATGCTCATCTTCTCCTTCCGCCGGCGTCAACAACGGCGCTTTGCCGCCGGTCAGCCCACGTGGGGCTGGGGCGCCTACCGTCCTGGGCAACCAAATACGCTTCCGCAGCACCAGCAGGAGGTTCCTTATGGACATGGAGGATACTATCCCCAGCAGCAGCAGCAGAATCAATTCCAGGACGGAGCGCCCAGACCGGGATATCACCCTGGATCGGAGTACCCGCCGCAGAAGCAGACTCCGGCACCTCCGCCGTATCAGCCCAACGGGGCATATGCGCCCCCACCTGGCCCACCGCCTAATTTCGGCGCGGTGAGTCGCTCTCGGCTTGTTTCCCATTCGTCCGTCTGATGGATTTTGGCGCAGGCTCCTGGGTCCCCTCCACCCGCTCACGTACATGTACGTTTCGATATTCTCTGGCTGTCTACTTATTAACCCTCCGCCAGGACCGACAGAACTCCTTCGCGGGAGGTTTTAGAGCGTGAAGCAGTCAGTCTTTAACATGAAATGCCCAGCACTGTAAGTATCCTATACACGAACCTGTACCACGTAATACCACCGGAACTATTGTAGCATTGTTATCACACCGACCACAGCGTTAGATCTCCAGGGCGTGGAGTCATGACTTTGCATGCTTACGGTTGAAGTGCCTCATTTGGAATCTCCCAGGGATGGAAAGAACATAAGTTGCGCGATTAGCGCAGCGATCCTAGCGAAGCGGATGCAAATATAATAGTTACATTGGACATTCAAGATCGTGAATTACAGCAATAATGACAGATTAGACACTTTCGCTTTCAGACAGGCTCGTCAGTCCCCTCGCAAACGCAGGGCCCATCTCGAATTCTGAATCAGACACGCTGGACTTCGTCTCTGTCACTTTGTGGACCTTGGGCGCGGTGAAATTGAGCGTGGAGCGGGTTTCACGCGTCGGATTTGATGAGCCGAGAGAGGTGGTCGTCGTCTGTTCGTAGGAGTTTCCTGTTGCGACGCGCACGACGATGAGCAGCGGTGCGATTGCCTTTGAAACGAGAAACATCAGCTGGTGTTCTGCAGCAGAATGTATTGGACACGCACGTAGACCTGCACGGCGATCGGCTCCATCAGCGCCTGCGCAGGGTGACCGATCGCGAACAAGACGATGAAGATGAATTGGACGACGAGGAAGAGCGCCCCGCTCTCGATGATGATCCCGTCGCGCGCTGTGCTAGAGTCTGCGCGTTGCCGCCCGTGGAGCGCGTTTTCGAGAGGACGGAGTTGTCGAGCCCGCGTGTCATCCACCAGAGTCGGCCGACGATCAGCGCCGAAGTGATGAAGTTGAGGATGATCGAGAGCGAAAATGTCGCGTCGCCCATGGGCACGAGGGCCGTAGGGACTTGTTCTCCAGTGGGACTGATTTTCATAACAATCCCTGTAACGGACATTCCACACGCTGTGGGAAACACTGAGCGACCCTAGCAATCCGAGGATGTGGCTGGGAACTTACCGAGGGCACCGAGGGCAATCAGAAAGGGGAGGATGATGATCCAAACATTCTGTGCCCAGACCAGATAGCAACGATAGATCTGGAGTCTCGTGTCAGTTGCAGTTCGAGGTTGAGATGGAATAACATTACCAACACCAGTTGCCCGACGAAGTCAGCGAGAATGAATGATGAGTCCGCCACTTGAAGATCTCAGCTCTCATGCTGACCCTGAATCACAAAACTACTAACCAATAAGCTTGTGCGTCTCGCCAGAGATATGAGGCCGTGGAGAAACCATCTAAAATCGGCAAGAGTTCTTCACTGATTTCCTGCACAAACGACGATTCACTCACAGTTGAAACATACACGTTATCAAAATTCAACGCGAAGTGAATCGTGCACAGCGCTAGCAGTATAATCGTGGCGAAGATGATGGGAATGATTGTGTGGTTCTTCAACACCCGAGGGCGACAGAAGAGGAACGCAGCCGTGCCGAAGAGGAGGAGATGGACCCCTGGAGTAAGATAAGATAAGATGACGTCAAGATGGACGGAGAGACTTTCCGTAGAAGATGCCTTCGAGGCCGAACCCGAGAAAGGTCGCCTGGTCAGGATTTATTGTGTGCGCAAGGTCGGCGGACATTTTGCGGGGGATGAAGGAGCTGGGGGAACGAGCTTGGTCGAATTCGCTTCCTCGTTGCCGCTCTTTAATCCTGCAAGAGTAATGATGACGATGAAAGGGACCTTCGCTTGGGAGCATGAGGCCGCGGAAGACACGATCTTGACACGCGTTCGGTCGAAGTGCAGGGGTGATTGGAGCACATGCTGCCAGAGTCTGCCCAATTACCTAGTCAGTCCAGGCTGCCAAACGCTTTGTTTGAACTAGAAGGTGGCTTTTTCACTATGGTCCATTCGCTATTAGACATAGAATGATGATGGATTAGTTCACTAAACGGGGAGAACAGTAAAAAAAACTGTCGACTGTGATGCAGAGGTTACTTCATCTTGCTCAGAGCTTCTTACGTCTAGATTGGCGTATCAGTGAACGCCGTTGATGTTTATCAGAAGTCCAACCAAGGTCAAACGGAGAACTCTGAGAAGAGCACCGCCTCAGCCCGACCATATGCTACGCAGGCACTCTTTGACCTTCACAGGACTTGGGTGCCAGATCGGATAGATGCCTATCAGGTTCGGTGTCGGTGTATCGTCTTCTGGTGTGGTACAGCCTGCGTTTCTTGCACGACTAGCGGGTGTGAGAGCAGAATCCGATGAAGCATGTCGAACAGAGAGGACTGATTGTTCAGCGAGCCCGACATCGTTCGCTCTTTGCTCGTTGCTGCCCAGTCTTGAAGCCTGTTGCCAGGGTCACTGCGAACAAAAGTCCTAGTCATACCAGCCAGATACAGCAAAGCGCGAGCAGAAGAGCCTAAGAATCGACGGTTTGATCTATTCTTGCGATAAGAAAGATTGAAAGCGAGTAGAGAAAGGTAAGGGAGAGACTTTGAAGGGTAGTGATACAGGGGAGGGCGAAGGAGGTAAACAAGTAACTGACCATGGGAATGCGGGGTTGCTATTGTCAAAGAGAAGAGGGCGTTGATTGGAGGTGGAATCCGCGGACCGTACTAAGAGACGCCGAACTGGGGACTATAAAAATCAACTTACCATACCGAGTGTGGGCGTGCAGTCAGCGAGACTTGCCCGGGAAACACCACACAACATGATCCAGAAACTCATCCCACTCATCGTCCTTTCCCTCCTCGCAAGCATCGCCGCTGCCGCTCCAGGAAAAGGTCGGTCGATGCACCGACATTGTCGTGGATCTGTTCTGACCCATCTGCTCAGCATCCTGGTCGGCGGGCTCTGACGTGGAGTCTGACAACCGTCGGGCGTTCTGGGCGGCTGAGCTCGAGCCCACCGAGGAGCATGGCCATGTCAAGAACAATCCTCGCTGGGACGAGCTGCTGTGGTCAGGAGAGGACGAGCCCACTGAGAACTTGAACTACCGACGCGCAGTCGGGGACGTTGAAGAGGCTTTAGCCGCCACCAAGCGAGATTTGTGGGGATTCACTGGGGAGCCTGTGCAATCAGATCAATAGTGGCGATCGTCGTCGAAAGTATCGAGGGACTAGCAAAAACTATATGTAATGAGAGGCTTTGGGCGGATCGAGACGGAGTTTGAGATCAAGAGTTCTGCAGTGTGATGAATATGTTCCTCATTGCTTGACTGCTATCAAACTTGTCACGCGCTGGCTCGTCCAGCAGCCTTGAAACGTGACCCAACTCCGGAGCGGATATCGGCGAAATTATGCCGATGCCGATGCCGTGACACGCGTAGCCGGCGTTACTCAGCCGGCCGTCGTGCTTGACTCCATCACCCATGCCGTCCGACTCGTCGTCGTCGTCGCCGTCCCCAAACGCCAGCGGAGGGAAAACGAAGCAGCGTCGAGTGACGCGGAGCTGCGATGCCTGCCGATCAAGGAAAAGTCAGTTACGTCCCATATCACTTCTCGGTTCTTCTACTGATCCCCCCCTCCCCTCCTGTCTCAGTACGATGTGAGTATTGCCTCGCAACGGACACGTGGATCTGGTGAATACGGGCTGAATGGATGATACAGGCGATGGAACGCAGGACGGGACGTGTGCGCATTGCTCGTCGTTTGGGCTGACGTGCACATACGCGCTGCCGGCGCAGAAACGGGGCCCCAAAGACAAGTGCGTGCCAGAGCGCCCTGTGCGCGCACCATACTCAGGCACGCGCTCCGCAGAACACTCGAGGAACTGCGTGCCCAGGTCTCCGCGCTCGAAGCGAAACTCGAAGCCCTCTCCTCTGCGTCTATACGGTGCCGCAAGTGCGGATGGACGTCGTCGGAGGATTCACCAGAGGCAGACGGGTCGTCATCCTCCTCGGCTTCGAGCAGCGTGGGCACGCCCAAGTCTGCTCTTGACCCTGTGAGCCTATCAGCGGAAGTCGATGACGATGAAGACGAGCTCGTAACCCGATTCAGTCGGTTCTTTGTCGACAAGATCAAGGTGCATTGCAACTTTGGAACAGCAAGTACATTTGCGTTGGCGAATACTCTGTTGGTCGTGCGTGGTTCTTCTTCCGCTCATCGTGATACCTTTCAACGGACATGTAGGAGAAGGAAGACGCAACCGGCGCAACGCGGACAACCGCTCGACGACCCGAAACCTGGGACCCTTTCCCGGTCAGTATCGTCGGTTTCATCTCCGCAACATGTATGCTGATTGAGTCGTCACAGTGGGAAGAGGGTCCGACGCCTCAGTTTACCTTTCCACCCGACAACACCATTCTCTCGCTGATGGATCTGTATTGGGAGAGAGTGCATCCGCTGATGCCTATCTTACATCGGCCGACATTCGAGCGGTCGATCAGAGAAAACGCACATCGACGGGATGTTGGATTCGGACAGGTTTTGCTGGCGGCTTTGGCCAATGCTTCGCGGGTGTGTGACTGTGGCCCTCTGTCTTGTGTCCAGACTCAGCCTTCCATAGTTCGCCGAAGATTCCTCCGTGTTTCTCGATGGATGTCTTCCGCTCTCGGCAGGCCACAAGTTTATCCACCAGACGATGGATATGCACCGAACTCATCTGGAACCAACACTGCATTCTGCGCAGTATTTTGCAGTGCGTGTCGCCTCTCTTTACACGTTGCTTCTGTTTCTTAACTTCACCTAGCTGATGGCCGGATTCGTGAAAGGTTATTCTCGCCCGTTTATGGCATGGTATTATCTCGTGCGTCGACTTATTTTCTCGTCTCTCCAATTCGCTCAGGAACATAACCTACCAGGGCCTGGCTATGCGGGTTCTCCAGGGACGTCAGTCACTGAAGCAAAAACGTGTGGTCGGACAGTTCGATTATGAATGTGAGATGTGGAACCGGATGTTCTGGTGCGCATGTTCGAGTGCTCAGACGACTGGCGTTGTAATTTTTGGTGCAGGTGTTGCTTCACCACGGAGGCAACCATATGCGCGTATGTCGGACGGAGGCCCATCCTTCGGATCGAAGAGTGAGTCATACCTCGGTCGATTACTAGCTCCGCGTTTCTGATCGTTATCTGTAGCTATGATATGGCCCCACCCCTCGAGGTGGATGACGAATTTTGGGGACCAGACCTCTATCAGCCGCACAACAAGTTGGCCATCAGTTCGTATTTAGTGTACAACTGCAGTCTCTGCGAGGTGAGTCGCCAATATTTCACGTTAGGAATTGAACCGAATGATGCTATTCACCTTGCAGATCTTGTACAACGCCCACCAACGTCTCTATGCATCGAAGAAAACGCAGATAAAGAATGGTTGGAACACTGCCGAGGCTGAATGTCAATCGATGACTGAACTGGACTCGGCGATGAACGCTTGGTTCAGCTCTGTCCCTGCGCATTGTCAGTGCGATTCTGCCTCGCTTTTGGAAACATAACTAACCGGCTTCTGCAGTGCGCTGGGATTCCGAGATCGCGCAATCCGATCCAGTCTTGTTCAATCAATCTGCGCTGCTGTTCATGAGCTACCATTACGTCATGATGATTGTGAGCAGGCCATTTGAAAAGCCCGACCTTCCACTTATGCTCCATAGATCCATAGACCGTATCGAAACGCCAATCGGAGCACCGCGGTGCCCTCGACGGAGATCTGTCTAGGCTCTGCGCGTGCAATACTGAAGGCTTGTGTAAAATGGCAGCCGACGCTGAAGACCACGGCGCCCTATGAGTTTTTGGTCCGTGCTTTCACTAGACCACAATTGCTTGGACTGATCTCAAGAGATCAGAATCCGATTTTCGTCGCAGCGCTCGTACTCACGAGCAAAGTGCTGAGAGGCAAAGCCGCCGGCCATGCTCGACAGACGGAGAAGGACTCCCAGCTTGTGCAAAACGGGATGGATGTGCTCCAATTTGCCGAGTCTCGGTGAGTGTTCAGTTTGATCTAGTGTTTTTGTGTTTCAACTGAATTACGTCAGCTGGGCCATGGCCGGGCGCTTCGTGGACATGCTGCAAGAACTAAGAGAGTTGCGGCCGCCGGAGCAGCAGCCCATGGTGACCCTCGCTCCCGGCGTCACGATAGAGCAGCTTCTGGGCGAGCTCCCCACGAGCGAATATCTGTGGCCGAGGTTTGGGGCCAATGAAACCAACAACCTGATGAACTTGTGGACTGCACCCATGGATATCGCGTGCGTCAGCTTGGTTTTGTGTGCTCGCTTCTCTAATGACCGGGATTTAGAGCGAATGGGGTTGAGCAGTGGGATGCATTTTTGGGCAAGAGCGATGAATGGATGGCGCTTGACCCGTATTAGGTTTTGTTATGAATTTCGGTATCTGTATTAATATCTGTAGCATATCACACCCCTCCTCGTAATGCTTAGGCACAACACACACGATGCAAGTATCCTGACACTTGACAAAAAATTGCGGCTTGGCCGATGTGTTTTCATCTTCAATCGACGGTCCCCTCGCCCTGGCAACATCGCGCGCTGCACGAGCCTCGCATTCCAGCATCCCAACAGAACCGGTCCTCCGTGAAAATCGGTGAGGTTGCAGAATGAGAGTCGATTGTGGTACAGTACACACAGGTAGGTATATATATGGATAAATAGCTGGCTAGCTATCTGGTCGTTTCAGAGATTGGGGTATCGAATGTGCGGTTCGGGTATCTATCATGATTATGTTTAGAAAACGTCCTTAGCCAACACGTACGGGCTCACAAAAATCGTCGCAGTCGCCGCAGGGCTTTTTTGACACGTCGCTGAGGATCCATATCCCGTCAGCTGCCCCGCACTCATCAGCGCTGTTGACACATACCTGCACCTTCCTCTTCCATGATGCGGCTCGGCGCACAAGCCGCTTCTCTTCCTCCTTCTCCAGGTCCGGCGTCCGTGGATCGTATGGGACGCCTATGGGCCACCGATCGTCAGGTGTCTGGACAGCCACTGGTCTGCAAGGCGGAGCGGCGGCGGCCGAGGGGATGCCGAGAGAACGCCATGGGACTCTGCCGCCCTTCTTCGTTCTGGGGCCCGTCGTCGCGATTCGGGCCTGATGCCCGGGTGCAGACGCATCGTTTTGGTTCCCAGCGCCTCGAGCGACCTGCTCCCGCACATCCCGCTCGTCGTCCTCGTCCGTGTCGATCCACGACTTGAGGCCCTGGTGCGCATACGGGTGCAGCCCATTGCGCGTGGGCACGCTCCGCTTCGCCGATGCCGGCACGAGCGTCACTTTCGTCGTCGTCTTCGGGGGATGGCGGGGGCCGGGCGGCGCATCGACGTCGGAGGAGGAGGACTGCGTGTGCGTGGTGCCTGATTGGGTATGCGTGCCGGTCCAGGCGAGGGTGTGGCTGTCGGCGGACCACGTCGTGTTGCGCCGGTAGAGTGAGTCGGTCTGCGTTGCGCGTCAGTGTGCGTGCGAGGGAGGAAGAGAGAGAGCTGTGGGTGGTGGGTGGGCTGAACGCACCGATGCCTGGCTCCGCAGTCCGCCACTGAACCGCTCCTGGATCGGCGTGAAGGGGTACTGCAAGAGGGGCTCAGCAACATCGCTTCCGGCGCAGTGCCCCGCAGACGCACCTCGTTCGCATGGATGTACCCTGCGGAGCCGCTGTAGGGGTGCGCCATGGGCCCGTGCGGCGCTGGGGCGGAGAGGAGGTGGGGGAGGCGGAGACAAGGGAGGGACAGGGGATGCGGGAACAGCCCTGTGGCCCCATGCGTGGGTGCGAAGACCCTGCGCGACGTGGTCAGATCAGGGGGAAGTCCTTGGATGGATGGATGGGTGATTGACGCATCCGCTCAGTCTCGTCTCGGGGTCAGTTTCAGGGTCGGTGTTGCGAGGAGTTGTTATCCATCGCGGTTGTGCTGCGGATGTGGTGTGCGCTGGTGCGAGGAGTCGTTGTCTGCGCTTTGCACGACCAGTGGTCTGAGCAGCGCGCAGCGTGTGTCGGCTGGGATGGGATCAGGAACCCGAGATTGCAAAGATGGTAGATTGTCAGGATGCTCTTTTAGGCCGTGATGTGATCGCTTCAAGGCTGTTGACTTGCTTTGTCCCGGCCGAATTTGGATTGCTGAGCTAGTAGGGGATCTAATTCTATCTAATTGGTTTCCGTCGATAGAGGGAGCCCCTGATGATTCCCACCAGGTACATAAGACTTGATAAATCTTTTGAAGGTTCAGTGAGCTGACACTCCCATGGATGGAACAATAATGATCCCCTGAGTGGAGCTGTTCTATCTAGGTCCTCTACATCGAGAGCGACTATACGTTTCACAATTGCTTCCATGCAGTATAGCAAGTCATTATACTATTTCAGGTATCTGCTTTATCGTAATCGTCTCGACCTCCACGTGAGACTACAGGCCGGCGTTGAACGTGAGAATCTTATTGATCAGCCCACCGCCAGGGAAATCCAGCATGAGAACACCGGTGCGCTTGACTGCCTGGTGGACATCTGTTCCCTGGCCGAGGTAGATCTCGACAAACGGATTCACGCCCTGAGCGCGTGTAATCAGCACCCACAACACGCCGCTACAGAACACGGGAACATACCTGGACACCGAACGCCCCGCCCGCGACCTGGTTGGGGAACGCGAATAGACTGGAGCCGGAGCCAAAGTTCACAAAGATGCTGCCGAAATCGGCGCCGGGCGCGTTGTACGCGTCGAGGAAGCGGCGGACCTGGTCGCGCTTGGTCGCGATCGCGCCGACGTCGGGGACGTTGTAGTTGTCCTGGATGTACGTCGAGTCGCCGTCATTCCAGCCGGAGAACTGCGCCAGCCCGTAGGAGTCGGTGCGCCCGCCCTGGGGGCCGTTGATCACCGCGAGCACGATTTTGCCGCGAACGGCGCCGAGCGTCGGCGTGCCGGGCGCGGAGTTGCGGTTGATGCTCGGCGCCCAGAACGCATTCGGGTAGCGCGCGGTGTACATGTCGAAGATGTCCACGAAGGACGCCTGGCCGGACACGTCCGTGCACGACCCGATCTGGCCCGTGCACTCCTGCTTGACGCGCATGAGGACGGCCTCGGTGGGATGCGCGGAGAGGTACGCGCTGACTTTCGTCAGCACGTCGTCGAAGTTGGCGTCCTGGTACACCGCGCCGTGGTGCACGACGAACGTGTTGCCCGACTCGATGCGCAGCCGGATGTCGAACATGCGGATGCCCGCGCTCAGCTGCGCCGTCAGTGTGTCAGCGGACGTTCCGAGGTTCTCTGGAAATGGCGGGTCAGCAGGAGGGGCCAGCGCAACTCCGCATCTGCGCACCTTGGCATTCTGTGATATCACCGCCGACCAACGCCAGGGACTCGTGCGTGCCGGGGATCGACAGTGCCCCGAGGGACGCGCCGTCCGACACGGTCATCATCCAGTCCGGGTTGCTTGCCGTCGTAAGCGTGCGATACGAGTCGCTCTGGCGCTTCTCCATTGGCAGACTCCGGAGCGGCTCCGACAGCACGCCCGGGACGAGCAGTAGCAGCAGGGACAGAGAGAGGCCGTACATGGGGGCAAGGCAGGAAAGGAAGGGGAAGCCGAGATCCTAGAAGCTTGCACTAACGACGCGAGCTTTATACTTAGTAGGTTGGTATGCAGAGATCGTCCGTTTCCATCACATATGACCATGCGCGTGTCAGGAAGAGATGTGTTCTCTTTCGTCTTGTGAGAGTCTCGAAGCCCGGGTAGCATCTCTCGGCCCTGGAGGCGTCGGTTCCTCTGCAGAGCTGAGTCTCTCAGGGTGCACCCCGCCAGCACAGGCAGAAACAGTCACAGAAGCGATATCGTAGCAACGTGCATGCACATCGGAGTCGAGACGAAGAGGGAAGCTCCATAAGCGATCAGATCGTCGCATGGCGCTAACCGAAGACCAACGTGGGATCCCTGTTTCGTTTCACCGGTTGTAGGCCTAGGAAGGAGGGTCCAGAGAGTGATTAAGCCGGATTCTACCTGTGAATCCGCGGGCAGGTTACGTGCAGCGGAGGCGTCGACGATCTTCCCATCAGTTTTCGGGACTGGATGACGTACGCGAGGAGGCTGTGCATGGACCCCTTAGTTCAGTGGTAGAATGTGTGATTCCAGCGCTTGGTTCCACAAGGTCATCCGTTCAACTCGGGTAGGGGTCATTTTTGCACAAATCTCAGCCGCCCCTTCCTTTGGAGTGTAATCGGTCTTTGGTCTGTGTTTTCTCCGAGTTCAGGTAAAACAGCCAGATTCCGAGCAATGTACATAGATCTCATTCTGAATATCACATATCTTTCTCTTCCTAATGTCCCTCTCGCGTCGTACACCCAGCTGCGATCGCCTCGGAGACATCAGTGAGTCCTGAACGCGGAATAACTTTGTTGCCCACATGTCTGTGTTTGTTCTCACGCTGTGGCTGATATCGCATGGGAGAGCGTGTCATGATGATGTCACAGCCAGTTTTCGCTCCGTGCTATGCGCTCAACAGGTGCGTAAAGACGCAGCATTGCCGACGCAGGAAAAGGATGAGCTTGTGTGAACGTCATCCTACAGGTTCCGAGCGGGCGTATATATACCACGTCCAATTTCATTAGCAGAACTCATACCAATCAGTCCTCTTCCCCTCAATAAACACCATCTAAACACTATGGTTGGTCCCCTCCCCAAAATCAGCCAACACAACGAGACTCACTAATCTATTCTAGGGTTCTATCTTCTCTGCTATTGGCCGCGGCATCATGGCCATCATCGGCGCCATTGCCAACGTCCTCGAGACCATCGTCGGTGCCATCACCACCGTCATCGTCACAATATTCGACGTCATCGTCGACATCCGTGCGTCTTTTTTGTTTCCTGATCCAGTCTGAGCCTCTGCTGACGACGAACGGGACAGTGTGCTGCAGGTGCTTCGGCTCGCGGAAGAGCGGGCGCAGATATGGCCGCCACAAACGTGGCGGCGCGGCAGGGACGTACTAGACGCCCCGGACATTCATCACGACATGCCATGACGATTCCTAGATACTTATACCACTCACATTAATGATTGTGCTCCCACCAGTCTGAAATATTCTATTGATCAGGAATCTGTGACAGTTTTGAGTTTGTGTCAAGCCAAGGCATGCAATATCTTCGACGCCCGCGACCACGTTCGAATACTTCGGGGGTACATATCTCGTGGTGCGTTCAATCGCGCTTAGTTCGCCACTCAATCCCCTCTATGACACTTGGCGGGTTTGCCGAATGCAACTCATGCTCCGCGGATATCGAACAGTGTGTGGATGACATTACACTCAGCCCTTCCCCAAACATCGGACTAAGCTGCCAATCTCAGCCCTACGGACTTGACAACACAACAAGATACCCCGTCCTGGGTCTCTTCTAAATCTACTCGAAATCGAACTTGGTCCCAACAATCTCCTCCGACAAATCCCACAATTGAGCAGCATTGGACTGACAGCCGCGTGTGAGTAATCTTTAGCCGGCGCAGCTACTCACCGGGTCCGCAGTGTGCGCCGCGAGCTGGTCGGTCGCGACGTTCGAGTCGTTCAGGTACGCTCCGGGGCACGCCTCGAGGCGCGGATCGAACGCAGCAGCCACGCTCGTAGCCGCGCCCTCAGGGATCGTCTTCCACGTGTAGTCCCGCGTGTTCGGCTGTCCATCCGCGAAGAGAATCCCGAGGGCCTTGAAGGCCTCGAGCGACTCCGGCTTGGCGTTGATGTTCGTTGCGACGGCTACATTGTGTGTGCGTTTGTTCAGTCATGCGTGAGCTGCTGCCGCACCTCCGGGATGCAGACTGTAGCTTGTGATCTTCCCACCGGATCGCCGCGAGAGCTCGGCTGCAGTGAGCGCGTTGGCGGACTTGGCCTGGAAGTACGCGTCGAACGCCTCGTACGTCTCTGGGTCCGGCTGGCCTAGCGTCCTGAAGTCGACACCCTTGCCCCGCACGTGCCCAGCACTCGACACGAATACCACGCGCGGGGTGAAGTCCGCCGTCTGCGCAGCGAGAATCTTCGGGGCGATGAGCGAGGTGAAGAGGAACGGGCCCAGGTGGTCCGTGGCCATTTGATTCTCGAGTCCGTCGACGGTCAGTTTGAACGGGCCAATCGGGGCCGCGGCGTTGTTGATCAGGACGTGGATCGGCTCTTCGTAGGCGTTGACCTCCGCTGCGGCGATGCGCACAGCGGCGAGGGACGAAAGGTTAAGGATGAGGGTGCGAATGTTGGCGTGGGGGACTTCCTTCTTGATTGCGGCTTCGGTCAGTTTCAATCTGTGAGGTGGCATTGATTCAGGAAGCGTCACCTCGACGGGGCCGGCGCAACGCACCGCTCCCCGTTGTACCCAGTGATCACAACCAGGTTGGCATGTCGCGCGATGGCCTGCGCAGTCTCGAATCCGATTCCGTTCAGGGACGTCCCCGTAACAATCACTGCGCCCGTCTCACCGCCAACGAGCGCCGTCCGCAGAAAGCGACGCACCATTTGTGCCCCTAATCCTATCTGCGAAAGCTGTCGCGACGTTTTCCGCGGTGGAATGGAAGTCGAACGTTGGGTAGGACATGACTGGGCTGGAGGTGTTCGCGTTGGTCAGCCCGCTCGCTCGGTCTTATTTCGTAAGTGCGCGAGTCTGTCGTGCATTCCGTGGCAGCGGAATCTATGCCCTCCTTGGATACGTGGCTTCGAAACACCTGCGCTCGGCCGCCTTCGTCATCTATTCTGAGTCAGGGCGATCTGTGCACCGGCTACAGGAGACCGTGGATCCCTGACTCCTCCAGCTGTTCACCCCGTTGCAGGGAGACAGTCCGAGACTAGGCTGATGAACTCAAAGCGCTCGACAGCCATCAGTTCACGACTAACTTCCTTAGCGACGTCGGAGGATCTGCGGGTGTCAGGCTGTGGTGGAAGGGACTTCTCGTCATTGTTGGGTGAAGGGCTAGACGGGAATTCTCCGAGACACGTGATAAGTTCAATTACGCACTGCCACACACTTGAGGTATTGGTCAAACACACGCCAAAAACTGCGGTGGGCCTCTGGTATAGCTGTATACCTTCGGACCTTCTCATAAACAAATTCGAATACACTTGCTACCCTGATGAATTTCTATTGGCATCGAGTGTGTTGATGAGGTCCCACACTGCCACCTGTCAATATGAATAAGCCTTGACTCATGCCCTCATCATTCATGGGATTACTCTCATCAAACCTGGCTTGCCCCCCCTCTTTTGCGCTCCGACAGTAAATGCATTACTTAACGTATTGCATCTTTCAGTGCTCCCGACGATCTACCGGTCCGCAGCGCTGGCGCCAAAGCTTTCTTGTTCATCAGATGACGCCAGTAGAGCACTCAAATATATTTCAAACCCCAAAAGAAAAACAACCCCGAAATTTCTAGATTTCTTTACTGATTTTAAGCAGCTTGTCTATGTGAGTGGCCCATCCTGACAGCTCTCCTCTATCTATTCGAAAGTGAACTTGACTCCCACAATCTCCTCTGATAAATCCCACAACTTCGCAGCGTTTGCCTAGTAAACGCGCGTGAGTGACCTTTTTCAGAAAAACAGCGGCTAATAAAGCACGGACCGGATTCGCAGAGTGCTCGTCGATTTTCTCGTTTGCGACAACCGAGTCGTCCAGGTAAGCACCAGGGCTTGCGTCGAGAAGAGGGTTGAATGCAGCAGCCACGGTCGTGGCCGCACCCTCGGGTATGGTCTTCCACTGGATGTTCTCCGTGTTCGGCTTGCCGTCCGGCCCGAGGATCCCCAGGCTCTTCATAACCTCGTGTGACTCCTCCTTGTCGAAGATGTTCGTCAAGATCGCTAGTGGGGAGAGGTCAACGGGTTGGACAAGCGTACTAAGCTGCTGCCTCACCTCCCGGATGCAGACTGTACCCGTTGATCTTTCCATTCGACCTCCGCGAGAGCTCTGCTGCGGCCAAAATGTTGGCAGACTTGGCCTGGGCGTACGCGTTGAACGGCTGATGAGTCTCCGGGTTGGGCTTCCTCAGCGTCTCAAAGTCAGGGCCCTTGCACAGGGTGTGTCCGAGACTGGACACGAATACGACGCGTGGTGTAAACTTCTCTGTCCTCGTAGCGAGAATCTTCGGCGCGATCAGAGCGGTGAAGAGGAACGGCCCGAGGTGGTCCGTAGCCATTTGATTCTCGAACCCGTCGACGGTCGGTTTGAACGGACCAATCGGGGCCGCGGCGTTGTTGATGAGGACGTGGATCGGCTCTTCGTAAGCGTTGACCTCCGCTGCAGCGGTGCGCACGGCGGCGAAGGATGAGAGGTCGAGGATGAGGGTGCGGATTTTGGCATGCGGGACCTCCTCCTTGATTGCCGCCTCAGCAAGTTTCAATCTGACGGCGGCGTGGATTGAATCAAGTCTGCCTCGACGGTTTTGACAGTACGCACCGCTCCTCGTTGTAACCGGTGATCACAACCAGGTTGGCGTATTTCGCGATCGCCCGGGCAGTCTCGAATCCGATTCCTTTGATGGAGGTTCCGGTGATGAGAACTGCATCGGTATCAGTGCTGAGCAAATTCATCCAAAGTGACGCTTCTACCAACCATTTTTGCCCTTTATCTCATCCGAAAAAGCAGTCGCAACGTCCTCAGCGGTGGTGTGGAAGTTGAAAGTAGGGTAGGACATTTGTGTGGGTGTGTTTTTCAAGGTGGTCGTGTTGTATCAAGGTAGGTTGCTCCCTGTCGATTTTATACCTCGCCCTCGCGTTTGACGCACTTAGCTCTGTACCCGCGCTTCCGTGCTGAGTAAGGGCCTCAGTGGCCCATGATGAAACTCGGGCTGAGCAATCCTGGGCAGTCCTTCCGTTGAGAAGTTCGATATTACTGGTCATCTGGTGCGTAGTCGCCCATCCACCCCTCTGGTCCGGACCAAAAGCCTGCCAATTGATCAGCAAAACGGAGTCATGGAGTATATATGGTCGTGGTATAGATCTGGTGATCATGAAAGCATTATGGCCGGGGAGCCTAGTGGCCGATGTTGCCCGGTTTGACGGGTGACGGCTCGGCAATGAAGCTCTCGAAAGAGTATTTGTATCGGAATAGATCGGAATTCCACGTACTCGAAACTCTTTGATAGGCTCTTGATCATATGATTTGTCAACTGAATGCCGTCATCAAATTCACAATCCGAATGTTGAAGTCATACCTCAATTGCAATGAGAATACACTGCGGGGGTAATTATTTTTTTTCGTGGAAAATGCGTGACAATCTAGAAGTCCGATTTTTACCGTTCTGTTTTCAGGCAAAAAAATATATCGAAAATAGACGTTGATCCACAGTTCGATTTTTACCACGAATAGACGTATATTCCTCCCAAGAACAAGACTGTAAATAGATGATCTTTTTTATTATTATTGATTCTCACTGCAAACATATGATCTTTTTTCAGTGAAGAAAGGTCTTCTGTTTTCAATGTCTATTTTTTGCGGGAATGGACATTTATTCCCACTGAGAATTGATCTGAAAAAATATCATCTTTCACTGAAAAAAGATGCAACAGTTGCAACAACTTGCTATGAGTCGGCATGACTCATTAAATAGTTGCAGAGCCAAGTTGATCTGCAAGTCATCATGCATCATCATCATTCGGCCACTTTTTCATCTTATCATCAACGATCTTATGTTATCACAGATCACGGCATCTGACGGTCCGGGCTAGAGGTCCAGATAATTATCTTTATCAATTCAAGGCTGCGCGACATATGCTCTGGAAGGATCTACTGCAACCCATGACCAGTGCTCCATGCGGTGAAATGCTGAGGGCGTGATCACAGGTGAATCTACTCTCAAAGTAAACCCAAGTATAAACACGTTCACACTCCTCGTAATCAGCTTCTCAGTGCGTGAAAGCTGCAAGGGCTTTGGGGTGGACAGAGCACCAGTATCACAACTCTCAATAGACGCAGATCAATAGTCGCGGAAGACGAAGTTGACGACAAGAGTTTAAATATAGCAAACAATGATGTCTCAACCAATATCTTCTATATGGCCAAAACTAACACTAATCCAACCACAACCAACAATATCACAAGTCAGAGCTTAATACGAAGTATTAAGATCCCTTGTGGCAACAGTGTCCAGATGGTGACGCAAAGCCCAAATATCAAGTCAATGCACTGCCAACCGATACAACCAAGATACTGAGTCGACGCACTGCCAACTAGTAAAACCAAAATGCCGCATCAACGCACTGCCAACAGCCAATATCCAAATGTCCAGTACCTGAGCACAACTTGTCAATGCACTGCCAAGCAAAAGGTGTGGAACCAAAGTTCTCAAGTCGACAGACTGCCAACCTAGAGGTGTGGAAACAATCTCAACAAAGCCCAAAGACAACAACACTAAATGCCGCAACTAAACCAGAAGCGGCAAATCTGACTTTCTGATATCTCAAACTCAGACTCAAAGCACAGTAGCTACAAGTGCTCAGGGAGCAACTCATTGCAACCAGGCAGGGGTAACAGAACTTCTTAGGGTGGAATCACACAACACGCAAATTGCACAAAAACAATCTGATATGGGTATGATTCACAGTCCGGGGGAAAGCTCCCTAATACAAAGAGATGACGCGCTACTTATACTGTCTACGACAATGCTTAGTAAAGTCCTGCACAACTGCATAGTAGCTACGCTATCTAAGATTGGTTGCCTTTTATGGTAATGAAAAAGTTGAACAATCGGACAGGTCCTGACTGATCAGGACCCTGCCCCATTGTCCATATAGTGCTTTTGATGTGGGTCAACCCACCGCGTCATACTTTTGGAATACAACGTGCTGGATTGGCCAACTGGTATGTCTTGGCCAGTGAGTCCAATGTGGGTGCCCCAAGAAGCTGCATGGCCCTAGGCACACCAGACGTTCCTCACATGGTTTGGTTCACGGATCTAACCTGTGTCGCTTTTGATGTGTTTGGGTATGGGCGCGACTCGCTGTGACACCTGGAAGTGTCACCGCAATGCGTCCACAATGTCCCGTGATTGAGTGGATCCTGACATGTGACAAGTCGTCGCTGTGGTATGATCTAAGGAAACATCTAACCCAAAGCTGGGAGTTGCCGCCACAAGATTGGTGCAATCATGTAACGCCAAGTCCCGTCTAGTAGTAGTTGTAATGTTGAGAACATCGCACATTGCTAAGCCCTTTAGTCTGAGTTCCCATCTGCAGAGAGTGACCCCTTAGAAGAGTCGCCGCAGCAAAAGATCCCGTTTTGGGGAATTGTCGCAGTCCAAGTGTCCGTCACTAATAGCCCTGAGCCTGGTGTAGACCCATAAGACCAATTCCACAATAGTGGTCTCACTGCCTTGCTATCGTCAACACTATCCACAGTCGTCAACTGGGCAGTAGACCCTTAGATCCTACTGAGCGCAACACTGTCAACCGCGACACGATACACTGAGTGGTTTGAGAGTAAATCTGTAAAAGCGCAAAAATACGCCCTTACAGAGCTGGTGCAGAGCGCGTCTGGTAGCCAGCCTATCACCGGCCATCTCCTTCGAGTCCCCGCAAGCGGTCTAGCCAAGCCCCATTCCTTGCACCAGGGAGTGCTACTGCCGTACGCACTCCTCCCCCTCTACTTTGGCCTTCTCCCTGCGGATGTGGCCTACTGCGATACAGGCTCGTACCAGATGCCTTTGCGCTCATCCGCACCACCCCTCTTCCCAGTCAGGCATTGGTCCTCGCCTCCGATGTCTCCACTGGCTGGCCCGGCACTGGCCTGGCACCTGGGCTCCTCCAGTGTGGCCTCCCACTGTTGGTGTCTCAGGAGCTGGCCATCACTGGCCCCTCTGAGCCACTCACTATCTTATCTGGGTTTGTCATCATCTACTTGTCATCTGCCATTGTTCCATGGCAGTGATATCCCATCATTATCAGTCACTTGTCACAGCTGACTATATAGTGTGCCACCTGGGCACATGGATCCTTGAACCGTTCTCTAAGGAACCCCCTCCGTGCTCAGGTGAGTAGTATACCTCCCTTGTATTTGATAGTCTCTAAGGATCCCCCTCTGTGCTCAGACTCATGTAAGGTTGTTGTGTGCTGTGTGCTCTCTTCCTTCGGGCTGGCAGGAGTTGCCCTTACACCAGTCTTGAAATTCACTTCTCTTTTCGACATTATTTCTTGTTGATTGTCACAATTCCGTGTTGTATCAATAGACTGTGATTGGTGTTCTGTCCACCTGAAGCCCTCACATCTTTCACACACTGAGAAGCTGATTATGAGAGGTGTATCTGGAGGATAGGTCTGCTCAGTAGACACTCCATATTAGGTTGGTCCAGAATAGAGCAAAAGTTGGACAGAAAACTTTGGATTTCTGGTCCGAAATCAGAGTAAAATGGAGCTCCAGAGCACCGAAGGGGTCCAGTATAGAGTAAAAGTTGGGCAAAGCCCAACTGATTTTGACAAGAATATGACTCTGATATGGCCAAATCACACAGTTTTGGAACACTCCCTGACCAGCTCTAAGCTCTCCTGTGCGCCGCAGCGACCAGCATGGGCACTTGATCATGATCGGGACTGATGGCCTCAACAAATCGGGCAATGAGCGATCAAGTACTAGAAATATTTGTAGCATGGGAGAATATTTTGATTATCTGGTCCGGAAATAGAGTAAAAGTGACCCCAAACCGCCAAAATTTTATATTGAAAGTCCTGGAGCTGGCGGACTGACCCGATACGGAGTGTCCGCGGGCCTTCCAGGGCCGAAAGTTGAAGGTAAGACCCCGCGCAGCGTGATCAATCATCTGACCAAACACATCACGTGCTTCGTGATGGTGGTGGGTCCACGCATTTCAATGATCACTCTCATCGGTCCAGGCTTTTTCCTCCGCTTCGTGCTCCGGCAGGGAATGATTGAATCCTGGACAACTTCAAGTTTCCAGTCTTCCTGACGATCTACCAGCCTGCAGCGCGGCATCATGCTAAACACTTGATCACAGGATGACGCCAGTGGAGAGATCAAACATATTGCAAACTCGAGGGGAAACAACTCCGACATTTCTGAACTTGTTTACCATAGGTAGCTAATCAGGATGAGCAGCCTATGTCATAACTCCCTTCTAGCTACTCGAAGGTGAACTTGACTCCCACAATCTCTGTTGATCAAATGATGATCTTATCATCTGCCAGATGGATGTCGTGATACACATCTTATGACTCCATCATGTGTCATCTAGAGTCATGTCGACTCGTCCTAAATAGACACAAATAGCCCCCTGTATTGTATATAAGGAGGGCTCTATTACCCTATAATCCAGGTCTCTTGACTACTCCCGCATAGTGCCCACACTAAGCTCTCACTCACACAGGTGAGCTACTAGACGCTCTCCCCAGTGCTCAACAGGTTATGGGCCCCGAGAGCTATGTCTGCGCCTCAATGGCCGCGACATTCATTGTATGCGCCGTCACTGGCTGCAACGATGAGCAGCGTTTTTAGCCTATCTGTATTCACTTCAGCTGCTGCACAGCGCTGGTGAAACCATGCCGGATCGCGATTACATCGCTTGATCCAGATGCATCGATCTCTGAAGGAGATTATGATCTATGAGGATCTGATCATCTTTATCTTTGATTTTATCTATCAGATTAGATTGATGCTGATCACTCACACAGATCTAACATGTCGTCCAACTCCAACAACATCTTCAATGCTGTCTCCATCTTTGATGGAAAGCACTGGCTTGTCTGGTCCGGAACTATGGAGTCCTATCTGGAGCATCAGGGGATCTCATACGTGCTGACCGAGACCGCGCCAACCGAAGTCAAGGCTACGGATGGCTCTGTGACCAACGCATCGGAGATCAAACAATGGAAGCATGATGATCTCAGGGCGAAGGGCAGCATTAAGTTGCGCCTGACTGAGGGAGTCATTGCCAATATTCCAACCGCCAACATAGTGTCAGCTGCCAAGATCTGGGAGCATCTGAAGACCCAATACGGTGGTGCTCAGTGCGCCGACCTATATGCGTACTTGCAAACCGCGTTGAACGCCAAGTACAACGTGGGGTTGCACCCGGATCCACAGCTGCTGGTGATCACTACGGCGTTCGCTCGCCTGGAGAATGAGTCTTTGAGCATCCCTGAGTTCCTCAGAGCGATGATCATTCTCAACATAGCCCGGATTCCCTCTGTCACGGAGACTGTTCTACAGACTTATGACAAGGACGAGATCAAAGTCTCGGCGGTTCGTGACGCTCTCTTGACGCATTTCGCTCAGAAGCAGTCTCAAAGCCAGAATCATGTGGCCAAGTTCAATACCAAGCGCAAGCGCGATGACCCTTCGTTCACCAATCAGCAACAGGGCTCTGGCTCTGCACCCGATAAGGGTGATAAGGCTGATGGAAAGAAGAAGAACCGTCGAGGCAAGCGCAGTGGGAAGAACAAGGACAACAAGGGCAAGGGCAAGGCTGATCACAGTCATGTCCATGGAGTCTCCGAGATCACTGGCTCCCTCACTATCGGTTCGATCGCCTCGCTCACTCCGTCTATCCCTGCGCCGACGATCTCGCATGTCACGCACATCTCTCGCGATGGACCCAAAATCCGCGCGGTTCAAGAGAAGTCTCCCGTTAACAACAATGGGATTATTGACACCGAGTTTCAGAAGCCTACTCGCAAGGTCTTCGAGCTGGCCAAAAAGATGGATGTGACGGTGACCGCAGAACGCTTCCGGACTCTCGACAAGATCGTCAATGAGAAAGGAATGCTCCGCGAGGACGCAATCATGCGTTCTCCATCTCCGGTTGCTTCCGGCTCGAATCACACGCTGGATGATGGTCCTCCTGCCAAACGCAGTCGTATCGAGGAGATCCCCGACGTCGAGATGGCCACCGGCCAACAGAACGATCTTGATCTTCTGTTTGGAGATAGCGAGTTCGCCCAGGCTGAACCGGTCAATTGGGATGAAGTCGTCGACTTCAACACCCTTCTGGAGGAGATGGACGCTCCTTCCGCCGAAAGGCAAGTACCCTGCCTTCTTGGGCATATGCACAATTCTGATTGTTGCTCACAGCCAGAGCGCGTAATCACCGCCGCCCCGGGTTCTGTACTTAATTCGTTGATGATTCGTTCGCATGATTTTTGTACCAATCTATTCTGTGTGCACTCCGATTTTGCTGCCTGCTCTAAGTGTAAGGGGAAACATCATCATCATGAATTAGGGCCTCTATGGCTTCTTGATTCAGGTGCATCTCTCCATGTGACATCGGAGATTAGTGATCTGGTCGGATATGAGAAGCTCTCAGATCCTATTGTTGCTCAGACCGCTGATAAGAACACACGTGTTGCCCTTATTGGTCGAGGAACAGCCTTCATCGATCATTACGTCACAAGGCATGGAGAAAAGACAATGGTGACTTCTCAGATATATCCAGTGTACCTAGTGCCAGGATTACATGGTCGTCTCATGTCTTTGGGCTCCTTACTCAAAGGAGGATCTCGCGTTCGTGGAGACAAATCGCGGATCAGCTTACATCGAGGGAAGTCCCCACTCTTGTCATAATCCGACTCTTTTTCATCTTATCATCGACGATCCTATCTTATCTTGGCACCACTTATCTTATCACGGATCACGGCATCAGACGGTCCGGGCTAGGGGTTCCAGGGGTTATCTCTATCGATTCAAGGCTGCGCGACATATGCTCCGGAAGGTTCTACTACAACCCATGACCAGCGTTCCATGTGGTACATAGCCCTATGACTCATTAGTTGTAGATATGACTCAGACTGGATTTGGGTATAAATACTGTAGCTACTTGGTTGTATTCTCCAGTCTTCGAATTCACTTCTCTTTTCGACTTTGTTTTTGGGTTGATTGTCACATAATTCGAAGACTCCCCTCATACCCTCCTACCTCATACCTCTTACCCTGCATCTTGCACCGCTACGCCCGCTATATCCTCTTAACCCTTATCACCCCACTCACCCTTTTACCGAATCATCTAGTCGTCCTCCACTATCGCAGTGAAGGGTTCATATCAAGCAAACAGCACCAGGCCACGGGTAACGTTGAGCCCGACCCAAGCCTTACGGTAGCTACAAGGAGTGCTGCGGAGACCTTCGGGAAAACGCACCTCGGGATCATCGGGCACGTGAAGAGCTAGGCCCGGGATCTTTTTGCTAGCAAAAGAACCTTTCCTCGAGTGCTTGTACAGCACACGAATCCACCATTTCGTACCGATTCCCATCGTCGTCTGGGAGTCCATCCCCTCCCCCCATCGTACCATCGTCGCCCGATCTGGCGCATCAAAACCAACCCGGGCCCTCCGACCCCTACCTCGCCCTCCCACCGCCTGAAGACGAGATCCCCGACCTCGACGAACTGCCCTCCGAACAACCACCCTCGCCTCCACCTCACACGCCTGCCCCTACCATGTCAGGGCATCACCGCATCACCCTCGCCGCCAACCCCCCCTACTTCGATGGCGACAAGTCCAAATACCTGGGCTTTGTGGACGCGTGCACCACTTACATCGGTGCCTATTGATCGGAGTTCTCACAAGATGAGACCAAAATCCTCTTTGTCCTCTCCTACCTCCGTAACGAGAACGGCACGAGCTGCGCTGCCTCGAGATGGGCGATGAACTGGAAGCAGCACAACTTCGATGGCTTCCAGGGACTGAAGGCAGGAGTCACATCAAAGAACTTCCTGGAGGAGTTTCAGAGGGCGTTCGGGGACTCCAATGCGGAACAAGTCGCCGCTGCTCGGCTTATGGCCCTGCGTCAAAACAAACGGTCCTTCGCGGACTACATCTCCGACTTTGAGATGTTGGCCGCGGATGCAGGCTACAATGTGGTTGACACCACCGACGACAAAGGCGAATACAAGAAGGGGGACCAGGATAATATCCTCATCGAGTTCCTGGAGCGCGGACTCAGCAGCGAGATCGCCAGCCGTCTCTACAACACCGGTGTCCCTCTGCCCAAGGCCTATGGAGCGTTCAAAGCCTGGTGCATCAACATCGAAGCCAATGCTCTGCGTGACCAGCTGCGCAAAGCGTCGTATGGGCACCCCACACAACGACCACCTCCCCAGTTCCGTCCCCAAACGGCACCAGTGGCGCCCACACCCGCTCCGGCCCGACCCGCTGCCAACGAACCGGTTCCGATGGAAATCGATCGTACCCACGCCCGCGGCCGTAATATCATCTGCTACAACTGTCAGCAGCCCGGGCACATTGCGCGGAACTGCCCGGAGCCCAAGAAGAAGCGCACGTTCTTCAATCGGGCCACAATGCTGGAAGAAATCGAGAACGGGGACAAGGACAACGAGTTCCTGAAGGAGATTGCCGAGAAGCTGCGCGAGAAGGGTTTTTGAAGCGCTCCACTCCTCTAGCCAAGGAGGTGGAGCGTCCGGACTATGGACGATTTTCTGTACTTGTTTCGATTAAAGATACGGACAATATTTCATCTACATACACGATCTCAGACTCACTACGTACAAATATTCACGATTTTCTTATTGCCGAGATGGAAAAAGAACGCCAGGAAAAGATAGCTCTAAATAGAAAATACTTACAAGATAAAAAGGATCAGAAAGCTGCAGATAAATTATTTTTGGACTCCTACGTATTTATGGCTCGTGGAGAAGGAACCACGTCAACAAAGACCGAAAAGGGGAGCATCGCTCCGAAGGCTCGATCCTTGGAAAAGGAGGAAGCGCCCAAGGAATCTGCCAAAATCGAGGTTCCAGAAGCACCCAAACGCACCAGGGTGCCAGATGCCATCCAGAGGAAATTGGCGACCGAGAAACAGAAGGGCCCCCAGCCCAGCAGATTGGCGCAGGAATTGCGCAGTTACCAAGCCGAAAGAAAGAGGCATTCGATGGACGTATATGTCCAGATCACGGGCCTGGACTCAGGGAAAACGCGTGGAGTCAAGGCGCTGCTCGATAGTGGCTGCAGTACCTGCTGCATCGACACCGACTATGCACGGGCAGAAAAGCTGGATATCCAAGAGCTTCCGCAACCCATTGTGGCTTGTAACGCCGACAACACCGAGAACATCAGCGGTCGGATCACACACTACGTCGACTTGAGAATGAGAATCGGTCCTCATGTGGAGACACGCACGTTCCTTCTGACGTGTCTGGGAAAAGCCCGGATCTTCATCGGCCTGGATTGGCTGACGGAACACAACCCCGAGGTGGATTGGCAGGAGCAGACAATGAGATTCAGCCGATGCCCAGAGCAATGTCAAATGAGGGGTCACGAGGAGCACCAAGCGATGATCGACATGGATGCAATTGACCTGGACGCGGGTGCACCGGATCTGGAAGAGGGAGAATCGATCTTGTTGATCGACTTTGGAAAGGATGTAGACCTACGGCTGAAGGAAACGCCGGCGCAGAAATTCGCAGAAGAAGCGGAAAAGGAGAAGGAGAGAATGACCGAGGGAAAGATTCCAGATCAATACCGAGAATTCGTCAAAGTATTCGCCAAGGAATCCTTCGACTCGCTACCGGACCGACGGGCATGGGATCATGCGATCGAGCTCAAACCAGGCTCCAAAGCAGTGGACTGCAAGGTGTACCCCTTATCGAGAAACGAGCAGGTCAAACTCGACGAGTTCTTACAAGAGAACCTAGCGAGCGGACGAATCAGGCCATCAAAATCACCCATGGCATCGGCATTCTTCTTTGTCAAGAAGAAGGATGGCTCGCTACGGCCTGTTCAAGATTACCGGAAGCTGAATGAGATGACGATCCGAAATCGGTACCCGCTACCGCTGATTTCCGAACTGGTCCACAACCTGTGCGGCGCCAAGTTCTTCACCAAGCTAGACATCCGGTGGGGATACAACAACGTACGGATCAAAGAGGGCGATGAGTGGAAGGCTGCGTTTCGCACAAACCGCGGACTTTACGAGCCCTTGGTTATGTTCTTTGGTCTCACAAATTCCCCGGCAACTTTCCAAAACATGATGAACGACATACTCCGGGAACTGATCAACGAGGGACATGTGGTAGTTTATCTGGACGACATACTAATCTTCACAGAAAATCTGGATGAACATCGACGAATCACCAAACGGGTACTCGAGTTGCTCCAAAAGCACAAATTATACCTGAAGCCGGAAAAGTGCGAGTTCGAACGCACGGAAATCGAATACCTGGGTGTAATCATTGGACACAACTCGATGCGGATGGACCCTGTCAAGATCAAAGGCGTGATGGAATGGCCGGAACCAAAGAGCGTCAAACAAGTCCAAGCCTTCCTCGGATTCACAAACTTCTATCGACGTTTCGTTCGGGGATATGCGGAGGTCGCCAAGCCGTTGACGCGGCTGACAGGGAAGGCAGGATGGTCATGGGGTCCGGATGAACATGCGGCGTTTGATGGGTTAAAGAAGAGAATCGCGGAGGATGCCGTCTTAGCACTGCCAAATGACACTGGCCAATATCGTCTGGAAGCCGATGCTTCGGAAGGGGCAACAGGATCAGTTTTGAGCCAAAACCAAGACGGCATTTGGCGCCCAATCGCATTTATTTCGCACGCATTGACCGAAACCGAGCGAAATTATGAGATCTACGACAAGGAGATGCTCGCAATCATGTTATCACTTGACGAATGGAGGCAGTTGCTCCTGGGAGCCACGGAAACGTTCGAGATCTTCACCGATCATCAGAATCTCGAGTACTTTCGGAAGCCGCAGAAGCTCAATCGACGGCAAGCACGATGGATCACGGAGTTGGCGGAGTTCGATTTCACCTTACGACACCGACCCGGCGCACTCAACCGCAAGGCGGACCTCCTGTCCCGACGAGCAGATCACGATCAGGGCAAGAACGACAACAAGGACGTCACGCTACTGAAGCCCGAGTTCTTCCGATCACAAGAAGTCACATTCGAGGGACAGGATCAGCAGCTAATCAACGAAATCAAGGCCATTCGATCAATTGATGGAAGCGTCAAGGCGGCCTTAGAGAAGTCACTCGCCGGATGGAAGAAGGAAGAGGGGCTTATCACGTACCATGGGAAGCTCTACGTACCAAGGGACGAGGAGTTGCGGGACAAAATCATCGGACTACACCACGACACCCCTTTGGTCGGACACGCCGGGATCAACCGAACGCAGGAGATGGTGGAAAGGAACTACTGGTGGCCAAGGATGGGAAACCAAATTCGGAAATACATCCAGACGTGCGAAGCGTGCCAGCGGACCAAGACCAGAAGAGCCAGGACAGGGAGTTTGCACCCGCATGCAGTTCCAAACGCGCCGTGGGAAATCATCTCCATGGATCAGATCGGACCCCTGCCAGTCAGTAACGGGTATGACGCAATTCATGTGTGGTGTGACACCTTCACCAAAATGATCCATGTCGAACCAATTAGTACTGACATCAGCAGCGAAGGAGTAGCACGATTAACCAGGGACCGAATCTTCCGCTATCACGGGGTCCCCCGCAAAATCATCACTGACAGGGACTCTCGATACATCAAGGGCTTTATGAAGGAAACGAATCGGATGTTGGGCGTGGAAATGAATCCGGGGACCGCATATCACCCCATCACGGATGGGCAGACGGAGCGTATGAATCAGGAGATCGAACACTATCTCCGCATTTACGTCAACTACCATCAGACGGACTGGTCGGAGTGGCTGGGAATGGCGGAGTTCGCATACAACGACAAAATGAACACGTCTACCAAAATGTCGCCGTTCTATGCTAATCACGGATATCACCCATGGAAGGGAGTGGAGCAGCGGATGGAATCAAGGAACGAGTCGGCGGAGGAATTTGTAAAAAGAATCAAAGAAATACAAGACGAAGCAAAAGCAGCATTGGAAAAAGCAAAAGAAAAAATGAAAAAATACTACGATAAACAAAGAAAAGAAGTTCCGGAGTTGAAGGTTGGGATGAAGGTGTACATAGAAGGGGAAAATATCGAGACGGATCGACCATCAAAGAAGATGAGCGACAAGAGACTAGGGCCATACGAGATATTGGAGAAGGTTGGAGCGGCCGCATGGAAGCTGGATTTACCGGACACGGACCGAAGACATCCGGTGTTCAACGAGTCACTGTTGACACCCTATCACGAACCACCCCCCCATCGCCAAGAGAAGAGGCCTGTAGCCAAGATGATCGGAGGAGCAGAGGAGTGGGAAGTCGAAGAGATCGTGAAAGAGCGAAAAGTCGGCCGAGGAAAACAGTACTTGGTCAAATGGAAGGGATGGCCGCATAGCGAGAACACCTGGGAACCATCACGTCACCTTACCCACGCGAAGAAGGTCCTGAGAGATTGGCAGAGGAAACAATCCAACCCAGACACACGCATTCGCCTCCTGCCAACTCTCGAAGCCGGACATTGGGATTACCTCATCCATCGCTACAAACCCAAAGACGAGCGCCTTCCATACCCCCAGCGACAACTCTTCGATCCGTACGAAAACGTCTTCACGCCCATTGGCCTAGTCGATGAGGACATCGACCCTAGAGAGGGGGTAATGTCATAATCCGACTCTTTTTCATCTTATCATCGA